TGGTCTACAAACTCATCTCGAGCCACGTTCCGGCGGCGTTGGTTCGATGGGGAGGGTGGAGATGCGGCGGGGACGGCAGGGGCGGCTTATGGGGCTAGTCGTCGCTAGGATGGGGCGCTGGAAGGCGTATCTACGGTCCTAGGGAAAGAAAGAGAAGAAGGCGGGGTGGGGGGCCCGGGGGGTGCTGGCGATTCCAGGTTTGGGCGTAGAATGGGGAAAGATCTCGGCGCGGAAAAGGGGGTGGTGTAGGTGGTGGGTGGGTGTATAGTATGTATAATATCGGTATCTAAGTTGAAGATATGATAGCTGTGATTCATTGATTTTTCTAGGAAAAACTAGATTCTCATATCCTATTTTTGGTTCTGTTTGTGTGTGTTGTGTTGCTGTGTGGTTGTTGGGGGGTTGGGACATGAAGAGGTTCAGTGAAGATTCTGTGATATAAACATACCTTTTAATCCACTTCAATTCAAGAAGTTGGGACTTCTTGGGACTTCTTGAATTGAAGTGGATTAAAAGGTATGTTTATATCTATTGTGGTGTGCTGTGTGGTGCTGTGTGGTGTGGTATAAGGCAAGAGGCGGGGTAGACAGAACAGCAGCCCATCACCTCACCACCCACCACTTCACCACCACGACACCCCCTCTCCTCATCTCCCATCCGGCGATACTAATCCCGGATCCTCACTCCTCCTCACTCTTCACCTCACCCTCTCACCATCGCCGGGCACCAACCATCGACACCAGCTACCGCGGGGTACTCTCACAGCCCAGCCCAGCCCAACGTCACCGGCATCCCATCCCATCGCAACACAGCATAGTGAGACACCTACAACGGCGCCGTCGCACTGTTCCGTCGTCCTACCGCGTCGGGATAGCCAGCACTGCAGTGTGTCCACCCCGGTTGTAGTAAGCTTTTATACTTCCGGGGATGCACGTACTCTAGGGTAGCTGCTGTGGTGTGCTGTGGTGTGCTGTGTGGTGTGGTATAAGGCAAGAGGCGGGATAGCTATGAGACAATAAAAACGGTGAGATTCCGATTAGCTCCGTACTTACTGTGAAGCTCTTATCGCTGCTGCTCCTGCTGTGTCCGGTGAAGGAGGGGTAGCTTCGAGACAACGAAACGGTGAGGAGCTCCGGGACTTACTGTAACCCTGTTGCCGCTGATGATGCTGTGTCCGGTGAAGGGAGGGGTAGTTGTGAGACAACAACAACGGCCTCGTTGGCGGCGGGATTTGGGGCTGGAACGGTGGAATGGGGGGGTGGGTAGCTCCCGTTCGTGCTTACATACGGTGTGAAGATGTCTTGCTGTCGTGCCTACATACACGGTATGGATGTAGTTGCTGGTGAGTATAGCTGTAGCACCAGACCTCGAGCTCGGAGTTGAGGTGGGAAAGCTGGGTTTCTGCATACCGTGACCACCTTGGTGGTATAAAGCGATATACGATATTGTACGAATATCCAACCCAATTCTCTACCACCCACCAGTACGGTATCGCCGGATAGTATCTCCGTATCCGTATCCTTAACCAGCCAGATATCTACCTGCACCTCTCACCTCCAACCACCAACTACGAACCACTCCATACCTCATCTCCATATCCGTATCCTCAGCCAGACAGTCAGACATCTACCAGCAACATCATCCCTTTGATCTCTACAGCACCTTTGGTCTAGACCCCCTCCCGCCAAGTCCACGCATAAACCCGCTAAAATGAGCTACAGCGCCAGGACACTCGCACGAGCCATGGGGGCCTGTGTTGGTGGAGATCACGCAGGGTAGAGGGTACTCACTGCACTCTACTCGAGAAGGCCGGGATGGGTTGAGGAACGTCACGCTACCGGCGATGGGCGGTGGTCGGTTTGGCTGGGTTCGGGATGCCGAGAGGTACTGGCGACTCAGTCAGCCAGTCAGTTGTCGTGGTACAGCAGTTATCGTTACTGTATGCTGCAGTCACACGAAAGCACGCACAGCCAGCCCGACATGCCCTGCCCTGCCCTCCCACCTCACTCACCGTCCCTCCAGCCGCCTGCTACCTGCGTGCATCCAGCCTCCATCCCATCTACGCAAACAAACAACCGTGCATACCCATATGCAATCCCTCACCCAGTTAGTCCTCACCCAGTCCTCAGCCAATCCTCACTTCACTTCTCACACACAGTCCAGTCCAGTCCAGTCGTCGGTACGTACCCACCACCAACCCACTCACAAGCTAGCTAACACGATTGTTCCTGGCCCTACTGCAAGGGTCGACCCACAATTATAATGTATCATCCAATCAGCGCCATCTGTGGGTCCGTGTCGAAACGGAAGCGGGTAATGATCAAACAGCCGGTTTGTGGGGGGCGCTGGGGTGGGGAAGGGGGTGATTGGTTGGGGGGAGGGATAAGCATTGTGATCCTTGATGGGGGAGATAGCGGGTGATGAGGGGGGAGATTTGGAAGGGTGATCGATGGGGAGAGTGGAGTTGGGATGATGTGCGTGTGTGTGTGCGTGTGCTCTGGGACGGTGGATGATGGATGTGCGTGCGCGACTTTTACTGCACAGTACTTGGGATGAAGAGGGGGGCGAAAAACGGAGACGCAGATGGGTCTGGATTGTGGTCGTTTCGATCAGAGTTTGGAGGAGACGGTGCCGATCGTGCGATGACGGCGTATGGACCTGCGGGTGTTGGGGAGGGATGAGGGAGTGGTACGCGCTGGTATGTATGCGTACCGGCACAGTGAGACAGAGAGTGGACGGATACCGGTTGCTGGCACGTATGGAGGAAACACACGTGTTTGCAGCAGGGTGGTGGTCGTGGTGGTCGTGGCGGTGATGGCGGTAATGGCCCGAGGGAGTGTTTGTGGGCGAGACAATGGCTGGGTGATGGATGGCTGGTGGCTGCTGCTGGGTGTTACTCCAGTGACGTGACTCTCGTTACGGAGTTGGGAGTTGGAGTTGGAGTTGCGGTGGGACTGAGGAAGTGCTGGGAATTGGCGGCGGGTAGGTGCGACAGGAGGAGGTACACAGAAACAGAGCTGGGAAACACTGTACGGGAAGTACTGCAATTACCGCCACTTCCGTATACTGAGCCTTCTGTTGTCGCCGTTTGCGTCCGTCATCGACGACGAGAGTGAAACATTGATTCAGATGGAATCCACGCTCACCTACCATACTATGGGTACTCATCGTGCTGGCGGAGTGCTGGCTGGGAGACTGGAAGAGACAACAACCCCACAACTGTGCATAGAGGGGTCTCTTCTTTGTGATGAAATGACGACGCGCGCAGATAGGCGGGAATTGAGTTGCATCGATCAAGGGTCCACATAGCGACGGATATTGACTGTATGGACAGTAAACAGTCGATATCGATCTAGGTGCCATCGGCATCGACAGCGACACTGACAAGCTTCCTTCCTTCACCTTGTATAAAGGCAAACTAAGGGTACGATACCTTCAGGTACGATGCTCCAAATTATCCTCGTTTCAAATTGAGCTCACCCAGAACCGCCCATTCACATCATCTCCTCCCCTTTTATTAGCGCGGGGCCCATAACGAAGTACAGCAAATTAGTGTTGTCCATCAGCGCCCATCAGCGCCCATCAACCAACCCATCCCCTTGTCCAACTCCCCCCCAGTCACCTCTCACCCTTCTCATCCCACCCCACAAACAATCCCTGGTGTTCCTGGCGTACCTAGCAGCAACTCTAGGCTCTCACATTTCTCCACTGCCAAAACACCCAAACACACCCAATCTCCCTCCCGCGCTCCCTAATCTGTGCTCCCAATCTGCCAATCTTGGGTCACCGCCGCCAAAACACCATACAACAACCACACTCTTTCTTCCTCTTCTTCTCTTCTCCCTCTTCTTTCCTCTCCTCACCTCTTTCCTCTTTTACCACCATCTCTTGACTTGTTGGGTTACTCAACGTCCACTCCTTGTTCTACAACTTCCTTCTTCGGTCAAGAAGATTCACTGTCCTTTTTCTATAACACTCCTTTGCATTACCCACGTCTCCGGACTTACTCAGATCTCCACGATCGATCGCTATTGCCCGACTGGATCGATTCCAGCAGCACCATTCACTCGAATTATCGATCCTTCCCTCGAGAAGATAACAATCACTTGTACTGCCAGTTCAGTCAAGCAGAAAATCGCAAGTCGATCGAAATTCACTCAGTAGCTTATCACCAGCAAACAACCACAAATTGCTCTCATAGCTACCATTTACGACCTCAAAAACCAAATAGCTTTAGCAAGCGCTGATCTGGGATCAAGCACGCACGTCAACACCTAACGCATACCCACGATACTTACCAAGAATCAACATGCGCTCTTCAGCTATCGTCCTCGCGGGGTTGTCCGCCCTCGCCCTTGCCGCTCCCGTCCAGAAGCGCGCATATGTCACCGACGTCGTTATCGACTACGTGACCGTCTTCGTTACTGAAGGCCTCTCTACTGTAAGTCCTCCTTCACACCCCCATCTCAATATTTGGCATTTTCGAGTGCTCAATTGGCGTTGACTGGCGATTTGGTCGCCAATCAGCTATCCTCATCTTGAACGATCGGCACGCTAACACCCCGATTAGACCAAGACCAGCTCCAGCGTCGTCCCAACCACCACCTCGACCCCGCCTGTCGTGACCCCAACTATTCCCGCACCGGTGCTCACCGATGCCATCTTCCTCGAGAGCACCACCCCGCAGCCAATCCCAACCCCAACCCCGACTCCGGAGCCAATCGTCGAGACCCCGACACCAACCCCCACCCCTGAGGCACCCGTCACAACCCAGGCTCCCCAGCAAGCCGTCGTAGTTGACACCACCCCCGCCGTGACCACCCCAGTCGTCCAGGAGACACCAGTCCAGGCCGCCCCCGTTGTGCAGACCACCGCCGCCGCTGCCCCCGTCGCATCCCCCGCCGGCACCGACTACAAGAGCGCCGTCCTCTTCCACCACAACGTGCACCGCACCAACCACTCCGCCCCGGCCCTGACCTACAGCGACGAGCTCGCCGGCTACGCCGCCCAGCTCGCTAAGACCTGCGTCTTCAAGCACGACACGAGCATCGGCGGCGGCGGCTACGGCCAGAACCTCGCGCAGTCCGGCAGCTCGGGCGACGAGAAGTCCCGCGACCCTGCCACTATCTCCGGAGGTGCCATCTCCAACCAGTGGTATAACGGCGAGCTCCCGCTCTTCGACCCCTCCATGTACGGCCAGAACGACCCGGACATGTCCAACTTCCACAGCTGGGGCCACTTCAGCCAGGTCGTCTGGAAGGGCACCGGGACCGTCGGATGCGCAACAGTGTTCTGCGATACCGGCAGCCCGATGTTCTCCGCGCCCTTCTCCGGATGGTACACCGTCTGCAACTACGGCAGCCCTGGTACGTCCCCCCTTTTCGACCCTCCCTAACAAATGAACCCCTTTACTAACTCACCCTCAAGGAAACGTCGGTGGCCAATACGCAGCCAACGTCCTCAAGCCCCTCGGCAAATCCGCGGTCGTCGGCTAAACGCCCCCTTTTGCGCACATTCCTCTTCTTTCCCAAGAACGCAGTACGCACAGAGAGTCGTCGGATATCAACACATTTTTACACCCCCTTTTCGCTCTTCGCTTCTTTCAGCATGCTCCGCGAGCGTGCTACGCAACTTGATTTTTTTCCTTCAGCGGGCGGCAGACGGTTGGGGGCTGATCGGGTATCAATCCCACATCCACTGACGCGCGTCGCGAGCATTTAGAAATCCTGCATTGGTGTGGCTTGGTGGTTTTGAGGACGACGATGCCCAGGGCGGCGCGTCTTACCTTTTTTTGTATCTTCACTTCTGGACCATTCTTTACGGCCATTGACGGCCTGTACCTCATGACAAAAACAACTCTGGTGCAGGACGGCCTGAGCGGCTGGCATACAACGAACACACCTTTTTATCATTCAAAAATCTACATTTGTTTTCACTTCTTGTACAGTAACCAGTTTTTTTACTGCGTGTTTGTCCGACGATGACTCTGGGTGTGGATGCGATTCTTGGGCTTCTGTTTCCTATCTTTATCGAGTCTTGGAGGGGATTTTTTTCTGGGATGAGATGGAGATGGGATGGGTTAGGGATGAGTGAATGAATATGAAAAAAGTCTGCTACTTCAATTGTGTGATTTTTTTGGGGTGGTGGTTGTGATTGAACACATTTATGACACTGGAGAAGCTGTAGGATGGTGGTCTGAGGCTGGGCTGGGTATACTACTGTAGCTAGCTTCTCGATCCGGAATTACAGACCTTTCTCTACAATTTCTCCCCGGTACTATCTAAACGTGAAACTGATACCAGTAATTCTTCAACAAAAATCATCGCAATTGCTAGCGTGAATATAATTATATTGTGGGCATCAATTTACCTCTAGCATTGACTAACTCCCATGACCGCTACATTTATCCGATGACTTCCACGATTCCCATTACATAATCACCACACCCACACTACGCCATGACGCCATGCCAAATCGAGTCCGCAACCCCTCCTCCACCCGCACGGACTGGCGGGGAACGACGAGCGAGCGAGCGAGCGAGCGAACAGCTACCCGGGTTCGATCCCCCATTAATCCGCCGCACACGCAACGTCCGCCCTTCCCGCAGTACATACATACAAAAAAAAAGACCACTGCGCTACCCTCAACGACGAACTACTACCTACCTCTTATCGCTCTGGACTAGAGCTGCTACTACGTTGTTTGGAGAAGAGAAGAGACGTCTAGCACTACACCGTTTGTTTCGTTGTCGTCATGGTCGGCGCGGAGGGGAAGTCGATGTTAGGAGAAGCGGCGGAGAAGCTGGGGTTCAAGGCGAGGGAGGAGAGGGGCGTGGGAGCGCAGACTGCTGCTCCTGTTGATGCCGGCGCGGCGGCGGCGAAGGAAGATGTCCCCGCTGTGACGACGCTGAGGAATAGGGCGGGGGAGAGTAGGAGTCCTTATGTGAGTTTTGCCGGCGCTGTGGAGGTGGAGGATGGGGATGGAACCGCGGCTGACTGACTGACTGGTGGATAGGTGCGTGGGCATATGAATAATCCAGTTGCGTGGCAGATTTTTGGGGATGAGGCGATTGAGTTGGCGAAGAAGCAGAATAAATTGTTGTTTATTAGTATTGGGTATAGCGCTTGCCATTGTACGTTTCCTTACCCCTCCCCTCGGCGTCCGATATACCCAGCTAACATAACCCAGGGTGCCACGTAATGGAGAAAGAATCCTTCGAGAACGACGAAGTCGCCGCGATCCTCAACAAGGACTTCATCCCCATCAAGATCGACCGCGAAGAGCGCCCAGACATCGACCGCATCTACATGAACTTCGTGCAAGCCACGACCGGGTCCGGCGGCTGGCCTCTCAATGTCTTCGTCACCCCGACCCTCGAGCCGGTGTTTGGAGGCACGTACTGGCACGGCCCGCACTCCAACACCCCCCAGCTCGAACTCGAGGACCACGTCGACTTCCTCGGCATCCTCAGCAAGCTCTCCCAAGCCTGGCGCGAGCAGGAATCCAGATGCCGTCTCGATTCCGCGCAGATCCTACAGCAGCTCAAAGACTTCGCCGCAGAGGGCACTCTCGGCGGCGGCAGCGCTACCAAAGCGGGCGCCGAGCCAGCAGCAGGGGGGTTGGATCTCGATGTCATCGATGAGGCCTACCAGCACCTCATGTCCACCTTCGACACGACCAACTCCGGCTTCGGCGCCGCGCCCAAGTTCCCCACGCCCAGCAAACTGTCCTTCCTGCTCCGGCTGCCGCATTTCCCGCAGCCGGTCCTTGATGTTGTCGGCGCGGAGGAGGTCAAATCTGCGCAGTTCATGGCGCTTTCCAGCCTGCGCGCCATGGCGAGGGGAGGGATCCACGATCACATCGGCCACGGCTTCTCGCGCTACAGCGTCACGGCGGACTGGTCGCTGCCGCACTTTGAGAAAATGCTGTACGACAACGCGCAGCTGCTGCATGTGTACCTGGACGCCTTTCTCGGGCTGCAGAAACCGGACGCGGAGCTTCTGGGCGTTGTTTACGATCTCGCTGCGTATTTGACTTCTGCGCCCATTGCGAGAGAGGGGGGCGGATTTTACAGCTCCCAGGATGCGGATTCGTTTTACCGCAAGGGGGATAAGGAGACGCGCGAGGGGGCGTACTACGTCTGGACTGCGCGCGAGCTGGAGACTCTCCTCCCCAGCGGCGGCGCGGCGGATATCGTATCCGCGTTCTTCGGTGTGAGTCCCGATGGCAATGTAGCGCCTAGCCACGACGTGCACGACGAGTTCATCAACCAGAACGTCCTCCGCATCGCCTCCACCCCCTCGCAACTCGCGTCGCAATTCGGCATCTCCGAGTCCGAGGTCGTGGAGACGATCAAGGCCGCGAAGCGCACCCTTCTCGCGCACCGAGAAGCCGAGCGCGTCGCTCCGAATCTGGATGATAAGATTGTATGCGCGTGGAACGGGATAGCGATTGGGGCGCTGGCGCGCGCGGGATCGTCGCTGAGGGAGGTGGATGGGGAGATGTCGGAGAAGTGTCTTGATGCTGCGATTAGGGCGGCGAGGTTCGTGAGGAGGGAGATGTATGATGAGGATGCTAAGACGCTGAGGAGGGTGTGGCGCGATGGGCCGGGGGAGACGGCGGGGTTTGCGGATGATTATGCGTTTTTGGTTGAGGGGCTGCTGGAACTGTATGAGGCGACGTTTGAGGATGAGTGGGTTAGGTGGGCTGATGAGCTGCAGGGTGAGTGATTTTCTTTTCTTTCCCTCTTTGCCCCTTTCTCTGTCTCCCTTTCTAACCCCCCCGCCCTTCCCTACCCCACGGCTTCGTCATGTGGCTAGGAAGATTGGATATCTTGGACCCAAGCTAACGCGCACACAGCAACCCAAATAACCCACTTCCTCGACCCCCTCTCCTCCGGCTTCTTCGCCACCGCTGCCGCCGCCCCACACACCATCCTCCGCCTCAAAGACGGCATGGACGCCTCCGAACCCTCCACCAACGGCGTCTCGGCCTCGAACCTGTTCCGGCTCGCCAGCCTGCTGGGGGACGACAAGTACGAAGCTCTTGCGAAGGAGACGGTGAGCGCGTTTGAGGCGGAGATTATGCAGTATCCGTGGTTGTTTGGCAGTTTTATGCCTAGTGTTGTGGCGGGGGTGACGGGGGTTAGGGGGGTGGTGAGGGTGGGGGCGGGGGAGCCGGTTGTGCCTGGCGTGACAGCAGGTACGGCAGCTCCTATGGTGGAGACTGGTGTTTCTGCTCCTGCTCCTGCTGCTGATGCGGCTGCTCCTGCGCCCGCGTCTGCGGCAGCGGATGGTACCGCAGTTGCTGTTCCTGCAACAGCTGGTGCTGAGCCAGCTATCCCCGCTGCTGCGGACGCTTCCACGACCGGTATCACGACAGCTGTCGCGGATTCTGTCATGGATGTTGTCACGGGATCTTCCACCGACGCTTCCACGACCACAGACACCCCCACCAGCATCCCCAGCGCGACCGACGTAACCCCACCACGACACCCCATAGCCCTCGACACCACGCCTTCAGGCGGCCTCGTCGAAGCCGGGGAGACACCCCACCCCGCCCCTAAGGCTGGGACGAAACTACCGCCGTGGCCGAGGCCGAAGGCGAAGGGGGGGATCGAGACGGTGAGTTTTGTGGGGGGCGGGTATGGGGCGTGGATTGGGGGGAGGAGTAGGGGGTTAGGGGAGCTGGCGGAGGGAGGGAAGGGCGAGAGGGTGTTGGTTTGTGAGGGGGGGGTGTGTAGAGAGGTGAAGGGGGACGAGGTGGAAGAGGTTTGGTGAGGTGGGGGAGGGGGGGGTGTGTAGAGAGGTGAAGGGGGACGAGGTGGAAGAGGTTTGGTGAGGTGGGGGAGGGGGGAAGAAGGGAGGGGGGGGTAATGGGATAATGTGAGGGGAAAAGGGGTAGATTTAGGGGTATTTTTGTGATTTGTGTTTTTGGTCCTGGTTGGATGTGGATATGCAATTTCTAGACCATTTATTGACAGCTATATCTTGTGTTTGCAATTATCCCTTTCTAGCGTGTGCAGTGACGTGACATGGTAGAAATCCCATAATTCCTCGGCTTCTCAATCAGGCGTTCTCACAACACAAATCCATACCCCCCCCCCAGCTCCCATAACCCCCTCATCAGACATACTTCTCAATAACCCCCATCACCCTCTCAAACCCCCTCATCTCCCTCGCCCCCACCTCCCCCATAACACCCACAAGCTCACTCCTCGCCACGACTCTAAACAACAGAGCCCGAACTAGCATCTGCACCGCATGTCTCCCCGTCCCCAGCCCGGAAGCGCCTAAGACCTCTTCCTCTCCCTCCCCGAAATCCGCAATCCCGTCTACAACAGCGATCGCGACGGCGTAATCAACGCATCGATAGAAGGGAGAGAAATCGATAATCACGGGAGGCTTGTCGTCAGAAAAGAGGATGTTCCCGCTTAAATCCCCGTGCACGAGCTGCGCTATCACTACGCCCACTTCCTTGCGTAGAGATACGAGGCGCGAATACAGCGGTGCCAGAGCCGGAACGATATCGACGGACTCCTCACCCCACGCGACGCCATCAGCCCTTGCCCACGGATGCGTGCGTTTGCGCAGAAAGTCCGGCCTTGGGATCCCGTCGAGAGAGGCGTGGAAGTGCCGCGCTGCTGAGAATAGGGCGTCCCAATGGCCGACGGGGTGGGCTGTGCCGGGGTAGAAGGTGGTTGCGGTCCAGTTCTCGTGGACGTAGGAGCCGGTTGAGGCAAGGAGGGGGGTGGGGATGGTGAAGTGGGGGGAGGGAGGGAGGAGGGAGAGGGTGTGGGATGTCCATTCTGCTTCGGAGGTGGGGGTGGGAGGGATGTGTTTGAGGACTGTGGTGCCGCTGAGGAAGGAGGTGTTTTGGCCGCCGGGGAGGGGGGTTGGGGGGGTGGTGAGGGAGAAGGCTGTGAGGACGGAGGAGGGTGGCGGGGTTGGAGCCATTATTGATTTTGGTGAAGGAGGAGATGGGGTCTTTGGAATGGGGGATACGGTTGTGCGCTGGTCGCCTTTTTATGTGGTGGTGTTGATGGTTGCTGGATGCGTCATTCGGCGAGGGGTAAATGCAGTGAGACTCTGGCGTCCTCCCCGAAGACAAAGGCCACGGATACGGAGTTGAAATGCCTCGCCGTTAGCCACTCCGCAATGCTTAAACTCAATTCCTAGCAAAATCAATCAGCACCAATCCATTTCCCCGCCGAAGGACGATGTTGTGACCCTAGGGCGGGCCGTCCCTAGGCGCCGCCTCTTGGCCGACCACTCGGCCGCCTACATTGGCGCAGCACCGCGGTAAGAAGCGCAGCAAAGTTTAAGACGGCGTCTCACCCTATCACTCCAGCTGGTCTCTCTGAAACACCTCCGCATAACCTTGATAATAGTGGTTATTGTAAGTCAGCACTCTACGATGTGCCGCTCGGCAGACACAAGGCTGGCAGGCTCTCATTCGCGGGCCGGTGTACCTATCAATGACGTAGAAAGGGTCTAGACCGTCCCCGCAATTCTTTCAGCTCGAGGCTGAGAGACTGAGGCTGAGTTGTCCACAAGGAAAGGATTTATATCCTCCGTCAGGCTGGGATTTGGGTTGTACATAGTATTTATATGATACGAGTTTTCTCCGAATATTCTCTGTTCATCTGGTATACTTTGAGAGATTGACCAAATCGCTGCAACAACCGCGATAACTTCTGACAAGGCTCACCAAGGCCTAAGCCAGGAACCACAGTGGAGACACACAGTGGAGACAACACATACAACGATAATCCTTCATCAACCTCGAAAACAACCTCCCCTCGCCGCCAGCATCCCTCCTCCGCTCGCCCTGGTACCAGCGAGAGAGCGCATGTAGCCATCGCCACGTCGTCTCACCGTAAGCACCATCCCTCCCGCATCCCCATCGCCTAAATCCCGCACCGCTGACCCCGCACCCAGGAAAACCCATGGCACCCCTCCCCCACCACAGCGTCGCGCAGAAACACCACCTCTCCTTCCACTCCCTCGTCTCAATGACAACCCTCATGGCTCCGACGCACCACCACACGGCGCCCTCGCCGCCTACGGTCCCTTACCTCTCGCATCCCGTGCAAGCGCACTTGAGGAAGATCTACACTTCGCTGTGCGGGGAGTCGCAGTTCGTGTCGCGCGAGGCGCTGGTGGCTTTCCTGAAGGATGTGCAGGGGCAGGATATTCCGCTCAGCGAGGATGTCGCGGAGTATACGTTTGCGGACTGGCTGGCGCTGCTGTGGATGAGGGGTGGGTTTGAGGGCGTGGGCGCGCTGGCGGGGAATAAGGATTTGGGGAAGCCGATCAGCAGTTATTATATCAGCAGCAGCCATAATACGTATCTGAGCGGGAACCAGCTTATGAGCAAGAGTACGACAGATGCTTATAAAAATGTGAGTGCCCGGTCGGCTCGAAGACTTGGTGGGGTGGGGGGATAAAGTTTATTTGTGCTAATTGATATATAGGTCCTCATCCGCGGCTGTCGATGCATCGAAATCGATGTCCACAACGGCGAACCTGTGTCCGTTTCCTCCCGCATCCCTCATATCACCGGCACCACCCCGTCTGACCTCGCCGTATCTGCCATACAGGCGAAGAAAAAGTACAAGCGCATGTATAAAGCTGAGTACAAAGCGAAGCTCGGTTCCTTGAAGGGCAAGATTCCCTGGGGTCGGAGCGATGACAAAAAAGAGCACGCGGCCGCAGATGAGAAGTCGGGATTGGGACATAGGCTGGGGCACAAGAAGACGGCGAGCAATGTGCCGAGTATCAGTCGTGAGAAGACGAGCGACGCCGACAGCAGCAGCAGCAGCAGCGACGACGATTCCGATTTAGATGATGAGTCTGGAGAGAAGGACTCGAGGGGGCGCTCGAGTTCGATCTTAAAGGGAGAGCCGGTTGTGTTGCATGCCTGGACGTTAACGCGCGCTGTCGGCTTTCGCGAAGTGTGCCGCGCCGTGCGCGAGAGTGCGTTTCAGACGTCGAACCTGCCGCTCATTGTTAGCTTGCAAGTGGGCTGCGATGTGGATCAGCAGGAGGTGATGGTGCAGATCATGAAAGAGGAGTGGGCGGGCGTTCTTGTCGACACCGCGCACCCGACCTGTCACCCCGAGGAACGCCTGCCGCGTCTCGATGAGCTCCTGAATAAGATCCTCATCAAGGTTAAGAGAAGTGCTGAGGTCGCACCAACCGAGACTCCGAGCCCCGATGTTAGCATGACTGCCAGCAGCAACCCCATCACGCCTTTGACAACAAGCTTGACAACAAGCACGACTGCAAGCACGACTGCAAGCACGACGCTCTCTCCGCGCCCCTCCACACTCACCCCCACCACCACTATCTCTACACCCCTAACTCCGACCACCTCCCACGACGCTCTCGACGCCCTATCAGTATCCTCACGTTCCCGTTCCCCATCCCTCTCCCATTCTCCCTCCCGCTCCCCCGCCCCAAAGAACAAGGCGCGGATCCATCCCTCCCTCTCCGCGCTAGGAATCTACACACACAGCTCTCACTTCTCATCCCTCACCGCCCCCTCCGCCTCGATCCCATCACACATCTACTCCCTCTCCGAAGGCGACATCCTCGAGCTCTTCGCCGCCTCGCCCAACGCCCTCCTAGCCCACAACCGCAACTACATGATGCGCGCCTACCCCGCCGGCCACCGCATCGACTCCTCTAACCCCGATCCCTCCGGCTTCTGGCGCAAGGGCATCCAAATGGCCGCCCTAAACTGGCAAGTCTGGGACCACGGCACCATGCTCAACGAAGCCATGTTCGACGGCTCGGACGGGTGGGTGCTAAAGCCGCCTGGGATGCGGGAGGGTGCCGAGGTCGCAGAGCTCGATGCGCATAAGGTGGAGGGGAAGCTAATGGACCTGCGGATTCGCATTTTTGCGGCACAGCGCATCCTAGGGGAGGAGGAGCTGCGCGCGCGCGTCAAGGTCGAGGTACATGCGGAGAGGGCGGGGGAGAAGGCGGGCGAGGAGTGGAAGAGGCATACGGAGACGAAGCGGGGGGCGAGCGTGGATTGGGAGGGGGAGCGGCTTGATTTCCTCGGGGCGGGGCCGGGGGTGGTGGAAGAGCTGAGTTTTGTCAGGTTAGTAGGCACTTTCCGGGGGTGGATCTTCTTCCTTGGGCGTGTGTGTCTTTGGGCATCACCACTTTCTTTTGTTGGTGGGGGCGGGGACTGGTGGGGTTGCAACAGGATGGATGCTAATGGTGATGCAGGTTCCGTATTGAGGATGACGGCTTCACGGATACGTTGGCGGCGTGGGCGTGTGTGCGGCTTGATCGACTCCAGAATGGGTACCGGTTTTTGAAGCTGCGGGACGCGAAGGGGGCGGCGACGGATGGACTGCTGTTTATTAGCGTGGAGAAGGTAGAGCGCTGAGGGTAGAGTAGAGGCCGAGCGAGGCACATGGGACGTGGGGTGAAAGGGGCTTTCGGACACAAGGAAGAGCTGGCGAATGGATCTGAAGGGGCGTACCGCCAAGGTGATGTAGCATAATCTGGGTACCATACAAACTATCTAGCCGTCGTTCCCGTCAAATTTCGATCGATTTTTATTACAACGCACAAGTGCAGAGCCCTCTCTGCGGCCTGGGGCCCTCTATGCGACCCCGTGGCTCGCTACTAAGTGCATGTTGCAGCGAACCAGCAGCTGCAGATCTCCAGTGCATGTCGCTGACTTCTATAGCGTAGCATTGCCATCCATGACGACAGGGCGCCTACCGAAGGGATGTAGCGCCATCAAGCCATTCCACTCGAAGCCCCTAGAACCTAAATGCCAGGCCTGAGTTACTGTAGACGGCTAACCGAGGAGGGTGCCGATCTCTGGCACTTGAAGTACAGACAAGGGAGAACAGGAGGGGTGTGTGAAGCTAACCGCCGGCACTCATCCCATCCTTCTGACTTGTCATATATGTGATGAATCGGCAGCGGGAGGACGAGCGATGTATTCTATCATACAGTAGTATTCCCTTGGCGCTGCAGTCGAAGGACCCCTCCCCGCCTCATGCTAGAACACATGCCCCCACGACGTCGCATCGCGAGATGCCAAAAGCATCAACCCGTACCACTCCAGCAGCGGGCACTGCCGCAGTATCTGCTCAGTCACAGGCCGCTGAGATCCTGCGAGTGAAAACGCCCCCCCGATGCAGTGCTCCGTGGGATGTCTTACAATGCGGCAGGTAGCACACGGGAAGGGAGCGGTCCGGGGCGGGGTCTCACAGATGCAGGAAGACGGGGGGAGGGGAGGACGTTAAAGGCCAATGTGCATGCGCAAGATGGTGCACTAATGGGATTGTTGACATGCAGGATCGGAAGTCTCCTCCGCGATAGTCCAATCGTCAATGGTTGGCTTGTTGGCTGACGTAGCAACCGGAGAAGCTCCGAAGGCATGGCCGCGGAGGCAGACTGAAAGAAATATATCGCGCAAAGTGGTGAAGGCGAGCTTCATATCTGTCAGCAACATGTCGAGGGAAGTAAGGTAAAAGGCTAAAACAAGAAACCCGACGCGTGGGGTTTACGCAAGTTGCTTGGGATGCATCATCGCATTGAAGGGTCTACGGACTGAGAGCAAAGCAATGTTCGGAAAAGACCGTCAGAGTAGACTATGCATCTTAATACTCACTTATGCAGTTACATTGGCCGTTGAGCCCCTTGCTCAACGAGCAAAGGCCGGCTTATGTTCCCTAGTGACAAAGAAGGCTGTGACAGCTGCCATGTCCCACACCCCTAATTTAATGACGTCCTTGAACTGGGGCTGTTGCAAACGTGCATCCTTAGCTGTGGAAACGTCCGTGCTAATGAGACATGACTCTTGTGGAGCTGATTGGTTCAGTGTGGAAGATTCAATACGAATTTCACTCTCAAAACACTTCTCTGGACGCCACAGCTAGAGTAACTTAATTGACATTAAGCCCTCGTATAGTGATTTGATATTCAAAGATTATCCCGCTTCCAAAACAAATATCAGCGGTTCGCGGTCGTGCATGCATAGCAACCCATCCCATCCCAAAAAACCAGCTTGTTCGGAGGATATCCGATTACGGTTTTACCCCTGTCCCGCTGAACAGCCGCTGTTATCAGAATCCGATTATTTTTCGATACGGCGGTGATATGTGATAAGATAGAACCGCGGGATGGTTGATGGCATTGCATAAAACGCAAGTCACACGATGGTTTTTTTTTGCAACCGAGCGCTTGTTTAGCTCGAATCCACAGCGGGTTTATGTGCTCAAAACATATCCTGTGCGAGCGGACATCTCAGATCCCATCACCATGGCAGATCCAAAAGTGACAGCTGCTCGCGGCCTTGGCAGAAGTGAGCAGATGACTAGCTTTATCTGAAGATCTCAATTATGAAGTGACCGTGCCCGGAATCCACTAAATGTATCTGGATTACAAGCGCGGGCATTCTAGTTGATGTCGTCTTTTATACGCTGTAAACACACGAGTACGCGGGGACGGTCCGTGATCCGCGTATCGCTGGGCTCGGACGATTGAAAGCCCCTTTACTCGCCCCAATCGCATCTTTCTTTTAGAAAACGCGATATGGACATTCGCATGGACGAAGAAGATGATCAGTGACTTTAGATGTGTCCGACTCCACATCTGCAGCTAGTGTGGTAGCTTCATCAAGTGAAGCTTCTCTCGACGCCTATTACAGCATTGTAAAACCGCCACATTCGCTCCGGATACAGGATGGTTCATGGATTCAAAACCAAGCATTTGATGCTCGTTTTCTTTGACTATCACTGCCGACAAGAGTTCTAGGTGATTGGACTTGAACGCCGCTTATGTAAAGATCATCCTCATACATCGTGTCTATAGGACTGACTGATATTGTGGGGGTCCCAGTCCGTGTCAGGCCCATCGTGTAGCTCCGAGACTTCAACGAGATATTGTGCCAAAGGCGTAGAGATCGCAATCCCTAGTTAGGTACCCGTGGTTGAATCGAAATGCCTCAGCCGTAGTTGCAGACCCCGGCGGGACAATCTCTTCGCTGGGAATACCCTCTCCCAGTCAAGCAGTTGCAGACCCCCAAGGGACAATCGTTTCTCTGAGAAGCCCTTTCTCACTTCCCGTCCCAATGCCCCATCGAAGTATAAAGCCCAGCGAATTTCCCTTGAAATTGAGACATCAACAGCAACACATAGACCAGAATACTGAACTTCAACGCAACTTTATCAAACTCATTGCGACTCCCCACAACAAAGCGCTCCAAGCACCATGCTTCCTCGCGTATCAATCAACATCCTCCCTCAAGAGGATCATGCGACCTCCCAAGCTTCACAGTTCTCTCAGACTCCAGTGCCTGGCATCACACAGATGCCCGTAGGTGACTCCATAATAAGACGCAGAGCCAAACTGACAACCCAAAGATCGCCGGCGTAAAATGCCCTACCTGTTTTGCAAATGGGATCGAAGTCTGGGTTATCCGCGGCAAGATCTGCGGAAACTGTGGCACAGAATGTGGCTAAGCAACAGGTAAGTTTCCCTCCATTGCAGAAGCTCCAGACAAGGCCAGTAATGACGCGTGGTATAGGTTTTGTTACACAGCGTCGGCGTGGCAAGCTCATGGTTGATGGCAAGAGGTTGACGTTTTTGGCTTTCAGCCCCTTTTCATTGGCCATATTATTGGCAGCCGTGGAGGAATGGTCGTATGAACCTGTGTAACCCTTAGGTGGTTCTCAAAGTGTTTTTATGTTTCTGCAATCAGTACTTCTAGCAATACCACATTCGTTTCCAGTCACTGCTCGTTGACGTCGTACGTGATTTGTCGTTGGGGAACACAATTCTTGATTCCTGTCCACGGAAGCACGTCCAGCGTTCCGATGCACCACAGTCGGTCATTCTAGAGCAAGCGTCGTGACACAGCCAAGCTGGGGATGGAGAGTTTCAATGCCTAAAGTTTTGGCGGTGATGTGCCGGCTAGAGAGTTGTAGATGTGGCTCTCCGAGTAATGAAGCCGAATGCGCTTTACCGGTGCACTGATAGCAGGTATAATGGCAGCTTTTTAACCCGTATTCATTGGTTGGCAGTGGCCACAAGGCTGAGATGTTACAATGACACATCGACAAGTTTGTGATATTAGAACCGCGACACTGAATCAAGGATGAGACCCATACCGCATCAAGGATAGAAACGTGACGATTCGTTTCAAGATCGTGAGAAGGTTACAAGTGCCAACGAGTAAACAACATTGGGAGATCAAACAGACAGTAGAGTGTAGATCAAATACATAAAATCCCAGAAAGTAAAACAGAAGCTTTTCTCCCACTAAAACAGATAACATGCATATATCCAGCAAGGCTGTGCCAAACACGACAGACATGGAATTATAACTTGAAATAAACAGCACCTAGCATTAAGAACGCCACGCCAGCCTTCCCCAAGCAGCACAACAGGCAACCCATGAACGAAACGAAGTAGTACAATCGAAACACCCCCCCCAAAAAAGTGAGACAGAATGGCATGGAGTTGAAGATTGATCGAAGCTTGACCCTGATGCTTGACCTACAAATAGCAAATAGGCGAGATAGATCCCAGTGAACGGCTTTCCCCCATCCCTGTTTCTCCGCTCTAGAAATCCCACACCTTGGATCCCAGTTTCCGCTTCAGTAACTTCACGAGAGCGAGGGCGGTACGAGATATCTCTCGCTCTCAATCGACCATTGCTTTATTTGCCGGCATGCCTACTACGATGGTGGCGAAACAGCGGGGCACGACGACACATACGTACGTACTCACCACGACGCCCATCTCGATTCTCAAAACTAAACCACTCCCCCCTCCCCCCCGGCCAGCCGAAGAAACCACACTTACCTCTTCCAGTCCATCAATCCCAGTCTCCGATCATCATCACCGTCGTCATATGGCTTGAGTGGATTGATTGATTAATAAGTCTTATTTATGTATATTGTCTTCCCCCCCTCCCTCTCCTTCCGACTACCAACTGGGGAAAATCGGTGTAAGATATAAGTACAGCGATCCAACTAGTAAAAAAATGCATAGCCAACAAACAAATAGCACAAGTATCCGGCATCAATTAGACTGCCTAGATCCCCCGCCATCCTCCCCTCCTCTCCCGCCCTTCCTTCTTTTCCTCTTCGCTATCAAAAAATACCAGGAAGGAAGGAAGAAGGGAGAAGAAAATAAAAACACAGCTTTCCAAAAACATTTCCCCCTTCCCTTTATGGTTCAACGCCTTGTAAACGTCCTTGATGTGATGCGGCATGTAAGCATGGAAACATATTAGAACAACTCCCACACAACCCCCACCCCCCCTTCCGCCGCCATCCCCCCAGCCCGCCGTTGGTGGCAGGTTCCTGTTATTCTTGCAACATTTTTCTTTTTCTTTTCAGATAATCTTGGTCGTTCGTTTCAATTCTCCCAGTCTTGCATAAAGTTTCTGTTTTTCTTTTTCTTTTATTTCAGAGCGCAAGCCTCGTAGGAGCTGTATCCACTGCCATCAGTCCACTCGGTGAAATTCCCAATAAGGACATCCTGCATATTCCTCGCGGCCTTCATGAAGATCGTCTCGTACGGATGGATATTGAAGCCATAGTAGTAGTTATCATGGAAGAAGTCGTCGTCGGTGCAGCCCTCAATGTATCCCTTGGGGCTATTATCCTTTTTGCCGTCCTTGTCGTGGTCCTCGCCGTCGTGGGAGTGGTACACCAGGTTCAGCGCCTCGACCTCGTAGCCGGCGTTGATGATCGAGGGCGTCGAGCGGATCTCGCCGCCGATCGCGTTGACCATGTCGTAGGGGCACCAGTAGCCGATGCCGCCTTCGGCTTCGGGCTTCATTAGGATCTCAATGCCGACGCGGTCGAGTGCCCAGACCATGGATTGGACGTGGCCCTTGCCGCCATGGCAGTTGTAGCTCATGCCCGCCAACTGTATCGCGTTAGCACTTGTATCATGACTATATCGGAGGAATTAGAGTGTGTGAAGTGAGACATACCTTCTTCTTATCCGTGAGCATGCCCCAGAACGCCTCGCTCCAGCAGTCTTTACTCCAGATCGGCATGAACGGGCCACGAACACTCGCATTCATAAGCATGAACCTCTCATACCCCTCCCAGAACTTGCGTCCGCCGCGGTCACGCCCGCCCATCGGGCTGAGCTTGGTTCCCAAATCGTTCCACTCACGCAGCAGCGCCTCGCCATGCGCGCCCATATCGAAGCACTTATTATCGCGCTTCAGGACCTCGATGTTCGTGATCTTAGGATCGTACCACGGCGACGTCTCGTACACGGGGAGGATGGTCTCGGCATCTGTGTCGCCGTTGAAGCTGAAGACGAAGTCGGCGCCGGCGTACAGGCCGTGCTTGATGAAGAACTCGAGATTGCGGCGGTTGGTGGGCGACTCGGTGTAGACGTATGAGATGAGGGATTTGGGGCGGTCGCCGCGGAGCTTGGCCTTGTCCTCCATCAATGCGTTCTGGTCCTTCTTGAGCTTCTTTTCCTGCTCGGCGAGCTTGGTTTCCCGCGCCTTGAGCGCATCTTTTTCGGCGGCCACAGCGGCGAGCTGTGAGGCTAGGTTCTCGGCTGCGCTGACGGAGGCGGTTGTTGGGGGGGGGTAGTGGTCATCGTGGTTCCATTGCGAGACGACATTTGGGAAATGGCCCTGGGAGAGAAGTTAGTAGCGCTCTGGTTAACGTCGTCGCACGGTCCCGGATCGCTTGGGATGAAGTGAAGTCTTCAGGAACGACCGGGACGCGGTGGTGGAGGGCAGAGCATACCGTAGCTCGGAGTCCAACGGCTAGGACCCAGATGGCAAGGAGCGCGACGAGCCCAGTGAAGAGTCCAAAGCGCCTAGAAGCCATCTCGCCGTTCAAATGCAATCGGTGGTTCGGGAGACGGTGTCACAGTCTAGTTGTGGCGTATCACGGCGACATAGGGGATCTATCAGGAGACAGCAGGGCGTGCAGTTTTGTTGACTGATCTTCTGGCGGCTGGTGGTCAAACGAGTGTGGATGCCTTCTTGGGAGAGAAAGCAGGAGTTTGGAACAAAAGTGACGAATAACTTCTGAATAGGATCCTTGACGACAATACGATGATAGGTGAGGCAAGGGAATGAGTGAAGAAAGATTGATTTGGAGGTGGTGGGTGTGGGTGGCCACACTATGCTTATTTTTGGGATAATCTTGTTCGGAGGTCGCGATTAGAACTAGTACAAACGACGATGTACTACATGGTGCTACATTACAGTACATTTCTACATGCGGTCCATGTGTTCAGGTAGAGAGAAATTGGCGAAATTTCTGTGGAATGGCGAGCTTTTTACTTGGCGATCAGCCGATGTTAAAGCGGCTCAGGAGTGTACTAAGTATTTCTTCTTATTCCTGGGTTTATATTCTACGATTATTATTTATTATATGATTTATAGAGATCGCTATAGGGATTATTAATATATCCATCCGAGTAAACTGTTGAGGGCATTTGAAAATATCGTGACCTGGACTTTTAATGTTCGATGTTTCTACTTTTTAGTAGGGACTCGAACGATAAGGACGGTCACAGACAAGTACCGCCGCTAGTCCAGAAACGGATGGGGGGTTGCTGCTAGCACCCAGTTGTCAGGGGTTATACAATTTCACACATACAAACACGTGACTGTTAAATTGCAATGGTGGAGATTGGGAGCCATGAAGAGATTGACGTTCAACGGCAGGCGGGTCCACACGTTCATGTTCGAGGCTTCCAGACCATAATACGGGACGGGATATCAAATTGATCATATAGCTCGTAAAATAATGTAGTCATGTCTCTGATATTACTAACTAGCAAGCCGGCAGAGAATCCGAGCAAGCAGCGACTACCTATATCCTCTCTATCTATCTACCTCTCTCTCTCTCTCTCAGGCCCAGAACTCGACCCCGACGCGCCATATATCCTCGCTTGCCTGTTTGTACAAACCGCCGTTCGTTGACTGTTGTAGCCCGTGTCTTCCCCCGTGTCCAATCCCCGCTTTTCGTGCAAAAGCTGCAATGAGTTATAAAACAAAACAAAAATGAAGTCCAATCAGTATGGAGCCAAAATGGCCAAAGTTCCTTCCTTCTTTCTCTCCTCTCTCGCAGCAAAATCGCCCGCCATGGTATTACAACGATCTCGCTCCCCTAGCAACCCGCAGCCTGACAAATCTCCGTATTCGAAGGCGTCACGCGGCCTCGCTCTCGATCCAGGTAAAAGGAAAGTAATCAAGCCCATTCTAAACACCAGCGCCATGCAAATATCCCTCCGCTCTCTCTCCGCCACGCGTCTAAAAGTTAGATGAAGCATTGACAGGACGCTGCGGGGCGTGGTAGCTCTCGAGCGTGCTCTGGAAGGGGTTCGAGGTGGAGGCAGTATCCGGCTTCTCGCCCGGGGATGTCATCATCAGAGCGTCGTCCTCCTGGGCCCTGCGAGAGGACCGTCTGCGGCCCCAGAACTTCCAGAAGACCATGAAGATGAGGCCTAGGAAGATGGCACCGCCGACGCCGACCACTACACCGATGACTGTGTTCTTTGTCTTTGTGCTCATGCCAGACTCGGTATCTGGGGTGTCGTCGATTGGGGAGGCAGTGTTGGTTGGGATCAGGGACGTAGCGACGGAGGTGGTCTGGTAGGTCTTTCCATCGCTTGTCACGTCAATCACGGTCGTGCGCTTCGACGTGATGGTGCTGCGGGGAGGAGCGGTGGTGGTGGGCTTTGATGTGGTAGTCTCAGACGAGTCGGTTGTCTCGGTGGAGTCAGTCGTCGTCTTCGACGATGGAGTATCGGAGGTTTGTGAAGGGGTCGACGACGCTCCAGTATCAGAGGGAGTAGTCGTCGATTCGTCCGATGTGGTTGTGGTTGGAGGTTCCGTCGTTGTCTCTGACTGGGAATCGGTTGTAGATGTCGTAGAATCGGACGAAGTTTGGTCGGCGGTGTTGGTAGTTCCTGAACTTGGGATCAAGCCATCCAGGATTCCGGAGGAATCTTGTCGAATATGTACTACATTCACCACATTGTTCCTGGCGGCTACCTCCGGTCCCCCGGCCTTTTGGACCCCAGAGATGCGATGTCCGTCGCCGGACAAAACGAAAGAGGCGACCAACAGGGTGAGGAGCGATAACCTCGCGGGCTGTATAGAAGAGAACATGATGTTCTGTGTGAAGGGAATTCTTGTGTGCGGTTGTGTCGATGACTGGAGTTCTATCTCCGTCGTTGAGAGGGTCGAGTGCACAGTAGGCAACGAATATCCCGAGTTGCCACCGAAGTTTTTGTGTATAGGTCAAACTTCTCGTGGGCGGATGAAAAGAAGGAGGAAATAAAGATTCGAAGTCACTTGATGGGCTAGTCAAGCCTGTAGATAATGAAAGAAAAGAAGAAAATAGTTAACAAGTGAAGGTGTTTTGTTGATGCTACCAACGTTCAGGGCTTACGTTAGGGGACGTGAAAGATTCGTGGTCGGGCGGGTGAGATGACTTCGTATTCCAAACAGCATGGGTCCGTGGTGGAGACGGGTACAGAGATACATGAGCACTTATCGCCGTTAGAGCGGGAGCAAGGAGAAGCACAACGTTGAGAAACCTAGATATTCAGGCACTCACAGTCACTCTCAGGCACCCACAGGCACACATTATTTCTTAATCAGGGCAAAATTGGCAAAATTGGGTCAAGGGGGTTCTTAGGTGAAAAAGATCCGGCAGAATTTATGCCGTTTTCGGCAAAGCGGCGGGCGGGAAAGGCTTCTCGGGGCCAATCACTAAACTTGTTCTATTTATGCAACCATTGGAATACGAAACCCCTCTTCCTTTTTGTGCCCATCTCTGGAATATCATTGTGATAAAGATCATCATAACTTCCCAGCATATATACACAAGCAAAAAGATATACCGGTTATAGTGAACTGACGTATGTCCTATAGGATCCCATATATATGCGGTCTGGGGGGGAATAACGAGATGCGGATGCCAGCTGGCAGCACGGGAGCTAAATGCACAGCCACTACGTTCTATCTCCGACACGAGTTGTCTGAGGGAGCTGCCGACAACAGCAATTGGCTTGTCGCTCGTAAGGGCTGAAACCCCACAGGTGTGCGAAGGTCCGATGATGCCAGAAGAGCGCGCAAGGACTCTTGTGGTTGGAGTTTAACCTTTTTGATGGTTCCAGGACATAGCCACAGTCCAATGACGATGTCTTCAAGGGAGAGCGCCACAGCGTCGACGAGGCTTCGAGGTCGTGTCTTGGCGTGTCATTCGGGTTTCAGGCGTTGGATTCCTCAACTCGATTCCACGCCGCCACCAAGGAAATGGTCATATTGTAGGTTGAGTATCTTAAGATAATCCGTTCTTTGACGTCTTTGCTTCTTACTTTCTATTCCTGTTATTATCGCTCGAATCTCTAGTTTGTTGCGTCCTTACGATGTTACGCCACGTGCAGTATATCGCCCTATTTGTCCTTGCCGTGGAAGCAACGGCCTGGAGCCATGCGGACATAGATTTAAGACATGAATTCGGGAATGTGTTGGTGCCGCGGCAGACCACAAACCTGCAGGTATGCATCTCTACTATTGTCGATATACTGGAGGAGGGCATTGCAGATAGGACTGAGAAAGTAGTCGGGCCAACAATACAATGGAAGCTGATATCCAGATACAGACCTTCACCGGCGCACTGGGAGGCGCTGCCGCCGAGCCCATAACGAGCACTAATGACCAAAACCGGCCCTTCGAAGTTGCCGGTGATACATTTGTATGAATCCCAACCAATCCACCCACTCCTCACTTCTCCTAACAAACCCCTACAGACCGACTTCAAGTCAGCTGCCAGCCGCACCTGCGATAACCAGAAAAACGCATGTGCAAAGATCGCCAACAGCGGGGGCAATAGTAACGGTCTGCAAGTGAGTGACTGCGATAAACAGCGGGAAACCTGCTTGTCGACGCAGGATAAGGCGACGGTGACGAGTTTCGACTCTTCGGCGAGTAGCCAGGCGCAGGCGCAGGTGGTTACCAGTGATGATGAGTTTACCTACTTCTGCGACCCTTGAGAGGCTGTGGAAAGTGTTTGGAATAGCGGAATACGGGGTGGTCGGCTGGCGTTTATGGGGAAAGGGGGGTTGGATGCGACTGGGAGTCTGGAATAACCTGTGATGATGATGCCAATGAGGGATTCAATGAGGGGACTAGAAGTCCGGAATGACCTGTGGTGATGTTGGCGTTGGAATTGTCTCAATATTGTACATGAATAGGCTCTGGGGTGCCATGCATGGGCTTCGATCGATCTGACTCAGGCCAAATAAACATCACACTGTCTCTCGCCTTGGCTCTGTCGAATGGTGCTCGTATTGATTCTTGGCCTACTGTACCCTGCGACAAGGTCGAATTGGGCAGGTTCGTAGGAACCGTAGGATTCTCTGGGCTGCTTGTTTCAAACGGCCAAAGGGTGCCAAGATGTCGACGAGTTAATATCTCCACGTTCTTTTACCCTTTATTAATCTCCAGCATCAGACAGGCACGAACGTATTGACAAAAGATACATTCTGTACTTCATTGTGGCCGTGTTAAACATTTGTGGTCGTGTTCGATGTATGTACTCCGTAGCACCTGTAGGAAGGGATAGTGGGGAGAGGGAAGCCTTACGCACCGCCACACATCTTTCCGTGGTTGAAGGCCATTGGCCACGTTATCACCCCCGGTCAACCGCAACATCAGCTTCGCAGTTCAAGTTCAATTGTGTGAAGGGAGTCGTTAGAGAATCACAACGTCTCTTCCAACGTGCTCTAGGCTTGTTAGAGCAACTCACAGTGGCTTGAATTGATCTCTCGTTTGCAGCAGGCTAGTTGCACATTTACGAGAAACCCAGCACCTCGTTGTCGTGCTTTCAGTCCGAGTGCTCCCGCTGTCGCATAGCTGAGGCTCAACGACGTCGCGCGACACCTCAGAATAGACGCTTTGTCGCCATCGCGCGCCCGCGGAGATCCCAACGACTACCAGAACATTAATGGGCGCTCTCACGGCAATAGTTTGAAGTAAACTGCTCATTGTGCAGCAAGCCGATGGAGAGATCGGGAGCGTCGATGGTCACGAAACCCCGCATACCTCGAAACTAAGACCTATCCAAGATGTCTTTCCGCCAAAACGGACAGCATAGATATGGCCACGTCCCTCCGCAACAATATGGAGGCCAGCAGCCAGTTCAGAATGCAGGCCTTGGCTTGCAGCGACAGTCAAGCTTCGACAACGGCGATGATGCCCAGTTCTTCGACAATACGAATGGCACACGGCCACCGCCGGCGCAGCCAAACGCTTACGCGCAACAAAACCATTATGGGAGCCAAAGATCACATGGAGGAGGACAAGACGAACTATATCTAGATGGGTCCGGCAGGGGCCATCGATCCCCGGAGCGACCACCATATAGTCCACAGCCTTCCCAGTATACGAACCAGATGTACGCAGGACAGGGCGGTGGAGTGCCGCAAACCCCGAGTACACCGTCAGCATACAACCCACAGCACTTTCCACGGACGCAGTCGCAGAGCCAAGCGCATGTTCAGACGCCTAATTATAATCCTCAATTATACAGCAGCCAAAGTGTTTCTTCGCACCACCACCCCTATGTCCCGGCCGCGTACCAGACACAGCAACCCCCGGTGCCGCCGCGGCCACCCGCGCAATCCCCTTATATGCAACAAGGACCGAGTTATGGAGCATCTCCTATTCCACAACAGAACCAAACATTCAATAGCCCGCCTATTCAAGCGAGTCCATATTGGTCCCCCCAGATTCCTCAGTCTCAGCAATATGGAGCTGCGCCACAAGTCCCCAACCGAGTGCCTACTCAACCCGCATATGAGACCTCCTATGAACCCGCCTATGAGCCTTCATATACCCCGTCGCTACCTGCACCTCTCCCTCCCAAACCGGCTCAGTACTCAGCTCCGCCCCCAGCGCCGACGTACCCTGCCAACGGGACTACATACGGGTCTACCAATGATTACAGAGCGCAGAGCAACCCATCCCCATACCCAGCAGTTACGCAAATGCCTATGGGCCCATCATACTCTGCTGCATATGACGACTTCGGTGCCGATGCGTATGGAGGCAGACCCAGCCGCGCCTCAAGCAACAGCAACCCGCCCCAACCAGTCCCAGTGGAGAATGACGTGCAACACATCAGTCAGCTTCGACGGCATCCAACTGGTCGCGCACTCCCAACTGCTCCTGCTATCGAGGACACAGACCCGTTCGATGATGATCAGGATAGACTATCTACTGAAGCCAGGGCACAGGAGCTGATGTTCCAAGAGATTGAGGCTGCTATTGGGGTAAATACTGTTAACAGGACTCAAATAAGCCAACCGCACGCTCCAATGAGTGGAGACCTACTCGATAATGAATTCGGCGACCACCCCAATGGTTTAGGTTCTGAGGCGCGAACACCAACAGCTGGCCAGACTTCCGAGCAGATGTACGAATTCGAAGACAGTGATGAGGCGGAAGCTGCTTCTGGGGTTTTGGCATTGAAGTTAGCCGAAGAGGAAGAGGCCAATCAGGCCAACAGAGGTAGCATGGGATCATTTGGGCTTTATTCCCAACAACGGCCTCAAGAGGCATCCCAGGATGCCAGCAGCGACAGTGATAATTATGCGGTGGGGATGGATCTCACGATGCTTGGTGGGGGTCTTAATGTACCGATGTCGTACGGAAACGACATTGCAGTTCGGGATGAGATGCAAGACGAAAGCCGCCCTTTGCCAGACATGCGCGGACGGGAAGCGTACGCCCCTCCGACAGCATCTGTGCTTGGAGGCTTGACTTACCATCATATACCTAGCGATGACATACACCATCCGTTCCCCCCTACTCACGACCCAGGAGCAGAAATTCCAGCCCTACAACAACAGCACCGGCGTAGTTTTGACGAGGGTGATGAGAGATCATCGCTTGGGTCCCGCTTGACGACCGAGTCACGTCTCAGTGGAAGGTCAGGAAGCGACAGCCCGTCGAGGGAGGAGTTTCCGGATATCCCCTACCATCCCGGCATTTCAGCAGCATCTGCCCACAATCGACCCTTGCCAGCGGTTCCTTCTTTAAGTGAAAACAGGACGCCGCAATTGCTCCCTGCTGGATCATACCGTAACCCACCGAACCAACAACAGGACCCACAGAGGACATCCCAAATGTACCCTCCGGATGGCCCCGAATCGTATGCAACCCAGGATCTTCTCAACCCAGGAGGACAGTTTGTACCCAGATCGGCATCGTTGACAAGCCATAGTAGCACCCCTCTCGTGGTCCCCCCTATGCGCTCAAGGACGGATGCCGAGGAGCGCCAAGCCAGACAGCGCGCTCTGAGAGGCCACGGCGTCGATGGATTTGATGCAGGAACGCCGCAATCGACAACGCCTCTTGACCTGCCAGCACTCCCACCAGGTCGACGAAAGAAGGCCACGCCCGAAAATCTCAGGTCGTCCGACTACAAGAAGTGCAGAGAGCCGTGGGCGTTGAGCGGCATTGCCGACTGGATCCGGGAAATGTACTGCGGGGAGTCAGGGGACGGAGAAGCTGACCTGCGTGTGAAGTCCATTCAAGACTTGCTCGTTGCCCTATTCACGCACAAAGTACCTACGATGAACACTGCTGATGCAGAAGTGATAAGCGCCGTCGTCGTGAACGATATGCTGCAGGCCAGCGTGTTGGTAGAAGACGAGGAATGGGTCAAGTTTGGCCCTGGGGAAATATCCGGAGTTCTCTGGCAGATGAGCGGTTCTGGCTGTTACTCTCCGAAGGTTCACGAGCACGAGATTCACGGCCGCTGCTACTCCCATCACTGTCATCGGACTCTGAAGAAGATCAACCTGCATGCGCAGAAAATGGCACCGGCGAAACGAGCCGAGCCCTGGCATGAGTTCTTCAAGCTCACCAAGTTGCAGATTGATGCGGCAGATAGCAAGGAGGTGCTCCGGCAGAACAATCTTCACGAAATTATCATGTCCGAGGATAAATTCATGGTGCAATTGGATGTCTTGCGGACGATTTATAGAGATGAGCTTCAGGCCTGGCAACCGCCGATTATTGGCCAGGTCAAACTTCCTCGGTTCATCCAACAGGTCTTCGGTAGGGCAGAGGCTGTCAAGAATGTCAACATGAACCATTTGCTGGCACAACTCAAGTACCGCCAACAGGAGGAAGGCCCATGGGTTACAGGATTTAGTAGCATCTTCCGTGAGTGGAAACGACGAGCGAGCCAGGTATATTTGGATTATGCTGCGAGCTATCCAAATGCCACTTATTTAGTGCGGAGGGAGATGGAAAAGAATGTACTCTTCCGCCAGTTCCTCGACCAAGCACAGAGCAACAAAGTATCTGATCGTCTGGGGTGGGATACCTATCTCTTCGCGCCATTGAAGCGACTGCAGCAGTATACTTTACTGCTAAAAGAAGTTCTTAAGCATACATATGTTGACAGCGAAGAGAAAAGCAACCTCATAATCGCCATCAGGGAAGTAGATGATATGACTCTCGCCTGTGATGAAAAGGTCAATGAAGAGAATAAGAAGATCGAGATGCAAGAATTGCAGACAAAGCTATTCATGCGCCCCGGGTTTAGGCGTGTTGATCTTCACTTGGATCATCTTGGCCGGCAACTTATCCTACAAGGAGACCTGCAACGGCCTGGTAGTAGTCGCTTCAACTGGCTGGAAACCCGTGCTATTCTGTTTGATCATTACCTCGTGCTAGCCAAGGCTGTTGTTCAACGCGACAGTTCAGGCCTGAAAAACAAGGAGGTTTTCGATATTTCGAAACAGGTAAGAAAACCATCACCCCTCACCTTATCCAACTCTCTAACCATCTAAAAGCCTATACCGATGCAACTTCTCGTGCTAGAAAGCACAAACGATGAAGCGGTCGTGAAATCTAAGGGGTTGGGTAGTGTAACGACAGTTACGAGATCGGCTCCTTCGACTTCAGACTCAAGGATTACCCGGGCATCTACGGCATCAGACCGCCCTCCGTTAGACCACGCCTCGACTAACACGTCATTGAGTTCGATGTCGAAAGTTTCTTCCAACACAACTGGTGAATTTGATGCACGATCCATGTTTCCATTCCGAATCAAGCATCTCGGGTCTCAGGAAGTGCATACACTGTATGCACCCAGCGCCCAGAATCGGCAGGAATGGTGTGAGAAGATTATGTGGGCCAAGGAACGCCATGCTGCATCGCTCTTTTCTCAAAACGCGGAGCCTTTCCGGCTAAAGGTTCTAGCCGACACTGCATTCGCCATCGATCCAATGCAGGCTGGTGGAAGGAGCAGTGCTGGGATTCCAGTCGTTGGAACGCCGTTGGACAGGGCAATTAAAGATATCGAGCGGGAGTATGGCCATGCAAGACAGTCCCCGGTTTGCCGAACACAAGTCAATTGCGCGACAGCATTCGCCATGTACGGCAAATCTATGGTTGCTATTGGTGCGGATAACGGGGTCTACATATCGGAGGTCAACAACCCCCGAGGATGGACAAGAGTAAGTTGATTTCCAGCCATATGCGGTCGGAATAGCATACTAATTACTTCCACAGTCTATACAGGCGAGTCGCATTACTCAGATAGCAGTCCTCGAGGATTTCTCTATCTGCCTCGTCTTATCCGATAAATCTCTCATCGCCTATCACCTCGATTCCGTCGTCCCCGTCTCCAACTTCCCAGCACCGCAGCACGACTCAGCGCGCCGCGCTCCGCAGAAGATCTCCGGCTCCCGCGAAGTCTCCTTCTTCGCCACGGCGCGGATGAAGGATCGCACACTCGTCTTCTACAAAGGGCGCGGAAACATCGCAACTTCGTCCTCATCTACATTCAAGGTGTTGGAGCCTGTCTTCCAGAAATCGTCTGAGAAGAAATCGAAACTTTTCGGGCGATCCAAGACGGGTGGCGGCACAACTGAGTTCTTCCGCGAGTTCGACGAGTTCTATATCCCCGTGGAATGCTTCGGTATTAATCTCTTCCACTCCTACATCGCCGTCTGCACAATCAAGGGATTCGAGCTCCTCACACTAGACAAGAAGATTACGATGAGCATCCCCGACCCCAACCAGCCCAACATCGCATCCATAGCCGACCGTCTCAAAGACCAGAAGCCGCTAGGCATGTTCCGCCTCTCCGACGCCGAGTTCCTCCTCTGCTACCAGGACTGCGGCGTCTACATCGACAAGCACGGCGAGGTCTCGCGCAGCGTGGTCCTCGAGTTCGTCGGCAAGGCCAAGTCGGCCGCCATGTTCGGCGCGTACCTGATCCTCTTCGACACGGACTTCGTCGAGGTGCGGAACGCGGAGAATGGCCGCCTGAGACAGATCATCGCGGGGAAGGACGTTAGGTGTCTGGATTACGGGGTGCAGGGCGCGAGTACGATGGCGAGGAGGTCGCTGAAGGTGGCGATGGCGCATCCGGAGATGGCGAACTGTCAGCTGGTTGTGGAGTTGGTGCTTAATGAGGGGCAGAGGGAGTAATGCTTGTCGCCTTCGAATATCAAGAGGAGGGATGGATGCAACAAATAGTCGTGATGCGGAGGGGCATGCGATGATGATGAGAGAGGGACGCGTTTTATGCAGATATCATGTCATGAGGAGATTCATATGTGTAGATACCACGGCGTTTTAGTTCGTGTTTTTTACCGATTTGGGTTGGGGAGGCGGGTTAATTTTTTGAGTATAGAGGCTTTTGGTTGCCTTCATGATGCGGGATGAGGGGGGGCCCGGTTTATATTTGGTGATTAGATAGGAATGGATGATGGATTCTTCTTCATTATATGAGTCTTTATTTACTTGGTCGTGGTTGGAGATTATTTATAAATTTATAATATTACATGGCACGAATAATAGAGACTATGAACACCACTATTTTTTTTTTGGAAAGTTTAAGCTGATGATATCTGTCCCCCTATTTGTATTATTGAGTAACCAATGTGACAATAATAGCCTCTAGTAATTGAAAGCCTTTATTTTGATTACAGTTGCTGTAATCACACCTGCCACCTCCAGTCCCCCTTTAGATTTTTAGCCAGCATAGTACGTCACCCCTGTCACCGCACCACCGTCCCCTCCCGGCCGCCGTACCCTCACGACATACATCATCTCCAATGCACAGCTCCCCCCCAAGCTCTCCAGCTCCCCAAACCACGCAGAGGCAGCACGCCTCACCAACTCACCAAAAATGCGCGCCTCATCACCACTAGTCCTCCTCTCCCTCGCGCTCTCCCTCCTCCCCCCCACCACCGCCGTCTTCGCCGACGAAGCCTACACCACCGACTTCCACCACGCGCTCCTGGGCCTCCCCCTCCCCAGCACGACATTCTTCCACCGCCCGCACGCCGATCCCAAGTCCGCGTCGCTCCTCTACACCCTCAGCGACCTCGGTGTGCTGGGAGCCGTCAACCCCGGCACGGGAGCGCTGGTGTGGCGCCAGTTTCTGGCTGCGAAGGCGAATCGTACGAATGAGTTTGAGGCGGGGGGGAGGGTGGATGGGTACCTTCGTGGTGTGGAGGGCGAGAAGAGGGTGCTTAGTGCGTTGGGGGGATATGTGAATTCGTGGGATGCGGTGACGGGGAGGGAGGTGTGGGGGAATGAGTTTGTGGGCAAGGCGAGGGATGTGGAGGTCCTGGGCACGGAGGGGGAGGAGAAGGATGCGCTGGTGCTGTTTGAGGGGGTGAAGGGAGGGGTGGTTAGACGCCTGGATGGGAATACGGGGGCGGTGAAGTGGGAGGTGGAGGGGGAGAAGGGGGCGGTGCCGGTGCAGGTTAGCACGGATACGAAGAGTGTGTTTGTGATCAGTCTGCATGGGGCGTGGGGTGGGTATAACATCAAGGTCACCAGCTTGGATCCGGTTACGGGGAAGAAGGTGAACGAGCATACTTTGGCGAGCAAGGTGGATGTGCATACCCGGGAGGATGTGCTCTTCGTCGGTGCGAACGTTGCTGCGCCGATTGTGGCATGGGCTGATCGTGATCTGAAGACCCTGAAGGTCAACATTCTTGGCACACAAGCGGTTCACAGTCTCTCGTTGAGCAAAACTCCAGAGGAGCTGACAAAGGTCGTCATTCACGCGCCGCATTTGATCCAGTCTAAGCCCCATTTCTTGGTTCACAGCCAGACGGCGACGAGCCATTGGGCTGATGTGTACCATGTGGACATCGCGGCTGCAACTGTGAACGAGGGTTATCACCTCCCCAAGCTTGCTGGTCCTGGTTCGTTTGCGACAAGCTCCAGGGATGCAAATGTCTTCTTCACTCGGATCACGGACGACGAGGTTACAATTCTGTCATCGAACTCCCACGGTGTGCTCCAAAAGTTCCCGCTGGCATCCGAGCCCGGCGCTGGCAGAGCTTCCTACGGTGTTGCCGAGGTTGTCAGCAAGACTGCTGATACTTACGCCGTCCGCTCTGCTGTCCTGACTACCAACCAAAACTGGATTATGATTCGCAACGGAGTGCCCGACTGGGCGCGCGCTGAGGGACTTTCCGGATCTGTCGCCGCTGCCTTTGCAGAGATTCCAGAGGAGGAAAGCTTGGCCGAGGCTTTGGATGTGGAGGCGCATAGCAACCCGCTCCAAGCTTATTTCCACAGACTCGCTCGCCATGTCACCGAGCTCCAGTATCTGCCTGGACATTTGCAACAGCTGCCGAAGCGGATACTCGCCAGTCTCCTCCCCGGCGACGCCAACCCTGTATCCACAAGCTTGTTGGCAAGAGACGGCTTCGGATTCCGCAAACTCGTGATTGTCGCAACTGAGCGCGGACGCGTGTATTGCCTTGATACCGCCGCCAGGGGAGCTGTCGTCTGGTCGCACCAGGCCTTTGAGATCCCCGCTGGAGAGAAATGGGATGTGAAGGGCATCTATGTTGATAACCAGAATGGCGTTACAAATATTATGGGAAGCGGAGGCGAGTGTATCATCATAATGACCATTAGCGGAGCTACCGTTGATATATCACCGCCTATCGAGCCATCGCACATCCAAAGCACCGCTCTGGTAGACAGCCCCTGGGGCAAGTGGCTTCTTCCAATTGGACCCGGAGGCCTCTCTCCACCAATTCCTAAGGATTATGCACCAAAGGACTCTCTTGTTGTCCGCGGCGCAAATGGCGAGGTCAATGGCGTCCAATTCACCCTCAAGGGAGACAACGCAATCTCAACCGTCACTTGGACCTTCAAGCCCGTCGCTGGTGAAAAAATCATCTCTGTCAATGCCAGGCCCCCGCACGATCCTGTCGCCTCCATCGGGCGTGCTCTCGCTGACCGCAGCGTGCTGTACAAGTACCTGAACCCAAACATCATCCTGATCAGCACCGTGGCAGAGGCAAAATCAACCGCATCATTCTACCTCCTCGACTCGATCTCCGGCACGCTCCTCTACTCCACCACGCACGCCAACGTCGACACCGCCCAGCCCATCACCGCCACCCTGAGCGAGAACTGGTTCGCCTACTCCTTCTTCGCCTCTCCCAGCGCATCCACCTCCGAGTCCGCCCTCCCCGAAGCACAAGGCTACCAGCTCCTCATCGCCGAGCTCTACGAATCCGAGCTCGCCAACGACCGCGGGCCCCTCGGCTCCGCCGCCAACTTCTCCAGCCTCCACCCTGCAGAGTCGCCAGAGGGATTCACCCTCCCCCACGTCATCTCGCAGGCCTACATCATCCCCGAGCCTATCACGCATATGACCGTCACCCAGACGCGCCAGGGCATCACGTCGCGCCAGATCCTGGCCACGCTCCCGCGTTCAAACTCCATCATCGGACTCCCCCGCAACCTCCTCGATGCGCGCCGCCCAATCGATATTAGCAGCAAGGCCGCCGCGGCGGCAGCAGCCGAAGAGGGCCTGATGGTGTATATTCCGCAGCTTGACTTTGATCCTCGCGGGGTGCTGACGCACCAGCGCGAGGTGGTTGGGGTGCGGGGTGTGATTGTTGCGCCGGCGCTGTTGGAGAGTACGAGTGTTGTGTTTGCGTATGGGGTTGATGTGTTTGGGACGAGGATTATGCCGAGTTTGTCGTTTGATGTGTTGGGGGCTGGGTTTAATAAGGTGGCGCTTGTGAGTACAGTTGTGGGGTTGGCGGTTGGGGTGGGGTTTGTGGCGCCGATGGTGAGGAGGAAGCAGATTGATTTGAGGTGGTTGAGTTCATAGGTGGGGGGGTAATGTAAGAATATAGTGGTATAAAACATGGTTAAAAATAAATAGAGGGTATTTGCGAATGAGCATGCAGCAACGGGCCTTGTGAGTTTGTCTTGGTAAAGCCGCAAATCGAGGCTATTTGGCAATATGGACGAATATTGGCATATCAACAACATTCGTTTATTCTCGTAATATAATGGATACTGTATAATATCAACGGGCTGCCATGGCCAATGCCACTGAGCCCCTATATGTCTCTCGCCATTGGCAAAAATTGAGTGGTATCTCCCTTCTAGAATATACCAGCGACCACCGTCAACAATCTTCTTGGCACATTACCTATACCTCATTACCACCCTTCTCGTGAATCTTCACGTCTACGTTATAAGACAATTAATTTCCAAACGCAGCAAGAAGTAAGAAATAACCCGCCACCAATGCAGCAACCGTCCCGCCAATGATACACCGGCCCTCCCACGTTCCAGTAATGTAGCCAGTTACGCCTACAAACAACTCCTCCTTCCTTGCTATCGCCCGAGCCGTGCTCCAGTCCGGATCAATCTCAAACGGCGGGTTGATGCGTGGATCCGAGCTAGTTGAGTCTTCATCCTCATCCGGCTCCGGAATACTCACCAACGGCACCTTGACGCTCAGAAGCACAGCGCGATGATCGCTAGTTTTGAACAGTGGTAGCGGTTCGTACTTCTGCACTTCAATCTTTGCATTGCCGTCTTTTCGCTCCATCCATTTAGGGGCCTCGAGGAAGAGAACCCGGTCTGTCCAGCTGGGCCAACGGTGAGATGCCCATGCCCACGCCTTCGTATCCTCGTCTGCAGTCAAGTATGGACCCTCGTCAAACTTGTACGTTGGGGGAAAGGTGATAGGTGCCTCGCTCAGGCCGTGGAAAGTCCTACCAGCCAATCGCTCCCGAGTGAGTTGGTCATGTTTGAAAAGGTGGGAGTAGTGTCGTGGACTCTCCACGGTGTCATGGGGTTGCGGAAACGAGACTTCGTGGTCGTCAGGCCCGGGCTTCGTATCGCTCGTGCGATAATTCAGATCCCCGGCGACGAACAAGTGGCTCGTTGGCTTGTATATCCCATTGGCGCTCTCGCCCTCCCCAAGCAGCGGCGCCTCCTCACTACCCACTCTTGCCCTTGCCGCATTTCCCCCCTCACCCCCATCCGCTGGGGTGAAGACTAGCCGTCTAACGATATTCTTCCAATCCTCGTTCCTCCGCTCCCAATCCCACTCCATAGCCGCCAAATGCGCCGCAACGAACGTGAGCTCCGTCTCCCCCCCACTCTTCGCATCCGCATACGTAAAGCGAAGCCCGACACCGCCTTTATTCCCCATAGAGCTGATACCCAGCCCCACCTCTCCTGTCTGGAGATTTTGTATCGCGGCCGCGTCGCGGGAGAACGCCATGATGCCCGTCATCCCGATGTTTCGGATCGCGACATTTGTGAAGATGCGCGGCTCCGAGTTAGAGCTGCTGCCTGCAACGGGGGAGTCGCCGGAGAGCTTGCGCGCTGCGATCTCGACAGCTTCGGATATGCGACTGAAGAAAGGGGAGAGCAGTGAGCCGCCGATTAGGCCGTGTGAGAGAGGGCTCATCTCCTGGAGGGAGATGATGAGGAGGTCGGGCACATGGTCAACCGCATTAAAGAGGGTGGATGATAAACTGGGCACATCGATGGCGTTGTGGGCGCAGTTGTAGGTGAGGACGAAGAGGTCCAGTGCTGGTTGAGACATCGCGGGGCAACCGTTTCGGGCGGTGACGAAGGGAGCGGGCAGAGGGAGTTGGGTAGAAATATACAAGCAAAAGAGGGACTGGTTCTATATCATGGCAGGGACCAAGGACATTTAACTCTCAAGCTATGAGGGTGTGGTGGCGAAGCAGCTTGGAACATGCACCTTGTGATCTGTGGGGACGAGAAGGCGGGCAGTGACATCCTCTCCTCTCAGCCTTGTGATGTGCCAGGCGGCGGTCTAGATGCTGTGGATGACTAAGCCACGATAGCCAGAACAAAAAGGCACCAGGGCACGTGCAGGGGTGTATCCTGGCAGCATTTTATTCAGCCTTGTATACAAGGCATAATTTTTAAGCGTTATTCGGTTCTGGTGGAGCTAACCGGAGTTATGGCTGATGGACGAGTCGCACCGGCGATAGGAGTAGCGCCTGCAGCAACCACCCCTCGGTTTCTTAGCATCTTTAAGCGTGTCGGGGAAAAATAACCTTACAACATTCATGCAGGGTATGATGTAATACCGATGCTAACACCGATCGTTCTAAGAACTTTAATGCAAGATGCAAGGAGATATGCTTCTCTCCGAAGGTCTAGTTCGAAAACCTCGGGTATATATAGTTAGGTCTGTTCGTCTTCAATAATGGTTTCATTCTCGGAATATCGTCAAGAGCTACACTTCTGATACATTTCATATCTACAACTTCAAATACACATCTCTTTCATTATAAAAACCAGCACAGCTCCACTTCACCCATCTCTTACAATGGCTGTTTGGTTTATCAGCGGATGCTCGTCAGGCTTCGGCGACCAAATTGCTCGACAAGCCCTCGCTCGCGGTGATAAAGTCGTCGCCACTGCTCGCAATGCATCAAAGCTCAGTGAACTCAAGAAACTCGGCGCTCTGACGCTCTCCCTCGACATCACCTCCCCCGACGACGTGATCCAGAAGGTCGCCAAAGATGCCATTGACGCCTATGGCTCAATCGACTATCTAATCAACAATGCCGGCTACATCTTAGAAGCAGCCGTCGAGGAAGCAAGCGATGCCGAAATCCGCGCTCAATTCAGCACAAACTTTTTTGGCCATGCCGCCGTAATTCGTGCGGTGTTGCCATACATGCGCGCGGCCAAGAAAGGGGTCGTTGCGAACCTAGGGTCTATTGCTGGATGGCACAGTGATGCTGGGTACGGATATTACAGCGCATCCAAGATGGCTCTCGTGGGTATCACTGAGGCACTACGCCAGGAGGAGGCTCACCTAGGTATCCAAGCCGTGATGATCGATCCAGGGTATTTCCGCACGAACTTCCTGGGTTCGGACGCGAAGATCCAGAGCAAAACTGTCATTGACGATTTGAGGCCTATGATGGACCCAGTTAGGGATATGCTGGTCAAGGTCAATCGAAACCAACCTGGTGATCCGGTTAAGGGCGCGGCAGTTATCATTGAGGTATTGACTCTCACGGGTCGTGCTTCAGGGAAGAAGCTTCCCCTGAGGTTGGCACTTGGGAGCGATGCAGTTAAAGTAATTGCCGGTGTTCAGGCTAGGCAAGCTAAAGAGTTGGAGGAATGGGCGGATATAGTGAAGACTACGGACCATGAGGATTAGACGGCGAATACTGGGTTAGGGTTGGGGGCGAAAGGGTTGAAACTGGGACATGTTCAAAACAATTAGATTAATAACCGAAATTATGATGACATGAAATCTTCTTCTGCTTGATTAGCTTGATACAAAATAAGGAATCTACCTCTATCATGAAGTTGTATAGGCACTGTAACGTCGATGCTACTTCCCCCGCGATTGGCGATTTATCACGTGGGATTTGAAGGCGGTGGAGCGGTGACCCCCCATTTCTGCCAGCCAAAAAATTACCCTCTCGCGACCACGACGGTTGCCTGAGAACCGATATTTTAATAAGTATTCCGAGGGCAGCGTAAGCTTCCATAAGCCTACATTCTTCGGCCCCAAACATACGCCTAACAAGATGACGGCTACAAAGACCAAGAAAAACAAGCGCGCCAACAAGGCCGTCAGGACGAAGCGCACAATAATCGAAGACGAAGACGGCTGGGCCCACGTCGTCGGCGGCCGAACGATCAAGCCTGACGCGACTAAGGCAAAAATCAAGAAATGGGGCTTCGATGTCGTGATCTATACCCTCGAAGAAGTAACGGCAAAATATGAGAGCCTAAAGGATAAATGGGAAGAGAGCAACGCCTGCAAGGAGCTTATAAAGCTCGTTCAGCCGTATGAGGGGAAGAGTCAGGTCAAGAATGTGGTGATTATGGGACTGGGGTCGTTTCAGACGCGGATGGGGGATTTCTCGAGGACTACTTTTACGCAGTTGGCTGCGTTGGCCACGATTAGGAAAACTTTAGGTGGGTTCTTCGTGATGGTGGTTAAGGAGAATAATACTGACAAATGGCAGCGATATTGGAAATTCCCGTGATAGCACAAGATCCAGCCTTTTCTCTCCTCGATAAAGAATTTTTGCAGTCTCTTGGCTTTAAAGTTTTCGAGAGCCCCGAAGGATTTGACCTCATCGACTCCAGCTCGTTGGTATACGCCATCCACTGCTATCCAGTCGTCTATGACGAAGTTGGAAAGAAGGGCCCGCCAGCTGTTCTTATTGGGAATGACCTTTCACGCCTAACCGATGAATCGAAGTAAGTTCTCGAGAGAGTGTTCATATCTGTCGCCACTAACACAGTGCGTAGGGATTTCATTAAGGTATATCCGGATATCCTGACTTGTTACGAAAGCCTTGAGAGCCTCTTCCCTTTTCCTCAGTCCAAAGACGATTCGCCTCAGTCCAGAGACGATTTCTCAGATACCATCTGGTACCGCAGCAAAATGTTTGAGTTGGATTGAATGACCCTGGAACTACGTGAGATCTGAAAGTTAGACCTGCTAAATTGGCCACAGAGGCATGGAGCCTACTAGAAACAAGCTCGCCATGGACAGTCGTCAGCACTAGGGTTTGCTGGCAAAGATGTGCCTGTGGTAAAAGAATCGGTTCATGATTGTCCCGGATATGGCGCTCTGAGGTATATGGCTACCTCGAGTGAGAAACATGAGGCACGAGGCTTAGCTCGCCTTTGGACACACACTGATAGCTCGGACACCGTATGTCCTATCCGAGCGAGTGTGCGCAATTTCTACACCCTTGAGGCTGTCAGATAACAGGGCGAATGAAAGCTATATAGATATAGCTATTAGAATAGCATACCAGTGATACCCTGAAATATTGAGGAGAGCTAGAGATATGTGCTTGTTTGGTCATGAGCTCAATATTTTAAGAGTGGATTGAAATACTAAGGTCGATTTGAACAACTGAGCAAATAGCTTCGCAACTTGACACCGGGTTACTTGATAGCAGGGAAAATGACCGTAGCTAATTTGTAGCCATTGTGATAGTTGAAATTGCCGTGGGTGGACTGTTTCGAGTGGAGCGCCTTGTCACTTCATCCCCAAAACATTGGAAGCAATTCTGAAGGCGCAAAACATAACTGAAATAGTTCAATTCCACACCAAGTATGCTTTCCCAACCTTATGTACAAACAACAGTTCCCTTGTCAACCACTCTTTGGATTCCCCAACACCATATCTACAACCCCAAGCCTCTAATCATCGTAGCCGCTCAGTTGTTTCCTTGGACCCGCGGGAACTAAAGCAAATCAATTAGCACGGAATTCTTCAAATTTCAACGAGGCCGCAGCCACCAATCGCTCGGCGTTCATTGTCACACGTATGTGCGTATTGAAGGGTGAAGGAACGTACTAGGATATGTCGAGGGAATCGGGGGTCTCGGCCCATCGCCCAAGCGGTGTCTGATCTTTGGTACTGTGAGAACAAGAACGGGACCAATGCTGCCAACGATGATGGAGTAGAAGATGGCGGGTTTCTCGATGGAAGCCCAGTGCAGGTACTTGAGGGGCTGCGAAAAGAAGCGCGGCACCGACATCGTGTCTGCGTCAAGTCTGGTCAGCAATTGCGACGCATAAATGGAACTGCAGCTATAGTGCAGCTATAGCTGGGTAATACACACCTGGATTGAGAGGTTCGCAGACTAATTGGAGAGGATCAGTGGGGAGGAACGCCGTCGTGATACAACCTGACTATTCGAACGACGTTGACGGAGCCGCAAGAATGTCCAAGCTCGGGCATTTGGTGACATCACGTGATATATATTTTAGCTCTGCCACCCCTGTTGGTACTGGGTCTTGGCATACGAGTCGCATACGTTTCCCCAAGCTCACTGATTGACGGTGCTCTGATTGCGCAACCAGACAACGACGACAATGAGGGTGCTACTGTCTTTTCTCATTCTAGGGCTGCTAGGCATTGCCAGTGCCCTTAGCACCAGTGGAAACAGATTACTGGTGGTACTGGAGGAGCTTGCAGAGAAGGAGAAGTACTCTAAGTTCTTTGGGGACCTGAAAGGTAAGCGCACGGCTGGGAGACAGAACTGGCAGATACAATTGGATTCCAGCTAACTTTCGGGTGATTGTAGGTCGGGGCTTTGATATTACATTTGAATCGCCAAAGAGTGATAGTTTGGCGCTGTTCGAGCTTGGCGAGAGAGCTTATGATCACCTTCTCATCCTCCCATCCAAGTCGAAAGGTCAGCACCCATTGAATGACATTGGACCGCTGTGTGCTAATTATAATAGGCCTGGGACCCAATCTCACTCCCCAAACTTTGTTGAAGTTCATCAATACCGAGGGCAACATCCTGCTCACCCTCTCCTCATCCAACCCGACACCATCAGCTCTCGTATCACTTCTACTTGAGCTTGATATCCACCTCCCCACCGACCGCAACTCGATAGTGGTCGACCACTTCAACTACGACAGCCTCTCTGCCCCCGAATCCCACGATGTCGTTCTCGTTCCCCGCCCAAGCGCTGTGCGCCCCGGTGTTCGCAACTTCTTCGGCGGCATCCTCAAGAACGAGGTCATCGCGTTCCCCCACGGCGTGGGCCAGACTCTAGGCAACGATAGCCCGTACCTGACTCCCGTCCTTCGCGCCCCCGGCACGGCATACTCATACAATCCCAAGGAGGAGGTTGAGGCTGTTGAGGACCCGTTCGCGGTTGGCCAGCAACTGTCTCTCGTGACCACCATGCAGGCTCGCAACTCAGCGAGATTCACTGTCTTGGGCGCAGCGGAGATGCTGGAGGATAAGTGGTTCAAGGGGAAGGTCCAAGTTGCTGGCGGCAAGGTTGCTGCGGCTGCGAATGAGGCATTTGCGAAGGAGATCTCCGGATGGACTTTCAATGAGGTTGGAGTCCTGAAGGTGGAGTCTGTTACGCATTTCCTCAACGAAGAGGGGTTGAAAACACCCAATGCTTCGTTGACGAACCCCAAGATCTACCGCGTCAAGAACACTGTTGTAAGTGGATTTTTTGTGCCAAAAGTGAGAATCATATACTAACTACTCCTAGACTTACTCGATTGAGCTATCTGAATGGTCGTGGAAGGAGTATGTCCCCTTCGTACCCGCCACCGGTGACGATGTTCAGCTCGAGTTCTCTATGCTCTCGCCCTTCCACCGACTGAATCTGGAGCGCACTCAGACGAATCCTTCATCCAGCGTCTTCACCACGACCTTCAAGCTGCCAGATCAGCATGGAATCTTCAACTTCCTGGTCGAGTTCCGTCGCCCCTTCCTCTCTAACATCGAGGACAAGACAACCGTCACTGTACGCCACTTTGCACACGACGAATGGCCACGCAGTTGGGTCATCAGCGCCGCATGGCCATGGATCTCGGGTGTTGCAGTCACAGTTGTTGGGTGGATTATCTTCGTGGGGTTGTGGTTGTACAGTGCTCCACCGGCAGCGAAGGGAAAGAAGGCGCAATGAGAAAGAGCTAGATTTTGCTTTTGAGACGTGAACGGGAACTGTACGAATACCAAAATCGTGTATAGATGATATAGTAGGAAGGAACACATGGCATGTCTGATTCCGAATAAATCGCTCGTATTGCCTTGCGCGCTTGTTGATTGTACACGGTTGTGAGTATGTATAGTACAGTATATCCAAAGATGTATGAACGCCAGCAATGCAAAGCGGCCTCTAGGTGATATTTTCCCTCAGAACGCCGCCCATGTTATACCCTATCCTCTTTCGCACACCCATTTTCCAAGCCCCAAGCCAAAACCTACGCCTTCCCCTCCCTAAACTTCTCATTCTCCACCTCCCTCCAATCCCTCGGCTCCGGCTCATCGCCACTCGTCTCCTTGACCCCCCCAAACGCCGCCTTCCCAGCATAAAGCTGCCCGCTCTTCTTCTCCGGCTCTCCCAACTTCCCCATCGCAATAGGCTGGTTCCCGCGGAACCGCTTGCGCATATCGACCATCCCGCGCTTGCACTCGCCGTATCCCCTCTTAAGCTGCTGGCACTGCGTAGGCAGGGTGTCGATGAGCGGCGGACGCAGACAGTCGGCTGGGGTGTTCCGTTGGATCATTATGCAGTCGGATTGCTGGAGGCATTGCGCGAGGGCTTCGCCTGGGGTGGGTTAGTGTGGGAGGGAGGAGGAGGGGGGTGGGGGGACGTACGGATGTCTTTGCAGGAGGAGGGCATTGTTGCGTGGAGGGTGCGGGATTGGCGGGGGTGTGGTTGGATGCGCGTGGGATGTGGTGGTTTGTATTGGATTAGCGCACGAAGGTAATGGGATTGAGGTTATTGCGTCGGATTGCGCGGTGTCTGAGGGTATCAATGCGATGCTGTGTTGTTGGCTGGCCCGGAGTTATGTGGTTCAGTCAATATTAAGGTTTGGCCTTGGCCTCGGGAAGGTTGTGGTAGCTTGACAAATTTATTGGTAGGGGTGTCGATTGAGGCTCGCCACGCCAACGTCTGCGAAGTGAAATTGCAAATTCATGGCGACAAGTTTAAGAATATTATAGGGAAACTACTTCTAATCTATAGACGCTACTTTTGGGCTTCAATTCCAAATTTATTTGCGAAGCTCCGACGATAAATGCCTCTTCGGGAGAAAACCCTCTACGTAACTTTATCACATTCCAGCTACCCATGTATTATGCAAATAGCAGTTGGCTATAGATGGTGACATACACAGTATTACAACGGATACAACACCATGCCTAATCCCTAATATCTATCCTACATATCCCAGGCTTCGAAGTTTAGACGTTATTACGCCACGACTGCCTGACGAAGGTATACCTCCTCCAGCCGTCCCTTGAGATCCACACGTCCCCTTCACCTTTGTCCCCTGTGGGAAAAACAGGTAATGTTTCGACGTTAGTCTATGCCCTTGGACACACTGAGGAGGCATAGTTGCCATCTTCACGCTTGTGGAGACCATATTCACGATATGTGATCCCGCACAGATACACCGCGTCCTCCTCGCTGTTTAACCGCAACCATATAGTTGATTGTGGCGCACGATGGAGTACAGGGTCATAATAAAGCCTCTACCAAATAGAAATTATTGAGATGCCATCGCATCGACTTACAAGTCAGCCTCCATCTTGACGACTTGGCAGCACTGGGATCTCGGACGCAGAGAGTGCCTGCAGAATCTGACTAGCTTCCATGTGCGGACTTGGGTACTCCATTAGGGCCGCGGAGCCAGCCATTAAATGATCGCCCATATCATGCTCATTGGAGGGTCGAAGATTTGGCTCTTGGAAGAAAGCGTGGAAGTCTTGCTTCATATTATCCAGGTCTGTGAAACCGAGGTTCTGGAGGCTCTGGTCCCAGTTATTGGTCCTGCGTTGTTAGTTAGCGGGTTAAAAGTGCAAGGTGAGTGTGAGAACTTGCCATTTCATGGCATCCAAGGTTGCGAACTCGTTAAAGAGAGCGTCATCATCGGTCTGGGAGTCAAACATCGGGTAGTATGGTAGCGACGCCGGGCCTCCGCTTGGCTGAGGTATATTGGGAGAATTGGCTGCTAGGGTAAGATTTCCAACTGGCAAGGACCAGGGAGTGCTTATTGGCTTTATTTCATCGTCCATCAATAGTAACGAGGGGTCGAACTGTATCGCAGCTTCAAGAATTGCTTGTCCGGACGAAGTGTATTCTGATGAACTCGGCGTGTTCATAGGCTCATCAAGTGACGGATGTCTCTGCGGTCGACTTTCCTTTAAATTAATATCTTTCCCAACTGTAGTGGTTGGGTTGGTATTCGGGAGGTTACTGAATCGTGAGAGCGGAACATTCGCTCCAGACATTGAAGACCGGAACTTACCCAGCTCCAAGAGGGTGTCTTGGAACGTAGGCCATGTCTGCGCCATTTCAGTTAATAACTCCTCCAGGCTATTTAAGGCCTCCTCAGAAGCCACAGTTCTTCCATGGGAAGCGTACTGCCGGATATAAACATGGGCTAGACAATCAAAGGTAGGAGGAACAGCAGCGAGCCCATAATTTTTCCGAAGGCCATCAAGTAGGTCGGGAAGGGACTCCTCTGCCCGGCTTGCCTGTCCGCGTTGGTGTGCATGCACAGGAGCGCGCGTGGCGCTATAAAGGCAGCTGAGATGGTACTGATGAGGAAGAAGTGGGGGGCCAGGTTTGTCCAGAGCTTTTGAGTCCCAGCCGAATTTACGGAGCAGTAGGTCAAACTTCCCATGGTCCTCGGCTCCAATAGAGTATCCGCAGACAATGGCATTTAACACTGCCGATATTTGAACCAACCGATTAAATGTACTCAGGGTCGAAGCGGGACCTCGAGAAGAGCTTTCACTGTTTCGACGAATCCCGATGCTGTCTACCCATGGGCTCCACTCATCCGAGCCATCCTCAAGCAACAGGCCGCAGTTCAACGCATCTTGCGCTCGGAGATGAGGGCTTCTGTTTAGTCGAGCTGCCACAAGAGTTTCCAATACAAAGCAACCGAAGAACGTATGCCTATTCCTGGACTTGGCATCATCTGGACACTTTTCAAGACGAAGCTCAAGTGCCATGCGAACTGCCTGACCAATGAGTGACCATGCTTGCTTCCATCTATTCATGCCCATATTTAGAAGGGTGAGAATAAGTAGACTTTGAATGTGTCCAAGCTCAAAGACGCCGTCTTCATCTGGGATAAGGCTTCGGGCAGTTTTATACGTATCACTTGCCATCCAAGGGTCGTTTTGCTGAAGACCGTGTGTCATGTTTCTCCGTATAATAGCCTGATGACATTCTGCGTAGGCCAATATCGCCCATAAGGCTGCATGGTCTCCAGAACCCGGCATGGACGAGGAGATTGATGTAGGATAGAGATAAGATGCCCGCAGAGAGTTATGTTTCTCAATAATTGGTAACCAGCAATGAGTATAAGAGAAATATACATCAAGAAGCTCCCAGGCATTGTGGGGAAGGTGAATTTGTTGGGAATCTGTGAGCTTCATTGCCTCTGAAGACGAGGCGCCATTGAAAATCGGCGCAGGAAATATGGCAGAGGAGGTTTGCTGCTCTCCTTTCACCGGATATGTTTCGCGAGGGGGTACAAATGCGGGATCGAATGCGGAAGCCTCAGTCGGTGGGGTAAAGGAGCTATCTTGGCGTCTCCTCTTCGCCGGCCTGTCATCAGTTATATCAAGAAGCGGGAGGAGCGAGTCTAATTCTCGAGATAAACGGCTTTTCCTCCATGTATCCGACAATGCCTCGCCATCTTTGCTGTTCCAGCCTCGTGGTAGAGCGTCTGTTCCGTGCCTCTGCTCCATCAAGGAAATCACATTTGCTTCGACTTCCGGTGCCTCCCGTATCGTAAAGCCCCAAAGGTTCTCCAGTCCTCGTACATACCCCTCCGGAAGCCCTCTTTTCTTTACGGCTGGGTCATAAGAGCACGAATGCCCTCGTACTGCACAGGCTGAGCAGACGGGCTTCGCGCCGTCACATTTATCTTTCCTGCTCCGGCATCGGTCGCAGGCCTGAGCCACGCGTTTGCGCTGAACTGCGGGAGGACTCATCGTCTCGTTTGCGAGCTGCGCGGGCAGCCTTCTACAACAGAATGCCCTTTACGAAACCGCCACCATTGGTGTGTGCCCAAGAGGGTATGTTCTCTCTTCCAAATTTATTCTCGAGCTGGCCCATTCTTGACCGTCCCAGAATTCTGGTCGCCAAGGATAGATTCGTCCTTCAAATTGAATACTTCAAGGAAGGCGGCTTGTGCCATATATGGAGCAGTTCCCGGCGCCTAGGAATTGTTGCGTTGGAGGGCGGACAAGACGCGGTTTCTGATATGATAAGCCTTTAAACTGGAGCCTCATATGCCACGGCCTCTACCGTTACTCAAGTCGGAGATAATTGGTGGTTAAGGTAAGGTCAGATATTGTTGTGATGTAACCCCGGCACTCATGGCCGATCAATCTGGGGATGTTAGATCCGGCTACCACGGGGAGATACTTTACCCGGTTTTGCGTTGCTGACTAACCAAAGGATCGGAGTTGACGTCGCACGACATGATTTGCAAAACAACAATTCTGGAGAAATAAAACATCTATAAGTTTATGAGGCCCTATTATGCATCTAGATATGTTGGGGCGAAAGTTTGATCAAGACTACCGCCTAATAAAGTCTTGCATTGTTAGACTCACGAGAAAATGAATCCTCCAATCATGGCGGCTTCCCCCACTACTGATATGGAAGCGCTCCAGGATAGGAACGCAGTTTTGGCTGAAATCGGCGAGCTTTATCGTGTAAAATCTCCGCAAGGCCGGCGAGAATTTGCCCCTAATGCTACTATTGTCCTCGTTGGTTGCCGTGGATCAGGCAAACGGTCGCTGGGTTTCATTGGAGCTATCCACCTTGGTCGCCGGCTCATCACAGAAGATCAATATTTCGAAGAAGTCACGGGACTATCTAGGAAGGCCTTTTTATCTGAGCATGGGCAGCAAGAGTTTAAGAGGAAGAACATCTATGCCCTCCAGAAAATGTTAAAGGAGAACACATCCAATTGCATTATCGAATGCGGAATGGGAAGCTTGGCCAAGGAAGCCCAAGAGACGCTGAAGGAATACTCTCTATCACATCCTGTGGTCCATATCGTTCGGAACTTCAACCGCATTCGTTACCTTCTCGGTCTTTCCGAGGATGAAGGGCGCCGGCTTGAGCGGGCTGACTCGGTGCACCGATCTTGTTCAAATTTCGAGTACTATAATTTACACGACCCAAGCTGCGAGGCTAATGGCACCGACAGCCCTCTGGACCGAGCAAATCCAAATTATTCCTTTGGCTTAAAAGATGCTAAAAAGGACTTTTCCGGGTTTCTTGACTTCATCACTAACAATGGGTATGGGTTAGCTGCTCTCGAAAATCCACTCTCGATTGGAGCTGTGCCGCCTGAGAAAAGGCAATATACCTTTGCCTTGTCCTTATCTCTTTCAGACTTAATCGCTTCAAACATCGACATGTCTGAGTTAGAATCAGGCGGCGGTGATGTCGTGGAGCTGAAAATCGATACGTGGACAGCAAGTATGCTATCTGTGATATCAAAGCTGGTGGCCGTGATTCGCAGGCAAATAGGGGTTCCCATCATACTCAGTGTGGTGGACCTTGAGGACCATACAAAATCAGGCCAGCCAAGTGTAGGTCAAGAGGCTCGCATTCCATTCACTCAAGAAATCGCTGTCATTTTACTTGAGCAAGGCCTGCGCCTTGGTGTCGACTACATCGCTATAGATTTGAATTTTGAGGATCGCAACATCAGACGACCCCTCAGTGAGAAGGGCAGGACAAAAGTCATTGCCCATTACTATGATGGAAGGCCTCCTCCTTCTGGATGGCTGCAATCAGATCGGCTAGCGCTTTATAGTCGAGCCCAGTCCTTCAGTTTTGACATTGTCAGACTTGTCCAAACAGCGAAGACGTTGAAAGATAACGACGACATCAAGATATTCTGGGAGAAAACAGCAGAACTCCCTGCACCGCACCTACCCATTATAGCATATAATGCAGGTAGCATCGGAATTGAAACTCTGGCGCTGAACAAGATTTTCTCGCCCGTCACCCATCCTGTCCTCGACCGAACTAGGACTCCAACCACCAGTCGCCTCACATCGGAAGAGGCTCTTCGAAGACTGTTCCACAAGTCCATCTTTCAGCCCCTCCACTTCTATATCAGTGGGGCTATGGTCTCCTACAGTCTCTCTCCCGCGATGCACGGGGCTGCTTATAAAGTTTGCGGTATGCCGCATGATTATAGCATTAATCAAACCTCTTCCGTCGAAGACTTCCTTCGCCTTGCGAACGAACCCAATTTCGGTGGTTCCGCGACCAACCAACCACTTCGCATGGACATAGTACCCCACCTCTCCGCTGTCAGCTACCATGCCCACGCCATTGGGTCCGTGAACACCGTCGTCCCGTTGCGCGCACTGCCCTCGTCTACACAGTCCCTCGCCTTACAAGCCACCGAACCCAAGCGTTCCGGTCAATGTGTTGCCCTTTACGGTGACAACACAGATTGGATCGGCATCATGACATCGATTCGTCGCAATGGGTCGCCGCGGAATGCCGTCCAGCCATCCAAGACTACTGGTCTCATCATTGGCGCAGGAGGCATGGCCCGTTCCGCCATCTATGCACTTATACGCCTTGGCTGCCGTCGAATCTTCATTTTCAATCGCACGCTTGCCAATGCTATTGCAGTAGCCGACCACTTCAATGCCTGGGCCGGACAGCTCAGGTTCGAGCTTCCAGTCGTCACGGTGCTGCCATCAAGAGATGAGCCATGGCCCGCAGGTCTGCGTCCACCCACCCTTATCGTGTCGTGCCTCCCCGCGCACAGTGTCGAAAACCAACCCGTCCCTTCGTTTGAGATGCCCGAACAGTGGCTGCAGAGTCCCACAGGCGGCGTTGTCATGGAGGTATGTACATCACCGATCTCTCTATGAGGATTATAGATTATTGAGACTGACTTTACTCACCTGACAGCTGGCATATCGCCACACTGAAACTCACCTTGTGAGACAAATCCGCGACCTTCGCGCCCGCACTGGGCAAGCATGGGTCATCGTCGACTTCTTAGACGTCCTGCCCGAGCAGGGTATTGCTCAGTTCGAGCTTATGACCGGCCGACGCGCTCCAAGGAGAACTATGCGAGAGGCAGTGATTGAAGCTGTGCGTGATGATCCACCAGGTGGGTTTAAGGTTTAGATGATAGGAAACGAAGGGATGGCCACCCAATCATGAAACGGTTATATGATACCTAAGCCACGGCGTTTGCTACCTTGCAGCCAAATATCTTGGCCATGCTAGAATACCCAAATAAGTAATCATAGCTTTGAATATAATATTGTTATTTGACCCCTTCTCTCTCGCACAAGTTAGCAACATATTACTGAATTCCAAAAATAGCGCCAATCCACAACAACTCTAGCTTTTAAGAATGTTGGACCGGATCCGAAAACCTATCCACAAATACACCAGGAACCCTCACATTATTATACCTCTAGATCACATAGAGTCGCTTGCATCGTAAGCATACCACGTTGTGTTACCCACCTAGTAAGCTGGACATTCCATTGCAACGCAGTCTAGGCCATATAGGTGCCCATGCACCTAAAATCGCCCATCTACACCGGACGCATACTACAGTAATCGTGCGCTTTGGGCACTACAGGGCATTTTATAGAGTTCCCAAAGAGGCAGGTCCGATGTAAGCAACACACCCAAACCGGGCCAGATTCCCCGCCTGACTCACTCGCGGCAAAATAAAAATCCCGCTCACGTGAGAATTTTGACTTATCACAATAGAAAAGTTATAACAATAGCAACCCCCTCCCGCTCTCTTTCCAACTCATCAAAGAACTCTATCAACTTCTCTATCAAATAAAAAAAATCGGCACGCACACGGCAGAAAAACGCCTCTAAAATGCCTCTTCCACTGCCTCCAACCCGGCCGGTACCACCGCCTGCAAGTGCGTCGTCTTCTGTGGAAATCCGCCCCATGGTATGGGCGGATGCAAAGCGTACAGGAGAGCTCGCGCAAGTCGCATATTGGAACGAGCCAATTTCGGATTTGACTACACCTCACCGAGCGTCATACCCAGAGGATCATTTACTGTGGTTTGAAAGACGGATCAAGAACCGCATGGTGAGCCCCAGGAATAGGGGGTTTGTTGCCGTAGGAGATGGGGAGACGGTCGGGTATATGCAGTGCGTTCGGCTCGGGGACGATGAGGGAGCGCTGCAGGTAGAGAAGGAAGAGAAGAAGTGGTGGTCGGGGTTGGTGGAGTGGGGATATGGCGTTTATTTGAAGTGTGCGGCATATGTGTTTCCAAATCGGAGTGAGAGCGCCGAAGGGAAAGCGGAATTTAGTAAGGCTGGGGTGTTGGAGTATGAGAAGCACTGGAAGGACAGGGAGGATAGGAATAATCGGTGGTATGTGCAGAGTGTTGTTGTGGCGGAGCAATGGCGAGGAAGGGGCGTGGGGAAGAAACTGATGGCGTGGGTGCTGGAGCAGGCGCAGAAAGAGGGCGTGCCAGTTTCACTGGAGGCGAGCATGATGGGGGAGCGTCTTTATCGCAGTATTGGGTTCGACCTGCTGGACAGGTTTGTTACGAAGATTGGTGACAGCAAGGACGACGAGGGTGGTATCATGATGTGGAGCCCAAAATGAGCTGAGATGCTGAGTTGGAGGAGCTGTTAGAGGGGCTGTTTTAGGGCACAAGTGGAAGCCGTTTGTCTCGAATTGTTTTCTTGTTTGGAGATAGAATAACGTTTTGTGGTTTCTATGATGTCTAGGATTGCTCATGTTTCACTCCGGGTATCGATGTCAATATCAGTAACAAACAAGTTAATAGTCTAAGCAATACTGTATTAAATAATGACAAACTCAAAAAACAAATGCAGGCGCCGTGTGCGAGGTGAGTCTAAATCTAACGAGTTCGTTCCGTTATCCAAGTCTGTTCGATCTGTTCTAGTAAGCTGTTCGTACATGAAGCCTGTTCCAACAAATGCAAAAACACCAAATGCCAATCATGGATGATGCCGCGCCAATTCTTAATCTCAGCTAAAAAAAGAAACACAAAGACAGAAAATAATATCAAAAATGCCCCAAAAAAAATGCCAAAACCCCGCCCCTTTCGCCGCTATATCCCGCTCGCTCTGCCATGAAGTCGAAAAATTCCCGTAACGCTTTGCAACGTCCCATGCTGATTCCAAATGATGCCAAACACCGAGTCCATAGTAACTGAAAAAATGCACCCTAGCTCCCTCGTAAAGCCCAAAGAATGGCCTCCGGTGGTTGTCGTCAATGGCGGTGGTGCAGAGACACTATTTGTGTGATACATAGACAGTGCAATAATCGCATCGATAGTGGGTACAGCCGGCGCAAGCGATGATGTTGACCGTCTGCCCTGCTCCGTTACATTCGCAACACTGCCAAAGCCGTGGGGCGCCGCGAGACTGGATCCCTGAGTCTGAGCCCATTCCAAAGCCCGCGTCGTTGGTGGAAACATCGGAGCAGTGCTTTATGCAATCGCTCAACGAGTGTGCATGACCAGCGCCGCAGGCTGTCATAGAATCGCTCGAGTTGGCGAAGGAAAGTTCATGTGGGAGTTGAGGAGCGGCCATATTCATAACTGAAATAGATCTTGAAGTTTGAGCCACACCGTCCATAGTTGTATCAGAGCTGTAGCTTTTGCGGCCGGTAGGGAGGAAGCTGGTTGGTGTTGGTGTGATATTGCTGGGCAATATATATTGGTGGCACAATTGATAGATAGAAATAGAGTGTGAGAGTAAATGTCAATGTCAATGGCGATGAGAGTTTTTGGTCTGGCCTTTTGACCCTCATCGGCTTCTAAGATCGTATATATAGCAAGGGATGCCATTAGGAACCGTTATTGCTGTGCCACAAATAGGAACACGATTGACCAATGTGAGGGCTAAACATAAGAAATCCGATCTCACTCACCGAAATGAGCCTGCCATGTCACCTAGAGCGCCCGAACATACCTCCTGAACCAGTCGAGGCGGTCGTTAGATCGCATGGAGCGTTGAAACCCAAGCAGTTCACTTGAACGCTCGCCCCAGCATCCCACAGTGGGGGGTACAACGGCCAGGTCAACAGGCATCTAACCCTATATGCCACCGTTGCGGTGCCCGGAAAGAAGGCGACTTTGGCCAAGCCAAGTGATTACCACTGAAAGAGTCCATCGATAGGCCTGTTCCACACCATAACCAGGCAGACTACAGCTTCCACGGTACTGCGCCGAAAAAAGCCTCACAGTAACGGGTTAAGCGTGCATCCCGACTGGAGAAGGGCGGTTTCGGTGAGTGAAGACCCACTGCGAACTGTTGGCATGGTTGTCGAACCTCCACGGGATACGCAAAGTGTAAATTTCGGTCATGTTATTCATTATATTCCCTTTCCCTTGTTTGGATCAGTTGCAACAATAGCCAGAGTTAGTTGACCGCCAACCCCATTGTCACTCAACTCATGAGGGATTATGCTTATGTTCAGGTTGAGGCTCAAACTCATCCAGGTATGATTGGGCGTTGATAAAACGAATCAAAGTGTCGAGAATTCAGGCCGCGGATACGTAACGTACAGCCTCGCCCGCCCAGCCTCAGCCTTGTAACCTCCTCCTTCCAGCGGTGAGAGACGACGACCAAAATACTAGAATTAGTATTGCAGTGCTGTCCGTCAGTACCATGCCTTCGGAGGTACGCAGCAAGTCACTCAGAATGAACGTGTCGCCTCTGTTTACCACTCGTGCCCGTGCCGTACTACGAGGCAGAGTGTGGGCTCCCTTTAAGTCCAGTTTTCAGATCAACTTTTGAGCCTTACGACCAACTAATACCCTTACCACTAACTAATACGATTGCGAACTGGGCTTCTATCGGGAGACGGCGGTGTCCGGGACCCATTCTAAAGAGGCGCATGTTATCTTTTAGTGCAAGGCTCAAACGCTGAGCGGAATGGGAGCAGTGTCGTTTTTTGACTCTGCTGGTGCCTGGCGGATGGACCCAGTCCCTTAAAATTTGGTATCACGTGAGCAGTATATCGCCCTTTTTGTTGGAAATGGAGGGTAGTAGGCTGGGGCAGTGCAGAAGAGGCATCCAGGGCTATGAAGCGTTGAAATGCGGTTTTTAAGATCGGAAAATCTCACCGAATCATGTACTCTTGGTCAAGCTGTGCCACAAAGAGGTGTGCATGTTCCACATTCCCAAGACGATGGGAAGTGTCTGTCTGGACTTCACTTAATGTTGTGGACTAGGGGGTGCTGAGAAACAGGCAGTGTGAGTGGTTGGGCATGAGATGTAGACGTGCCAAGTTGAAGTCAATTCCAATTATCTAAGAAAGCGATCGATAAACTATTCCGCCACCTAAACGCCTAGGCCTGAGCCACCCTTTAATCCAACCTCCCTATCAATGCTAAGCCCCCGAAACGCCCATCACCTGCTATGACCTGTGCTGTTCTCCTCTGTACTGTATTGCGTTGTCTCAAGTTGAATTCTGTAGTGTGCCGTCACTGGCCTGCGAGGTAATTAGTATGCAATGGCGAACCAAAAACAGAAACCAACAAACCAGTGTGCCATCCTAATGCCAGCCCATATTTCAAACCCCATCATCATCTGGTATACCTCGATACACAGGCCTCGCTCTTCCACGCCCCAACCCCTACCGTCTGTCCCCTCCAGTCCTCCTGTCCCCTTCCATCCTCCGGTTACCTCCTGTCCCATCCCCCCGCCACCAGCCTAATTTTTGGGTTGCCACTTGGTCGGGCTGTTCCCATCGAACAACTTGTAACAGTCACTCCTCATGCAGCCAACGCTGTTGGCAGCCAGATATGGCCCATCATCGCAGTGGGCACAGAAGATCATCTTGACCCATTTCTGGGCTTTGTGGTATCCGCACCCGGCGCAGTTGTTGACAGTAGATCCGTTGACGGTACTGCAGCCTTTGCATCTCCAAGCAGCCATTTTGATTCGAGTTGGTCAGAGGAAGCTGGACAGCTTTTGGTGCAGTGGAACAAAGATGTTTCGGATTGAAGTCGCTGTGGGAATGAGGATGGATGTGTTTATTGAAAGAATTGAAGTCGTTGTGGGAATGAGGATGTGTTTGAGAGGATTGAAGTTGCTGTGGGAATGAGAATGTGTTTATTGAGAGGATTGTGTGTGGTAGAGAATATGATGCCTCTTCCCTCAGTGAGCACATAGCTATATCTATATATATTTGAGAGTGACTTCTCTCGACTGTCTTTCGTATAAGAAGTGAGGCGTGACAGCGAGCCCATCACCACAAACCAAAGACCCATAGTCAGAAGCAACCAAACCCACCGTTCTCCTGGATAGCCCAATGAGTGCCCTGATACCTGAGGGCGTTACGGGATTAACATGGACAAGAGAACACGTATTTGAAAATAGGGCGGAGTGACTATATGCCTTTTCCAATCGATTTGAAGCCGGAATCACCGAAAAGTAGCGGTCTGAAGATGGTAATAGTGAAGTGGAGGCGGCGACAGGAACTGCGGTGCGCTAGTACACCGAGCAGCACACCGAGGCCCAATAGAATGAAATGAGCACCTCTGGATTTCGGCTTGGGAGGTCCGATTCACCAGTTCAAGGTAAAGGGGCAGTGTCATGGTACAGGGCGCCAGTGGGGAGCCATCGGAGGTATGGCCGCGAACATGACAAGTCATCCATCCATGGCCAATCAAAGGCTTCGATGGTAGTGGTGATCGGGCGTCATAGGCTCATTAACTGCGATGGCAGTGCTAGCAAACGCGTGACATGGGCCCTACTAGGCACTTCAAGCCCCGTGGCCTCACTTTCGTGGCATAAAATAACACGGCTGCCGGGGCTTTGAACTCTGTCCCGGCTCGGGAGGGCCAGGGCCTGTTCACCGATATGCAACAGCGCGCGGCTATGTATGAGTCGAGCGAGCGAGCCGGTATACCCCAGCCTTGAATTCCACATTTGTTCATTTTGCTCTTATGGTTTCAGGGCAATTCAGCCCTAATAAAACAACGAAGATAGATGAGGGCAGAGAAAGCGTCCCGGGATATTCTCGCTCGCGGGGTGGCTGAGCAGCCGTAGTACGCCCTGTACTGTAGAGAGAACGCTCCAGGGTCGCAATGCGGTCACATGTTGGAGTCGCATTGCGCCGATGATATTTGCAGTGTGTACGTATGAAACGAAGACTTATCTTAAGAGTGTATATTTCTCAATCAAATAAAGAGGGTTTGAGGAGCGTTTGTGCGAAAACATACCGTTGTTCAATTGGTAGGTAGTCGACATCTCAGCCTTGCCCTCCCAGTATAAAACTATCTCAACAAACACAAGGCTTTGTTAAAATAAATTGCTATGCTGCCGTGCATGAACTGCTCCACAAAATGTCTCAGTAAGAGACTGCTCTTAGACTAACGTCTCGGTGAGAAACTACACCGGGAGGAGGTGATATATCCTTGTCAGCCTTGGCCGGAGCCGCGTCGACATTTTGATATATTCATTGGCATAACTTTCATATTTCGCCTGTGACAATTGAACAGTCTCCCCTGTTCATCTACTGGGCACATAGGTGAGTTGTGTAGATGATGGTGGGAAGGTTCTTCATTCATCTCGAGAGAGGTTGCTGTGAGAAGTCGAACCGACGACGACGCGTTAATACCGAGGTGAGTCACGTATTTAAGTTTCTCCGGCCCCGAATGTTGTTGATCCTTGGCCAGGCCTGCCCAAGGTTTGTGGCAGTCGCAACGGATACGAATGTGTTTCTTAACCGCCAGCGTCCGCGACATTGTTGTTGATGAGATGAGGTCGCATTTAAAAGCGAATCCTCCAAAGTTTGGGGTCACATAGAGTTTTAGTATCTATACCTATCATTCATATCAAACAACAAGTTGACCTACCGGAAACCGACATGGCGCCCGTTAACCCGCAGGCCGTCAACAAGTGGGCTGGGCGCATTGTCCCAACTTTTCTTGCTGGCACAGTAACATACGCAACATATGTATTTGTTGCGCAACTCTGTGGTGAGTTTGAATTTGTTGAAGTGCCACTGAACGAAGCATGCTAACGAGACAAGTCAACTTCCTTCTCAGAGGCCATAGGCCGCGCCCTGGCATATCCGCTGCCCTACTCGCGATATACTTCGTTTTATTTCTTTTCATGACAATCACCTATGGGAGGCTCGTTTATACTGTCACTGTCGACCCAGGGTATCTGCCGCTGGGGCCCGCGGCAAAGAGATATAACAAGGCCGACAAGAACGTTTCGCAGGAGAATAACAGGGTAGCCGGCAGAGCTAACGACGCCTTGGGACCTGAATATCCATCTTCAGAGGCTGCGATAGCCAGAGACGACGGTGCAGACTCTCCTGGACTGGAGCTATTTTATACGAAAGATGTCTTTGTCTGTTCCCAAGATGGACGCCCCAAGTGGTGTAGTGAATGCGCCAACTGGAAACCAGACCGAACGCATCACTGCAGCGATATTGGAAGATGTGTCTACAAGATGGATCATTACTGTCCATGGCAAGTTACATAATAGTCTCGCCGACTTGTCCTGGAGCCCCAAAACTAACTTTGACAGGGTTGGTGGGGTTGTCGGAGAGAATAGCTTCAAATTTTTCGTCCAATTTGTGGCATACGCTTTCCTCTACTGCCTTTTCGTGGTGGTTGTCACGGCAATATATCTCAGTGAGGATTTGTCAAATACAGTGCGTTTACAATACCACCCGACACTGATATTTTACTTCAGTAATTTTGCTGACCTTTCTCCAGTCGGAACTGAACGGCCACTTTGTGGCTCTTGTCGCGGTGTAGGTTAGACCTGCCTTAATCAAAGACTAACTCTAACTGTCTACTAGCTCCGGATTCTTTGGCCTTTTCACTTTCGGGATGACATGCAGCTCACTACAGTTCGTTTTCGCAAACCTCACGACAATCGAAAACCTGAGCAAAAAAAGTCGTGCATGGCTACTTGCTGTACTAATCCCGCCAACATTCACTTTTCCCCAACAGGGTAATTATCCGCATATCACCTACCCACTGCCTCTCCCGGAGAGTGAGAAATCATCACCTACTGCACCATCATCACCAGCATCTCCACCGCACAGCGGGACCATAAGCGAGCCTGAGACTTTATTGGAACGAGACGCAAGAGCAACTAGAACGTTCGCCATTCTGCAGCTCGCCGTTGGGCGAAACCCATGGGACCTTGGAGCAGTTGGGAACTGGAAATCGGTAATGGGGAACAATTTCCTGGACTGGGTGCTACCGATTAAGCAGTCTCCATGTCGCAATCATGAGAGCCACGAATCTCAGTTCGAAACCGGTCGTTGGGTGGAAGAGTTGCTCGTCGAGGTGGGCTTCATGTCAGAACAAGACATGCGGAAACCACTCCCGTTCAGGGGAAGGAAGTTGAAGGGCCCGAAACGGAATATTATGGAGAAGAGTGGGGTTGCGCCGGCGATGACGGCTGAGTGCATACCGAGAAACGCACATTAATGGAGGAGGACCTTCTGCATTACGATTAATAGGTTACTTAGTCTGGCGTCTTTGGTGGGGGTTGTTAAGCATGGAGTTTGGCAGGGGATTGCATTGGGGTAATGTTGTTGTGGATATCGGAAGTGTCCCAAGGGCCGTGAGCACCACCCTATAGAATGGACTGAACGAGAGAAGAGCTATAAATATTTGATGACAACATGACATACGTGAAAGGCCACATTGACGTGCATTGCTTCCAACGGCGTTTCGTGTTTGGTCGTCACAGCTCTGCTTTACTTGTTGGAGTTTCAGCTCCGAATCGCCAGATTTCGATTGGCTCGCTCGTAGCAACACCGTTCCTACTATATTAGAATCCCTACCCGACCCATTAGCTGCCCGACGCCGGTATACCTTTTTCAATAATAGGAGTTGTTGAGTGACGGCTTGCTCCAAATGTTTACGCTATGATAGGTTATGCAGGTGTGGAACTTGTGTGTTGATTGAAAATAGGCATGTGACGCGAGTGCTGACGCACCAGCGCGTACAAAACCCGTAAAGCGAGGGATTAAATTGTTATAATATATTATCATAATGTTATCACACAGGGTGGAGGTTGCGAGCGACTCGACTTGACTTGCGCAGCAAAGTGATAAATGTACTCTGTCCTAAGATAGGAAAATATCTAGTACCCTAGACTTTTCGACACTTTGAGGGTTCATGGTATATTGTGTAAAGAGAGCATGGGATGCGCCTGCCTTCTTTATGTCCGCATTATGCCGAACCGTCGAAAGGTCAGAAAGCGCCACGAGCTTCTGGAGTCAATCTCGCGATAATGAACCAAGCCAAGTCTTCTTCATGGAAAAGCAACCTGCAAATCCCACACCTTAAGTAAGCACCCACTTTCTCAATAACACGCGATTGGCGAGACAGACTTCAGAAGATCCTAGGCCCACCGATAGATATCTCCATAGGCAGAAGCAGGGCGTCGAGAATCCCCTAACCCTGATGCACCTAGCCCCTCTCTGTGACAAGCGACGACGACGTGTGGTTGGTTTCTGGATGGCGGCCGCCCCATGCCATGACCGTGACATTGCACCGCCCCAAATCAATATAAAACAAGGGGAAGTGACTGGCAGAGCTGGACGTCTGGTTAGACGCAAGGCTAATAGAACTTCTGGGCAACGGAATGGGATGCCTGGATCCCTCAGGCCAGTCACTGTCGCGTGGGCCAACCACCAGATAAAACACTGTCCACGAAATGACGCGGTCAAGGACATGAGCATAATAATTAATGGATTCCGAAAGCTAGAGGTCGACCAGCAACCTCATTTCTTGGACAGAGTAACCACCCTTGACAAATGATACCATGTAACCATGTGATAGAAGACAAACTTGCTCAACAAGCGGTCAGGGAATAACGACAGCTTAGGTACAACCGACACCGCTGCTTTAAACCGCCATCAAGATCTCAAAAACTCTGCATAGTATTTTGAAAGACCTGCAAGGGTGCCTTTGGCATGGCTGGGTAGCAAAATCCCAACTGAGATGAAGCAAATTCCACTTGACGGCACAACAATATCCAAGTCAAACCCCAATATCAACACAAATAATCCGAAGCCCAACCATAGAACAGTGCCAATATCATCATGTATGGCGACGTCACAAAAGGGGGACATCCCTATCAAAACACTGGATTGCTTTCCACTTCCAGCGACGCCATCGATCTCGAGGATAATGTGCGATTTTTTGGCCACACATCGCCATAGCATCGTGGTTTCTCAATGATGTCTCCAGTCTTGCGGTCTCCAAGAAATGACATTCATTGATGGCTTCATCCTTAAGTCTTGACCAAGGGTTCGTTTATCTCCGGTCGTGGATGTGGGTCTTGACAAGTCCCGCACTTCTTGTGGCCACAGATACATATATCCGGTGGTCCGCTTTTGACAACATGGCTACCACAGCTGCAGCATTTGTACATCGTTGATAGCAGCACAGGGTTTGCGTTTGCAGCGTCCATCCTTGGCAGGCGTCAGTGGTGGTGTTGGTTGAGGGCGACGAGATGTTGTGAGTGGGCTGTCGATTAAGACCACTGGTTTTATCCGTGTTGGAGATTGATGTGCTGATATATGGGAATTCTCTTGTCAACCTGGATGTATCTCCCAGTGAGTGCGAGATGTGTCTTCTGGTTTGCCCCTTTATCAGTTACTGAACGCATAAGGGGCTCGACCAAGACTGAAGGGACCAAACTTACAAGTTGGATCGCTCAAAGGCGATGGTTGACCCAGAAAAACTATATGCCAAAGTTCAATGCTGTGCATCGTTGAGTCCTGCTGAGGTGTCTCGATACGACTCTTTATGTGTTTGAGTCTCGAGTTAAAGGGGCGTGCCAAGCCAGGACATACACAAATCTCTCATGGAGAACATCCTCATCTCACTGAAAGATAGAAGCTGACGACAGTTCAGGGGCTCCGGAGAAGCGGTGTGATAAAGAACTCTTTCAGGGGCCGGGGCATCATTGGCGTTTGCTCTCGCTGCGTTGAATCTCGTTCGCTGGTCGGTAATACAATGGCACCGGCCACTCCGTCCGACTCCTGTTAAGGCCAGGAATTCCTGTGAGGCAACGACGCGACTTAAAATTGCAAGAGTTTGCAATATTGTTCCTTTCAGCTGCTGCCAGTTAAAAAAACGGCCCACCAAACGAAATCCGTCGTTACTATTGTGACAAAGAATGTGCGACTGCGCGACGACATGGTACCCCTCTCGAGTACCACTGGCGATAGCGCGCGCTACCTAGAGATTCGCCTGGTCACAAGCTACTATATGAGACGTTAGGGATTCGAGTAGGCTCTGACTAATACCCTGGTACTGACACTGACTGGCCATGATCTTTTAACTACTGATCTCATCCTCCCCTTAATATATGATTGCAGCTTGTTTGGACGGTCATTCCAGGGGCTCGTCATGGGCTGATCAACAGTTTGCGGCTCCAGAAAGGTCCTATAGTTAGGCATTGTCAGGGGGATTACACCATCAGCGAACAGGAGTAACGCTGCTCGAAGGCGGCAACCAGTCCGAGACAGTGCATCCCCGATTCCCCTCAGAAATAGCAACTGAGCTTTCTAGCTCGCCATGCTGTCTCTCTTGATGATTCTCGGTATTGCCGATCGGCCTTGCATCAACCCTGTTGCTAGGAATCCTCGAGTGCATTCCATGGGAGGCTCTGCGGACGCATTCGGTCTATCGAGCAACGGCGCATGACCACTAGGCTGGCGACGCATGATCCTGGCTTTGCAGGAAGCTCTTAATTTCGTACGTGGCCTGTTGAATCTTGGAGCCTCCATCCGATGGTCGGCTTCCAGTCACACGCGACTGGGGTGGATGCCTGCCTGGGGATGTCATGACCTTGGGCCCCAGCTATTGGGTTGACACTGTAGCCCTGCTGTTGCGGGATGCAGAGGATCACGCACAGGCTGGCCAATTTCAGCGCGCGAATATTTGTCAGGGGCTGGACTAAGACTCAGCTACTCTCCAGATACTGCGATTGCATCCTGTCTGTCATACACAAGATGCGGCTCTTCATTGCGGCTTTTAACCCACGTCTCTAGCCCCGACAAGCATTGTTACGTTGGGCAATCAACCTCGCTCGCCCCGTGTTCAGCAAGGCTGCGGGGTTTGGCGATTCCGGTGTCAAGATGTACTCCTATTCGACCACAATTCAGAAAAAGAAGAGCGGTGAAGGGGATGCAACCCCTCTATCGTTCGAAGAGTCATTCTTTAAGATTGTGCTGAAGGTTTATGGGTGTGTTGGTCGCAAATACATGTAGATGGGCCAGCAACTGAATAGGAAGACAGCAGAGCAGGAGACATAAGAAGTAAAGGCTTCCATGTTGGTCATTTCTGACGTACCGAGGGCTGTATTCTCTGACGTATTGTATATGCACGTTGCCCTACAGAGAAGCGCCAGGGTGGGGGATCTCCATACACTACAGGCCATAGGAAACGAGGGTATTACCTCGAAGCGGCAAGCAAACATACTAACGTCTACACTGGGGTGGTCACTAATCTTGCTCAATCGGACGTCTCCCGTACTACGCGCCTGCCCCCCCACCCCCCTCCGCTGATTGACACCGAATAATGGGACAGAGCATAGGATATTCCTAGTAGTCAACGCTCTGTGCCTACTCCCGTCACGGGCCGAGAGAATGGTGCAAGCATCTCCGGTAAATTATTCCGTGTGGAGAAAAGAGATATCCTTGCGGCATATGCTATTGATAATGGACAGGTCAAGCGTGGCTACATCCAAGCCGGCCACCCCCTACGAGCCATGGTTAACCACTAAGATTGGTACATTAGCCGGAGCGTGCAGCCACGGCGCCTGGGGTTGGTTGCCATGTGAAGCAAACAATATAGTGAAGGAAGCATGTCATAAATATGCGTGTCATAATGTCTTGGACTCGCGGCTTTCTTCCCCGTAGTACTGCGCCATCCATTACAGGCAAAGCCAATGTCTAAATACCAGGCCGTACTTGTATATCCTCAAGTTGAACCTAGTCTACCATCGTGGAGGGGTCTTTATCACATCATCTAGGGTAGATAATGGGCACGTCGTGGTCTATACACATAGATAAATGAACAAGAGGTAAACCTACAATCTCAAAGCTTGACGGGCCAAGTAACAACTAGAATCCATTCGTCTATAGCCGTAAAATAACCCATCTATGTGTCGTCTATCGGATCTACATGGGAGCACGGCGGCCGTGCGTTTGGGGGCGGCCCGCTCGTGGCGGGTATCGGGCAGTTGGCGCCTACAAATGCCGATTACCCCGCCGACCCCACTACTCCAGTCATAACCAACCTCTCAACATATAACAACCTTGATTTTATTCGCAAATACGCGCACGGGGTATATCGTCTTTCTGGTCGTCCCGGTTGCCAGAGTCTCTGCTTGGATTCTAAGTTGTTAGGTTCTGTCGGTATCTTGGAGAGTCGCTCTCAGACAGGTCTCCCGTCGTAGCGTCTATAAAATAATATATTATTTATAGATAGTAACTGTCATATATCTTACGATTAACAGTAGCGTAACCGATGCGATCCTAATATATGTTGTATATGTGCTGAGGGACAAGTAAATATGCTGAAGAAAAGGCTGGAAAGGTTGCGCAGAAGAGTTGAGCAGCAATCAAGCGACGAACATGGAGATAGCCTCATTGGCGTTTGAGAGATGGATATAGACTGAAATCAAAAATAAAGAGCTATAAATATTAATTAATTCCCACCACTGAACCGCAGATTTCATGTACAGTACAACACAGTACAGTACACCCCTCCCTAACCCCCTGAACTTACATACCCTCTCACTCCGACTTCCCCCCCACCATCCCCGCGTCCCCACTAACCGGCTCTCCCGTCTCTCCTGTCTCCAACACCCCCCCCTCCACCTCCTCCGCCCCCTCCTTCCCCGATTTGTCCGCAAAAGTTTTAGTCGGCACCCATCCCACCGACTTCCTCGCAACACTAACCTCATCATACAGCTCATCGATTTGCTCGAGCGTGAGTCCCTTCGTCTCGTAAATGAAGAAGTAGACGAAGGCGATACAGAGGAAGCAGCAGCCGAACCAGATGAAGAAGATTTTGGACTGGAGATTTGCGTTTCCGGGACCCCATTTCACGAGGTAGGGGGTTGAATAGGCGATGGCCCAGTTGAAGAGCCCTATGTGAGGTTAGCCTGTTGGGCGCCGGGAACCGGGAGAGAAAGGAGTGCATACAATTCGTAGCCGTGGTCATACTTAGACACTTCGCGCGGACCTTGAGCGGGAAAATCTCGCCCGTAACCACCCATGCAATCGGGCCCCAAGTGGCTGCGAAAAAGAAGATGAAAATGCAGATGAATGCAATCCCCGCCTTCTGCGCTGCAACATTATGGACAATAATGTTGCCCGCGGCGTCTTGGGAGGTGGTGGTTGTGCCTAGGACGGCGACGAGGAGCTGGCTGACGGCCATGCCGACGGCGCCCCAGAGCAAGAGCGGGCGGCGGCCGATCTTGTCGATGGCGTAGAGACCAGGGAGGGTGGAGGCGACATTGACGGCGCTGGTGATCATTTGAATGACGAAGGGGTTGGTGATTCCGGAGTTTTTAAAGTATTGAGTTCCGTAACTAGGAGAGGTCAGCGGAGATGCCCTGAGACCCCTGTGATGGCCAGAGAAGGCAGATTATGCCCCGCAACTCTATACCAGTGACAACAAGTGCGTATAACTTACTAGAAAATGAAATTAACACCAGTAAGCTGCTGCAGCGCTTGCAGCAAGCAACCGGTCAAAAGTCGCTTGCCGATGTTGCCACGGAAGCAGTCGAAGTAGGTCGCCTTGCCCAGATGTAGCTCGTACTTGTGGTTTGCCTCGATCTCGTTCAGCTCCTGCACGATGGCTGGATGGTCAACATTGAGTCGTCTGAGGCGGCCGAGGGAGCGCGCAGCCTTGTCATGCCGAGTGCGTTTGACGAGGTAACGGGGGGTTTCGGGGAGGAAGAGCATGCCGCTCCCGAGGATAATTGCATAGGCAAACTGAACGGCGATCGGGATTCTGGTGTAGGTTAGTAACGTGCTAGGCAGCGGGAAGAGGGGACTGACCTGTATGAGCCAGTGTCATTGCGTTTCGACGTAGCATTGTCCACGACGGCAGCTATGAGAAGCCCAATGGTGATGGCCAGTTGATATGCCCCTACGATAACACCACGGATCCATTTCGGTGCCGTCTCAGACTGATATAGTGGAACTGTAGCGCGTCAGTTAAATTCCAATTAAGCTCACGGCTAACATACTCAAAGCAGAAACCAGCCCTACACCAAAACCAGCAAAGAAGCGTCCAGCCAAGAAGAGTGGAATCGCCGTAGCGGCAGTCTGCAGAATAACGCCAAAGGAGAAGACTATAGCAGCGCCTACGAGCGCCAATCGACGACCGAGGAAATCGGCGAATGGTGCTGCGGATAGCGAGCCGAAGAAGGTACCGGCAGACAGGATAGAGACGATTGCCGCGGTGTTCGAGGCGGAGATGTCGGGATCACCATTCGCATCGCGCGTGCCGTCGGTGAAGAGCGCTTTCCAGTAGTCCATGGCAATGATGCCAGAAATCGTACCTGTATCATATCTGGGGGATGTTAGGGCTTGCACATCCCTCATCCTCCCCTCATCCCTCTCTCGCCCTCTCTCTCCCTCACTCGCTAGGATTAGATCATGGAGTTCACTCACCCGAAGAGAATACCACCAAAGGCAACGAAGAAACCAATGACAATGGCAGGCCACGAGCGGCCGGGCACGTCTTTCGGCTTCTTCAGAGCGAGACCCATGGTGATTTGCTGTATTTTCCAGAACAGGAGAGATTTATCTTTGTAATTGGGGAGAAAGTGAGAAGTCAATGGGAATACGCAGGAGGTATGACAGATCCCATTGCCTGCCTGGGGCGGGCGGGGAAATCATCATTTATACAAGCAGCAGAGCACCGCATAGGGAAGTCGCGGGGGAGGGCATGGAAGCGAAGGATAGGAAGGGACCAGGGAGGGGTAAGCAGGGTCAACGGGTGTTGTGCGTGCATTGGATGGGGTGCACGACGTGTATTCGCGGGGACTTGTTTGAGGTTTGGGTAAGAAGGAGCAGGTAAGACACACATCCTCACGGTGCGGGAGTTAGAGCTTGAATGGTAGCGGTAGGTAACCCCTCATCGACCCGTGGTGCATAAACAAGATGTCTGGCGATATCGAATGAACGACGTGGGTTGCCACTTCCGGTGTGGTATCCGCGGCGTAAACGCGGTCAAATACAGGTTATAGAGGGGAGACAGAAGTGTCGCAGAGCAGGTAGGTGACGGGGACACTGAGTGCTCCGTCCTCGTCCATGTATGGAGTACAGTATCTCCACGGCTTGGTATCACATCTCTCACCTGATATCCCACTGAAGATCCTCCTCGCCCATGTTTCTCTCTCTCCCGTCGTACCCCAGACTTCCCCCACAATCCCATATCGTACTCATCATTCAATATCATTATGTGCTGGCGGTGTAGTGTTCTTTTCTTTCTCCCGTCTTCTCCGTTGATTCTCACCCGCCATCTACGTCAAGGACGTCCAAAAAAGGTTTCACCGGCGCCAATCAGCGCGCGCTTCCAATCCGGCAGACAGCGTTCTCCCTGCACCCGGCACTTGACCAGTAACATCCCTGCCCGCATTGTAGCAGATACGGTATAGTCCCGTCGATATAGCAATTTACAGTACGATCGATACGATCGATACAATGCGATATAATATATCTGTATACCATCATGCCGCTTTCAGACGCGTGTCAGCTATGGATGGCGTGCGGGGTGAGTATATACAGCTCGCAAACAGACACGGAGCTGTGTACCAGCTGCTACGGCGCTGGTAGAACTGTATTCCTCGTCACGGTATCAAGCAAACACACGCGGATGACAGTACACACCGTGTACTCCTACTCCCCCCCGCCGCAATGTACCCCGAGCTCTCTGCATCGTCTGGTTCGCAGTCTTGTGATGCGTGACGTGGTAAGACCTATTTCTCCTCGCCGCGGTGCGTGGCACCGTCCGAGAATATCACCGTGAACCACAGCCACTACAACCACTCCGCCGCCGTAACCATGGCAATGCAACGGATCGCCCTGGCTGGAGGAGTCGAGCTCAAGCCCCAGCCCAGACTTATTGCCACCCCCTCCCCCCTCCCGGCTGGCGTACCACGTGTGCCGTATGTCTTTACTAGTAACAGCGGGTGGGGAGGAGAATGCGGGGTGCTTTGGCTTGTAGTGGGAGTGGAAACGGGAGACGGGCGGTGATACACACTGTGGATGGATATCTCCGTACTTCAGATCTTGACTCGTGTGCTCATCACATCGTGTGAGGGCAGTTGATGGAGGACGGTGGATTATGACAGCACAGCAACGGTCCGATTATGGCGTTGGGAGGGGCAGGGGGCTGGCCCGTCATGATCGATGGTTGCTGGGAAGAGGGTAGCGAATATGGGGAATTTTACAGCAAGCACGGTACAGAGTTCCAGACACGGGACGTGCAAAATATTAGAGTGCGAAGAGACAAAGAAAGCCGCCACAGCATGAGTGAAATTGTCTGATGATGAGTCTACCGCCTCTAAATCGAGCAACTTTTCAAAGCAAATCCGCCTCCTCCTGTCCCCCTCTCCCTCATTAGCTAAAGCCAAATCCCCCTCATCTTATCCAGCCAAACGCCATAAAAGACCTATCAAGCAAGCACCTAGTGGTATCAATATGCCGCAAAAACAAAACGCCAACCCCCCGCTCCGCCACCTAACGCCCGTCTCCCAAGCTTTTTCTTTTCTCAGCAAAAATCTGTGTATGTGTATGGTGTGTCTCGTGTAGTCTTGATGATAGTGACCGCGCCAGCAAACTCCGCATCATTCGTGAATAAAAATTAGTAAAAACCCTCCCCCGCGCTTAAAATGTAGCAAAAAAGCCCCCTCCTTCTCCCAATGTGATAGGCTCCCTGTATTCCCAAGCTGTTCGACTGCGAAAGGTAGGTCTGGAAGGGACGTGAATTCAAGATGAAGTCGTGTGGCTCGTGGGACACACGTCTAGCTGTACCACCCCCTCGCGCCGACGGCCCGCTGCACAACCTCTTCTCTATGCTCGATGATCGGCTCGCGGATCTCGAAGACCTCGATAAGCTCCTCCCATGTAGCCATGTCGATCGCGAAGATGGCTTGGTGCTTCGAGACGTCCTTCTTGAGCGCCTCTGCGCGCCCGAGCGGTTCAGCCTCACCTAGCAGGGAATGTTAGCTAATTGTCTCAACGTATCGTTAAGGGAATTAGGAACAGGTGCAACTTACCAAGAAATGGCAATCCGTCCTCATCGACCGTGATAGCCGCCTTGCCATCGCGAATCAAGAAGCTGACATAGAACATATTCTCGACTGTCTGCCCAAACGAGCGCGGATTAATGACGAAGCGAAACAGATCCATCCCACCATCAGCATTAAGCCCATGTCTACGCATCAGCATCTTAACCTCCTCGTCCGTAATCCCCTCCCACGCCTCCGCCTCACACGCATCCATCCCCGCCGCCGAAGCCTGCCGCAACCTCTCCATAATCCGCGCACACAAGAACGTCAAGCTCGAGTTCTCGCTGCGCTCAATGTCCTCCGGGCGCAGGATCTCCGGCTGCGTCTCGACGAGATCGCGATTCGCGTTCGGGGCGCGCCGTTGGATGACTCGGCGCGCGCGCTTCTCCAGTGAGAGGGGCCCGAGCAGGAAGCCGGGGATGGGAGGGCGGGTGTTGTGCTGTTGGCAGGCGAAGGCGCCGAGGTGGGACCAGTCGAGCATGTCGCCTGCTTCGGGGTCGTCGTCGTCGTCGGGGTTGTCGCCGTTCTGGATGGTGCGGCGGCGGGACTGTGTGGAGGTGGGCGCGCGAGAGGGAGTGGGGGCGGAGCCTTGGCCGTTACGCATGAAGGTCATGCACTTGGCGACGAAGTGGTCGATGTCGACGCGGCGGTCTGTGTCGCCGAGGGTGAGCTTCTCGATTTTCTTCAGGGAGAGGTCGGCTGCGTTGGCGATGAGGCGGGAGTCGACTGTCGCGTCGCCGGTCTGCTTGACGCCGTTGAGGATCTCGTCCGCTTCGAGGAGGGTCTGTTTGAGTCCTTCATTGTCGGCGTGGAGAAATTCGGCGCGGTTGTTATTGAGATCCTTCTCGAGATTGCGGAACCGCGCGCGGAGTTCTCTGCGCTCTTGCAGGTCCTGGTCGGGATCGTAGTTGTCGCTGCTGTCGTCTCCATTCTGGCTCACCGGCGAACCGTTCTCAGGTTCCCTGGTCCTCCGTCTGACGGATCGGCTCCTGTCACCCGCGTCGCGAACCTCCACAGCCTTGCGCTTGACACTCCGTCCATTGCTGATTTCTGATAGTCCACGGCTCACCGGCGGCCCGGCCATGCCTTCGGGTCCCTTTCCCTTATCGACACGAGAGCGTGCTGCCTTATTCTCTTTGTCGGACGACTGTGACGCGGCGGAATGTGGGGAAGATGATGGCGATGTGTCTCGGGGCGCCCTGTTCAGTGATCGACGCGGGGTAGGTTTCGGTGAGGCGTCCCATACATCCTCACTGTATGTCGGAGCGCGGGATTTTGATGGCATGAGTCGCGCCATGTATAATCGTCTGATGTGGAACTTTCGGGAGTGTTGGGGAAGAAATGCGCGATTCCCTCCCTTGCTTCACTTTAGCTAGCGCCAAATTCCAAACAAACAAGTTTGCGCGTGAGTTTCCGGTGGCGTAGAATATAAATATAAGTCGTTATTGGCGATCGCAGTATTGAGAGACGCCACAAAAGAGTGCGGAATCGAAGGTATCGAAGTAATTGTTGATGATAAGTCGGACTTTGTTCTAGTGAAAGTTAGATACGCGCCCTCATTGAGGCATCGTTCGTCTGTCAACGCGCGATCTGTGGCTTGTGCTGTTAGGCTGGCTGGCACGGACCATCTTTTAAGTGGTTAGCTGTGCCATAATTAGAGGCTCGCCAGTAACTCCAGTAGTCTGGTGGTGCGACGAGACGCCTTGGAGGTTATCCGGTGCAACAGACTTTGCTTGTATAATATTTCTATCTTCTGATATATTCTGAGGAGAATGTATCATGGATCCTTTTTCTTTTGCAAGCTCTGAGGCCTTAGAGCTACCTCTTAATGTGAAGATGTAAGTCTTTCCCGACGTCACCCAGTCTGTTACCTTGAGGGCTCTTCCTAACATTGAGCAGTGTGCGCCTCGAAGGAGAACAGACCCAGATCCCATTTTCGACTTTAATAAAGAGACCCGACCTGCGACATATAGGATCAAATATCAGGTATTTACAGGCCGCCCCGTTCCCATCAAGTACCATGCTAACAGCTCCATCCATAGCCCTCATTCAGACCTCTACTTGACTGTGCAGCTATGGGCCGACTCGAAGCCTCTTACAGTCCCAGTGCGAACTCCATATAAGCCGTTCAAGAATGAGAGGAAATGGGGGAACTGGTTGACACTGCCTGTTACATTCAATACGCTTCCCTTGACGGCGCAACTCGCGATTACTGTCTGGGACGTTTCTCCCGCCGGTGGGGATGGAGCTCAAGGACACTCGATACCCTTCGGCGGAACCACATTTCCTCTTTTCGATAAGGAAAATACATTGCAGAAAGGTCGACAGCTATGCCACTTGCACCGGCGCAAAGCCGCCGACGGGTTGGCCGGGACATCCACTCCATCGTCATTGCCGACGCGCCGGAGCGAAAAGAATGGAAAGTCGGAGAACGGACTGGTGGATAAGGAGCAGGAAGAAGCTGAGAGGTTAGAAAAGCTGCTGAAGAAGCATGAGATGGGAGAAATTCCTCGGGTGGAGTGGCTTGATCAACTGGTTTTCCGCAACATCGAAAAACAAAACATTCTCTCGTCAAGCCCGTCAGCCAGGTCGCTGCAGAACAGACGTTCGAAAACGGACGGCGACATCACCACGCTCGACGGGGAGGTTGAAGCTGATATTGAGAACGAGGTATTCACGTTGCATATTGAGCTACCACGCTTCGATTTCCCAGTCGTATTTTCTGACCACGAGTACCCGCCTCCACCTATATCTTCGATGCAGCACTTGTCCTCATCGCAAAACAACATTCTTAAGCCACCACCAGTAGTTTATTTTGGACCAGGTGTCGATGGGAAAGGCGAGGATGGGTCGTTTGGAGGACGCCTTGTGCGTATATATGACCCCGAGGTAGGCTCCCGAGACAACCCCGCCGAAACCAAGCATCGTCGACTCGTGCGTGGCCACAGAACAGGGGCAATGGACCGTGACCTAAGGCCGAACGCGAGATTCCGTGACGAGTTGAATCAGATTGTTGGATCACCTCCGACCCATGCACTATCGCCAGATGAGAAGGATTTGATTTGGAAGTTCAGACATCATCTTACGAAAGATAAGAGGGCATTGACCAAATTTGTTAAATCGGTCAACTGGCAAGATAATAGCGAGGCTAGGCAAGCTGTTCAGCTCCTCTCGAAATGGACTGAGATCGATGTCGACGATGCTCTTGAGCTCCTGGGTCCAAGCTTCGATAATTCAGATGTGAGAGCATACGCAGTTGACCGTCTACGAAAATCCGACGACGATGAACTGTTGCTCTACCTACTTCAACTAGTCCAGGCCCTCAAGTTTGAACATAAAACACCAAATTCATCAGATGAGCCTAAAGCAGACTCTTCTCTCGCCCAATTCCTCATTGCACGAGCCGCGAAGAGCTTCATGCTCGGTAACTACTTCCATTGGTATCTCATGGTCGAATGCGATGACAAGAGCCCTGGACAGCCCCCACAATACCGCAAGCTCTTTGCAAAGGTCGAATATGACTTCATGATAGAACTAGAGAAGACACCCACCGGCAAGGAAACCCGAAAGGTACTCCTCCGGCAAGCCGAGTTCGTCGCCGTCATATCCAAGATCTCGCTCGAGATAAGCGCCAAAGGAGGTCCAACTATAGCCAAAAAGGCGGAGCGAGCCAAACAATTCCTCATGGATCCGAAGAACGAGCTGATCAATATCGACCCCCCTCTACCTCTCCCACTCGACCCATCCATCCTAATAAGCGGCGTCTACCCCGAAGAAACAGCCGTCTTCAAATCCTCTCTCTCCCCCCTAAAAATGGCCTTCCGCACCTCCTCCGGGCGCCACTACCCCATCATCTTCAAGACCGGCGACGACCTCCGCCAAGACCAGCTCGTCATCCAAATCATCACCTTAATGGACCAGCTCCTCCGCAAAGAGAACCTCGATCTCAAGCTCTCCCCCTACAAGATCCTCGCCACTGGCGCCACCGCCGGCGCCGTGCAATTCGTCCCCTCCTCCTCCCTCGCCGCCATCTCCACCAAACACCGCAGCAGCGGCCAACCCCCCATCCTCACCTACCTACGCACCCACAACCCCGACGCCACTGCCCCCCTCGGCGTCCGGAAGGAGGCAATGGACACCTACGTCAAGTCGTGCGCGGGATACTGCGTAATCACCTACCTCCTCGGCGTCGGCGACCGACACCTCGATAACCTCCTCCTCGCTCCCTCGGGGCACTTCTTCCACGCCGACTTCGGGTACATCCTCGGGCGCGACCCGAAGCCGTTTGCGCCGCTGATGAAGCTGGGCTCGGAGATGGCGGATGGGATGGGGGGACAGCAGGACGAGAATTGGGCGAGGTTCAAGGAGTACGCGTTCACGGCTTATGCGGCGCTGAGGAAGCAGAGCGGGCTGGTGCTAAATCTATTTGGGCTGATGGTGGATGCGAATATTCCTGATATCCGCGCGGAGCCGGAGAGGGTGGTGGAGAAGGTTATGGAGCGGTTTATGTTGGAGATGAGTGAGGAGGAGGCGATTAGGGGGTTTGAACGCATTATTGAGGATAGTGTGGGGGCGATTTTTCCGGTGGTTATTGATCGTTTGCATGGGATTGTGCAGCATTTCCGGACGTAGGGGATGGGTATGGGGGTTGGCAGTATGGTGTATTGGTGTTTGATGTGGTAGGCGATCGCAGACAGCATTTATAGAGCAAAACAGATGTTATATTGTACTGCACTAATAATATTGACGACGCATGCTTAAATTGAACATGTGAACAGCAAACACCAAACTCCACGTAATGCAGCACTGGCCCTTGGCAACCAGTGGTCTATCTAGACCTACACCCCTCTTTCCCCCTTCCCCTCCCATTCCCCCTCCATATCCTACACACCCCTCACCTCCCCTCCCTTCACTCATCCCCTACTCTTCGTATTCAAAATCAACGCCACAATCAACCCATACAACCCCAACACCTCCCCAAAAATCAGAATCAACACCATCCCCACAAAAATCCTCGACTGCTGCATATAACTCCTCACCCCCATATCTCCCACAATCCCAATCGTATAACCCGCCGCCAAACCCGTAAGCCCGACGGACAGGCCGGCGGCGAGATGCAGGAAGCCCGTGAAGAGCGCGTAGTGCTGGCCCGGGGGAGGGGCCATGTCGCCGGCGATTAGGACGGCGATGACGAGGGAGTAGACGGCGATGATACCGGACATGACGACGGGGATGAGGGACTGGAAGTCGAAGGATTAGCGGGGGGGTGTGGAGAAGAGGGGAGGGGGGGGGGTGTTACCTTCATGATGAGGTCTGGCCTAAAGGTTCCCACGCCCGCGATTCCAATGCCCGATTTCGCCGTGCCGTATGCGGCGCCAATAGCTATATCGTGTTAGCCTTCCGCACCCACATCTCTCCTTCAAGTAGTGGTGTAAGCTTACTGCCAAAGATCATCGCAAACGCAATTCCGGCCTGTCAAAGCTGTCAGCTCTCTCCATCCAGACTACCCAATGCCTGTGTTAAGGGGTGGGCGGGGGCTGCCATACCATTCCGATGAACGGCGCGAACTTGGGGGCGGATTCCGAGTCTGCCATTGTGGAGGCAGGCGCAGAGTCTTGGTGTGCTGGTGGTCTGGTACTGCTGCGATGGAAGCAGATGCGTTGGAGGGTCGTCGATGCGTGCACCGCGAGCCAGCCAGAGGTCGAAGCTATCCGCGAATGGCGCTAGCGCGTTTGCAGGTAGTTTCATGGCATGTGTCACGTGATTATATTGGGAAAATGAATGAGTCGCAGGGAATGAATCGCGTAGTTGATGGTGAGTGGGACATGATTAGATAGCATATATCGTGAGAATGTATCAGTGTATGTTTTTTGTATGCCTCAATATGGCATGACTTGATGCTGAGAGAGGCCCTGTGGATTGTATTTTGGGATCTCCAATGACGATGCCCAGGATTCGTGAAATAGAGTAGACACAGCCTCAGTTGGACCCGCTTCTTGCTTAACACAGCCACAGCCCCTTATCATAGTATGGAGCTGGGAATGCACTGTGCCTCTCACTAGCCACGATGGAGTTGATGGAGTACGGGAGAATGACGATGAGGTAGTCGGCGTGTCCGTGGAAGAGAACTGCAGTAGTAGGGTATTGTTCATGGATACTCTCACAATTGTCAGTGGGGAGTTGTAGCTGTGCGTGCTGCAGTAGACTGACTGACGTTGAAACACAGTTCGGATACACTCCATCCCGGGTATATACAATAATAATATAGGATATATTAGAATATGCACACAAATCTAGAATCTATCACATCAATATATGATTTATATCTCCAATTATCTCCCCATTATCTCCTTGTGGACCTCTTTCTTCAGCTTGACTAGGTGCTCTTGAAATTTTGATGTGTGGCACGACTGACGCTAGACTATTTCCCGTTAAACACCAGAACCAAGATCCCTCTTCCCCCTCCCAGGCAGGTCAACCCCATCTAAACTTGCTGTAGCGGCCTGTAGTGTCCACTAAACTTGCTGTAGTGCCCACTAAACTCGCTGGAGTTGCCTGTCGTGCACACTGTAACTTCCCTGTAAATCCCCTGTAACTCCCCTGTCCTTGCCTGAACTTGCCTGTCTCATTAGCGCATCTCTAGCCCACTTTAGCCCACTTGCCCTCTGCTCTGGTACTCCGCTACTCATACTACACTCAATACGCTATCCCGTACCTTTTCCCATCCAAGAACAACCAAACGGCCTTGTCAGCCAACAGCCAACCCTCAACGACCAAATCCCCAACTCCACACACTGAACCACAACCACCTGCATATTCCAACCCTTTCTACGCTCTGGCTGTGACCACAACTTCAATGTCATACGCCTTGCCCCCCTCTCAAGGCCTGAGACTGTGCGCTGCCTCCTAGCACATTCTTATTCCCCCGACGGACCCGGCCATAATAAGGATTGCCTCTGGTCTCCACAGATCGATCCCGCCATGGCAAATTATCAAGGACCTAGGCCAAACGGAGGCAGGCAGAGCGACTATGGCCAGCCGCCGTCATCAAACAATCAGCGGGATGCCGCCTTCTCCAACATCTTTGGTGCTGCGCCGCCACCAGGTCGCTCCCAGACCATGACCTCCTCCAACCAACCCCTCAACATGATGCCGCCGCCTGGAAGAACACAGACAATGGGCTCGCAGTATGATGGACGGTCTCCCATGGGCCGCGAGCCTCCGCCGCGAATGCCTCCTCCCCGACAGCCTCCGCCGCGGCAGCCAGGAGGATATCCTCCGCAATCGCCCTCATACGGACCCAACGGCCAAGCCGGCCCCAATGGTTACTACCAGGGCCCACAGAGGCCAGCCTCAAACAGTGGCCCTCAAGTTCGCGATCAGCAGCTACCTCCAGCTCCTCCTCGGCTAGACCAGAGAAGGCCATATCCAGGACCCCAGCGGGTGGACATGAGACAACAACCTAATATTTCCCAGCAGCAGCAGTTTGCGCAACAGCAACGACAGCCCCCGCAGCGAGCATACAGCGGTCCAGGTCCGGCCATGAACTCTGACCCGTATCGCTCGCAGTCAATGGCGTCGATTTCACGGCCGCAGATGTACCAGGCGCCACCGAGCAACTTTCAGCAAGCACCCGCGAATGCGTTCCGACACGCACCATATCAGAACAACCAGCAGATGTCGTCTAAGATCACGGCGCAGGGCCGCCCGGTTCCTGAAAGAACGCACGATGAGCGCACGATGTCCATGACGAGTTATCCGCAAGGACGAGACCACCAGACAATGAGTGGTCGTGTTATACCCAATAGACGCGCGGAAGAGCCGCAGGAGAGGACAAATGGATATCAGATTGAGACCCCCGGTGCTGCCGGATCTATGACCCGCACGACCAGTATGGCGTCAACACAGGTCACTGAAGGCTCGGGTCGCTCTATGTCTATGGCTTCGACAATCGTTCCTCCGGAAAGTGTCAATAATAGGACATCTGTTAAGTCGAATGGCAGCGGGACAGGACGGAGGGCGGCTACCAAGGCTCCCCTCGTATATCCAGCTCTGCTGTCTCGTGTCGGAGAATGCTTCCGGGATAGGATTCAAACGGGAGACCGGACGAAGAACGACCTCGCATATAAGCACGCATTTAGCGGTGCGGAAGCGGTGGACGTCATCAGCTATATCATCAAGACTACGGATAGAAATCTTGCTCTGCTCCTGGGTAGAGCTCTGGACGCCCAAAAGTTCTTCCACGACGTTACCTACGATCACAGGTTACGAGATGCGCCGACTGAGATGTATCAGTTCCGAGAGACTATGATGGATGATCCCTCCGACACCCCGGAGGTCAACGGTGTATTCGTTCTGCTGACGGAGTGCTATTCTCCTACCTGTACCCCTGACCACCTGTGCTACTCTATTGCGTGTCCAAGGAGATTGGAACAGCAGTCGCGACTCAATCTCAAGCCTCAACCAGGTCTGAGACGTGAGGATTCGCAAGCTAACCTCCACGACAACGAGCCCGATGAACAGAAATTGTGGATCAACACTGTATCCAAGGAGATTGCTGATAGCGTCGGAGACCGCGAGAAGAAGAGGCAGGAGGTCATCTCCGAGATCATGTACACCGAGAGAGATTTTGTCAAGGATCTGGAGTATTTGAGAGACTTCTGGATTTTCCCCTTGCGAGGGCTTGTCAGGGATGTCCCACCTCCTATCCCGGAATCAAGACGAGAAAGGATCGTTCGGACTATTTTCTCCAATATTGTCGACCCCCCGAGTATCCACGGCGTCAGTTCCAAGTTCGCAGAGGCCCTCACGGAACGGCAAAGGAAACACCCAGTGGTTTCGGCCGTTGGCGATATTTTCTTAGAATTCGTGCCCCAGTTCGAGCCATTTATCACCTACGGATCAAATCAGCTGAATGCCAAGTTCGAATTTGAGAAGGAGAGGTCCTTGAATCCGTTCTTCTCCAAGTTCGTGGATGAAACAGAGCGCCGCAAGGAATCGAGAAAGCTGGAACTCAACGGTTATCTCACTAAGCCTACGACGAGATTGGCTCGTTATCCACTGCTGTTGGACAATGTGCTTAAATATACGGATCCGGCAAGCCAGGATATCACGGATATCCCCAAAGCCATTAAGCTGATTCGAGACCTCCTGACTCGTGTCAACGCAGAGTCTGGAAAGGCCGAGAACCGCTTTAATTTGAGGCAACTTCATGAGCAGCTCCGATTCAGACCGAATGAGCGTGTTGACTTGAAGCTTACGGATGAGGGCCGAGAGTTGATCTACAAGGGAGCTTTGAAGAAGTCTCCAACAGACCCAAGTGAGATCCAGGCTTACCTCTTTGACCATGCAATGCTTTTGGTGCGTGTGAAGATGGTGGGCAAGAAGGAGGAAGTGAAGGTTTATCGACGGGTAGTTTCCCAAGTTCTATTTTGGATATGATCTTTATACTAATACTACTCTAGCCAATACCGTTAGAACTGCTGGCAATCAAAGAAATGGACGATGTGGTGCCTAGATTGGGCGTCGTCAAGAGGCCCACCTCAAGTTTACTACCCGGAAACAAGAGCAACACCGCGGATACTACCAAGGGTTTCCCAATCAGCTTCCGCCATCTGGGACGAAAGGGGGGCTACGAGCTAACTCTTTTCGCATCCACTGTGGGCTCCCGGAAGAAGTGGCTCGAGTATATTGATGAACAGCAGGAGAAGCTACGTGCACGTGGGGACTTCTATAACAAGACTACGCTATCTGCCGGCTTCTTCACGGCGATGAACCGTGTTAATTGCGCTGCACCGTTTGGTAAGTCGCCCATGCTGAGGCTAATTGACACAAGCTAACAATAGTAGATGGCGGACGCAAACTTATTTATGGTACTGATACCGGCATATACGTGTCGGATCGAAGGTCAAAGGAGGCAGGGGCCAAGCCGAAACGCGTAATAGACGTGCAAAACGTCACGCAAGTTGATGTCCTCGAGGAGTATCAGCTCCTACTTGTGCTATCGGCGAAATCACTCCTATCGTTCCCGCTTTCAGCTCTCGATCCGAACGAGCCTACCCTCGGCAAACGATCCAAGAAGATCCAAAGCCATTGCAATTTCTTCAAGACCGGCATCTGTCTCGGCCGCCACCTAGTCTGCTGCGTCAAGTCCTCGGCCCTCTCCACGACCATCAAGGTCTTCGAGCCCAACGACGCCATGTCCAAGGGCAAGAAGCAGAAGGGCTTCAAGATGTTCAACAGCGGCCAAGACGAGCTCAAAGCCTTCAAAGAATTCTACATCCCCACCGAATCCTCCTCCATCCACTTCCTCAAGTCCAAGCTCTGCGTCGCCTGCGCCCGCGGCTTCGAGGTCGTCTCCCTCGAGACCCTCGAGACGCAATCCCTCCTCGACCAGGCCGACACCTCGCTCGACTTCGTCGCGCGCAAGGAGAACGTCCGCCCCATCCACATCGAGCGCCTCAACGGCGAGTTCCTGCTCAACTACAGCGAATTCTCGTTCTTCGTCAACCGCAACGGCTGGCGCGCGCGCCCCGACTGGCGCATCGAGTGGGAGGGCCTGCCGCAGAGCTTCGCCTTGTCGTATCCCTGGATCTTGGCGTTCGAGCCGAATTTCGTGGAGATTAGGAATATCGAGACGCAGGCGGTTCATATCATCCCAGCGAAGAATACACGCATGCTTCATACGAGCACGCGCGAGGTACGTCCCCTTGTCCCGTCTAAAATGTCGCGTGGTCAATTTACTAACGCACCCCCACAGATCCTCTACGCCTTCGAAGACGAGCGCGGCGAAGATATCGTCGCATCCATTGACTTCTGGCCCGCTGGCCAACGGCCCGACGCACGCATGTCCATCATGCCGCCTGCGCCGTCGACGGCCCCACAACTCCCCGCGCTGCAGATCGAGGGGGGGTCGTCAAGGCACTCGCATGTTAGGCAGTAGGGGGCTAGTGCTGCGTAAGGGTGACGCCGGTGCGGGTCGTGGCTACGCGGGTCCCAGGCGGATGAGGAGTATACTGGTTCTCGCTGTGCTGAGATGAGGAGACGCGAGACTGGGACGATTAATTACTTGTCAGATGGTGGTGGTGGCTGTATAATAAGCCGCCTGCACTTTGCAGGCGGTTGGGGTGGAAGTGAGGGGGTATTAATTCATTCAATCGCTCCGCCGTTCCCCACAACAGGATGGTGTCTAGGACGAAAGAGAGGCGAGTGAGGTGACGGGTGAAGTGGTGAGCGAGGAGAGAGGTGGGAAGGTGTATTTTCGTTTTATATAGCTTTGAACCATCTGCAGGATTGGTGTGCGGTTAGCTGGGTGTGTGTGTGGTGTGCCGGGGTTGGTAGGAAAGGAAAGAAAAGGGAATGGCGGTGGGTGGGAATGAAAGGGAGGCATGGGGGAGGGGACGGGGAACGGGCTTAAGTCTTGTTTTTTGCTCAGCGTTGCGGCGTAAGTAGCAGTTTATATGAATGGAATGCGGATTACCCTGTTACAATGTAAAGGTCTTTGCAAGCATGAGTATTAATGCTAGAGGTGAAACCACGTATCGAAGATTGAAGGAGAGGGTCACGAAGAATATCAGCACAGAGAGCAGGTGTGGTGTAACGTATATATATCCTGTATCCTATTCCTATATCCTATATCCCGCTGCAATCATGCTTTAATACCCACACCCCTTCTATCGCATTCATCGCTGCGCATTCGCTCATCCAGGCAAACAAGCAAGCAAGCAAAGCAAGTAAGCAAGCATCATGGTATCCGCCGCGAAAAAGACTCCCCGCTACCGCCCCTATTTCCCCGCAATGTAACAAAAACCCATCCAAATAAACGAATCAATCAGAAAACATATCACACATCACAGATCACAACATATAACGTATAACCCCCCTTTAATCCCTCCTCCTACTAACTCTCTCATCCTCACTAGTATCGCTCTCCGAATGACTCTCATACTCCCTCTCCCTCTCCCTCCTATGTCTCCGGCGCTCATAATCATAGTCCTCCCCCTCATCACGATCCTCGCGATGATGGCGTTCGCGGCGATGTCGCTCATGGCGCTCTTTTCTCCTCCTCCGGCGGTCATCGCGGTCCTCGTCTTCGGCTTCGCGGGCAGCTGGTTCAGTCAGTATATGCGAACAGCATAGTTAATGTAGTGATCCTAGGACCATAACAAAGGGGGGGGGGTAACTAACCCCTAATACTCTGCGTCTCCGTCGCATACCCCTGCACCTCCTCCTTACTCAACACCCTCAACACGATCACAAACTCCTCCCTCGCCTCATACCTCTCCCTCCCCCTCTCCAACGCCTCCGGATTCACAAGCTTCCGACTAATCTTCGTCCACCTTGCATCCGCCGGCACCCCCCCATCCCTCTTCGCATCCTTCAACGGCGCCACACCCTCCCGTATCGGCGTAGGATCCTCAGGCCACTTCTGCCGCCCAGGCTTCAGAATCCCCTTCACCGGCCTCGCATCCTCGGCTTTCCCGGATGATGGGCGAGGGGGGGATACGAGGCGGGGGCCCGTGCGCCGCTCGGTGCTGTGGGAGGAGCTGGAGCGGCGTTCGCGGGGGGCCGGGGGGGCCGGGACAGGGGCGGAGGCGGAGGCGGAGGCGCGGCTTAGTTCTGCGCGGATGCTGGCTAGGTCGCGGGGGTCGCGGGGGTCGAAGCGTTCGCTTGTTTGGGAGCGGGTGGGGTCACGGGGGGGGAGGTCGGTGGATTCGCGGGAGGGGCGGTCTCGGTCGGTGTCTCGGGGCCGAGGGACGTCGGGGTCGCGGCGAGTGGCGTCGCGGGGGGGGAGGTCGGTAGATTCACGCGAGGGGCGGTCTCGGTCAGTATCCCGGGGCCGAGGTGCGTCGCGGAGGGGGAGATCGGTGGATTCGCGTGATGCGGTGGCGCTGTCCCTGTTCCGTGCGCCGTCGCGAAGTGGTAGGTCCGTCGATTCGCGGGATGGGCGATCGCGCTCTCTCTCGCGCTCATTCTCCCGCAGGGGTTCCTTAGGCGGGATGGGTGGCGGGGAAGGGTCTTTATCCTTACTATTCAGCGCCTCTCGTAACGCTCTCAAATCCATCGCATCCTTCGCATTAAAAGTCGTAGGGGACGAAATATTCGATTCATCCGTGCGAATCCTATCCTTGCGAGAGCGCGGCGCGAAAGTGTCGATTGTAGGCGGGGAGGCGCGGGAGTCGTGGCGCGACGTCGGCGGGGAGGGAGAGTGGTGGTTGTGTCTCCGCCGGTCGGGGATTTCGATGACGGGCTCGCGGTGGGAGAGGTCTTCTTTGTAGACGGGCTTCTCGACGGGGTTGCGGCCGTTGAGGTCGACGATTGGTGGGGGCTGGTCTTTATCGGAGGAGGTGGGCTCCTTTTCGTCGCGCCGACGGTAGTCTTTATCGATGTCCTCGCGGTAGGGCTTTTCCTTCTCTCGACGCCTGCGAGATTCTACGTCAGAGTCGTCGCGAGGGACTTTTTCGGGTCGGGGGGGTAGTCGCTCGACGGGGTCGCGGCCTGTTAGGTTCACGACGGGGTCTTCGTTCTTCACCTCGCGGCGACGTCGGCGCTCCTCGTCACTATCCCTTTCTCTCCTGCGATCCACATGGTCGCGGCTAGACAAATCTACCGCTTCATCCTCCTTCTCGCGGCGTCGTCGGCGCTCCTCGTCACTATCCCTCTCCCTCCTGCGCTCGCCATGATCACGACCACCCAAATCAACCTGCTCCTCCTCCTTCTCCCGCCGTCTTCTCCGCTCCTCATCACTATCCCTCCCCCTCCTCCTTTCCCTCTCCTCCCTCTCCCTCTCCTCCTCCCTCCCCCCCTTCATCGCACCCAACCCCAGCGCAGCAGCCGCAACACTCAACCCCGCCGCCACAGCCTCCTTCCCATGTTTCCGGTCATCATGCCCATGCTTCCGCTCCTCATGTCCATGCCGCCTCTCATACTCCACCTCCTCCCTCTCGCCCCTCTCGCCCTTCTCATGTTTCTCCGCCCTCTCATACTCATGCTTCTCGCTCCTATCCACCCTCTCCGGCACCGGCGCCGCCGGCACAGGCGGCACCTCAGCCCGAATCCCAAACCCCCTCGTCTCAATCCCCTCATCAAACGTATCCGTGCGTCTTGGGCGCCGGTCCCTCATCTCGTCTTCAGACATATCGTACGCGTCTGCGGCGTACTTCCTCCTCTCCGGCTCCTCGTTATATACAGATACCGGGCGGCGCGTCGAGCTCCGTCGCTCCTGGGAGTCGGATGCGTAGGGGGCTCCGAAGGAGGAGAGGTGCTCGTGGGGCATGGGCATGTGCATTCCGCCTGCATCGTAGACGGGGCCGCGCGGTGGGGGAATCTTGTCGAAGCCGCGCGAGGAAGGCGGGGGTCCGCGTTCGCGCTCGCGCTCTCGGGGCTCGTAGGAGCGTGTGATGTCGCCGTAGCTCGAGATGCTGGAAGGGCGACTCGAGCGCGAAGCCTCATAGCTTTCGCGGCGTGGGCGGCGGCGTGGGGCTCGGTCGAGGTCAAGGTCGTACTGGACCAGGTCTCTAGGGTTCGTGTAACCGTAATCATTGTCCCCGTAATCCGCCACGTTGTCCGGGACGCGCACCAAGGTGTCTGAGTGAATCGGTCGGGAGCGGGGGTATATAGCTCCCTCCCTCCCGCTCCCAACACGCATGAGACGGTCCTTCCCACTCTCCCTATCCAGACTACCACTTATATCCGCATTATCCACCGACATATTGTACTGCCCCCGTCGATAATCCCCCCGCCTCGTCGACGACGACGGAATCGTATACACATCATTCTCCTGACTCGAGCGGTAATTATCGCGCACCGGACTCGCAGGTCCTCCCCCGCCCTGAGCGGCTCCCGGGTATCGCGCATCGGCCGTGACGATGACGGGGCGCGGATTCGAGTCCAGCGTGGCGCGGCGACTGTGGCTGCTACCCTCGCGCGGATCGGACCGCGGGATCTCAGACGGCGGCGGCGCGATCTTGTAGTGCGTGACGACGGGCGGCGGGGCGCCGCGGTCGGCGGGACGCGGCATCGGCGCGGGGAGGTCGTGGAGGTCGTTGTATTTGCCGTAATTGATGCTGGGGGCGGAGGCGCGCGCTGGGTTGTACATGGCGGGCGAGCGAGGCCGCGGTGGGCGGCGGTCGCTCATGGCTTTATGCGGCGGACGCGGCGGCGGCGGCGGCGGTGCGCGGGTTGTTGGGGTCGTGCGGGTTTGGGGGGTGTGTCTCGTAGGGCTGCAGGTTGGGCAGAGGTTTGGGTGGTGAGGGGTGGAGATGAAGGGTCGTTGGGGATTGTGGGATCGCACAGATGGCGATGCAGCGTCCCGGTCGGTCGCTCGCTCGCGGGTATACTCAAAGAGAAGACTGTTTGTTTCGTGGAGCAGTTTCCTCGGTGAAGGAATTTTCTATCCCTTGACTACAGGCGAGCTAGTAATCATGGTTTTATCGTCAGCTCTCATGGGGTCACGGGCCATGGAAAGGGCGAGAAAAGAGAGTGGATGTCGGGCGGGGATGATGAGAGCCTGAAAGTTCAAGAGGGAGAATGAGGAGAAGAAGAGGCCATACTCTGCTAGATAAATGGGGTTTGAGGCTCTCGAGCAAAGCCGTGTGGAATTATATTATTATATATGGGAAAATAAAATAAAAAGGAAGCCGTGAGAGGGCTGTTTTTGACTTGCATGCAGTTTGGGAGAATGTTTATCTGTGTATGTGTATGTGTATCTCTGTATCTGTGTGACTATCAATTGAGGACCTTGTATGGGCAAGAGAAGCACGGGTGCGGCTGTCGCTGCCTGATCAACCCCGCTCTCTTGGACGAATATGTATATTTGTATAGTAATACAGTAAACAAGGCCAAGAGCGAGAAATAAAGAAACCTCACGTACTGTATAATATAGTACAGATCAGTAAAGTAGAGACGGTGACCACAAAGAAAAAGCCGGTGAGTGTCAGCTTTGGCTGAGGTATGAGGGCTGCGGCGCGCTGTGGATGGGTATGGTATGGTATGTGTCTATCCCCTACTCGTCCATCTAGTCGTACAATATCCCCAGCAAGTAGTTTTGTGAGCAGCCGGAGAAGGAAAATTGAGGCTCTTTTCTTTGCCTTCCTTTGTTGACTCAGTCTGTACTCGTATCCCCCTACTACAGCGCAAGTCAGGGTCACGGAAGGGAGACGGAGACGGGGGGGCGATCAATGATGACAATGATGACCGAAAGGCTGTAAGAGTGGGGACGGCGGCGAAAAGGCCAAGAAAGAAGTGCGTCGATGACGTTGGGACGGTGGATCAAAGGATGTAAAAAGACAGTGCGATACGAGAGAAATAAGTCAGAGAACAGGTATTTGAAGGCGTTTGATTAGTTGCTGCCCAAGGGGAGCAATGTAATTTGTGTTTTATATCAATACACAAACATATATACACACAGGACGAAGTGTTATCAAACAAAACCCACATACTTCTCCCCAGCCTTGCTCCTATGTGAAAGACGAAAGACACCACGCCGCCCGGTCTCTGCCTGATAAAGGGCTCAAGCTCAAGATCCCTTTGTCCCACCCCCCATCCTACGGCACTCGGTGCATGGCAGGGTGCATACGCTACTGCAAACTGGTGTACCGGGGAGGAAGAGCGGCATGTCGTGGGTAATCATGGGCTATCATGGGACCGGAAGGCGCAGACCGGCGAGGGGGAGGGTGGTGCATATGCGGGGATATATATATACACACGCATATATAATATACGCGGATCCGGTGTGGAATGCCACTGTGTGTCAAATCGTCGTACTGTCGAGTAAGTGGTGTTTTATTAGTACTCACAAACCAACGATGGCCACCCAGGTATTCGTATCCCACCCACCAGCAACAAAGCCGGTGATGATCTCCCTCGCACGCTGCCTTGCCATGGAATACCAAGTCCTCCATACCCCCCCTTCTCCACCCAAAACACCCCACCCTGTCCTCCCCCCAACGCCCGGCCAGTATGAGTCGTCGTCATCTGCGTTGACCAATCCCAATAAAGCCCAAGTCTAGTCCCATCTATGCATAGAAGACTCTAGCAAGATCATCATTTCACATTCCTCCGTGCGCTGTTATAATAATACAATCTCTCCCCCCCTCCGCCTAGTGTTCAGGGGCTATACGCCTGCTTTCCTTCCAAACGCCCAAAATCGAACTCTTCGACAACCTGCCAACCCTCCAAGCTCCGATCGTTTAAAAGAAAACAATCGCTCATCCGCATAATATAACAAATCAGCCCCCCCAGACATCGTCTTACAACTCATCACCACCCCCTCCCGCCTTCCCGCTCCCACCCTGTCCTCCCTCCCCCTCTCCACCATACCACCCCCTCCCCCCCCATCCCGCCGGATCCCCACCCGGAACACAAAGCCCAACCCTCCAGAAATAATCCCGATGCGCGAATAGAATCTGGCCCACGCGAAACCTCGCTGGGATTCCCCATCCCTTCCCATCCACAATCGTCTCATCCGCCGCCTCCGCATCCAACACACCCCCCTCATCAGCACCAGCGATACACCTCACATCCTCATCCCCAACACACATCTCCACATCCCCCATCCCAACCGGTAACCCAGGGCTCGAAATATATATCTCCCCCCCATGCATCGCATACCCCCATTCCGTCAGCGGGAGGAGCGGGACGGGGTCACCCCTATGCGTGACCCTCCTAAACCTTCCTCCCTCCCCTCTTTCCCCATCCCTCCTATCCTCTCCTTTCCTCGCCGCCTCTCCTTCCCCCCCATCCCTGCCAGTCCCCAGCTCAAAAACAGAATCCAAATACCCCACCAACCCCACATTCCCAATCCTCGGCTCTCCAAACGTCGTAACGACCACCTCCACACCCTGGGCGCGCATCTCTAACCCAGCGAGGGCGGCGAGGGCGCCGCCGAGACTGTGGCCTATGAGGTGGGTTTCATACTCCGGTACTACACCCGCGAGACGCGTTAGGTGCGGGAGGAGGAACGGACGTGTGTGTGTCCAGGACTTGAGGAAGCCGGCGTGGACTGTGCAGTTCGTGCAGACGGGTTTTGTGTCTCCATCTCCGTCTCCCACGGCGGTCGGTAGGATGATATCCTGTTTTGTGCCCCTGCCGAGCCAGGGAATCCATCCCAACCACCCCCGCGGTTTGGATCTCGAAGGTGGAGGAGGGGCCGGTTCAGGATACGGCACATAAACCTGCGGCGTAGTAGCCAAATCCGCCAATACGCTCGCCAAACTATACGTCCCTCGAAACGCCACCACAACCCTTTTTTTCGCATGGTCGAGGGCGATGTAACCGCATGAATCTGAGCGTAGGGGGCCGGTGTTCCATGTCTACGTGCGGGCATCATTAGTATATGCTTGGGTTCCTTTGGGGGGAGAAGGGGGGGGGGGGGGCCTTACCTCGACGAGTTCGAAGTCTGGGAAATCGGCGCAGCGGCTAAGACAGCCGAAGGGTTTCCAGATCCCGGAGATGCCGACGCAGTACGCTATATCCGCTAACCTCGCTGCCTCCTCCAGCTCCGCGAAGAGCGCGGGGGATACCGTCCTATCACCTTCTGATTTTCCTCCCGCTATAGCTGCGTAGGCGGTGGAGAATAAGAGGAGGAGTGCTGTTGGGATGTGCATTTTAGCAGTAGTAGAAGCGTTACATGGTAAGGTTCCGCAGAAGTGTAGAAGTGAGGTAAGAAGTGAGGTGGCAAAACCGATTGTGTAGTGTTGTGTTTGTGCTCGTGTGACTGACTGACTGTTGAGGTAAACACTATTTAGTTGGTTGGGGTCGTGATATCGTGTACCGTGACGCACGGTCGGGCTTATCGCAATCTTAGCGCGCCAGCTAGGCGGGAAAGCTGGGGAAAGTGAAATGTGGTGGGGTGCGGGGTGCCAGGGAGGGAGGGGTAGTGAGGAGGGGTCCTTGTGGCTGAGAAGGGGGACCATGGGTTAGGGATGCGGGGTTGGTGTACGTATAGTAGAGTAGAGTAGGGTATATAGTAGGCAAGTAAGTAAGTAAGTAAGTTGGGAATTGAATAATAGATGTTATTGATTCTATATCAAATAAGCTAGCTGCTCCACTTGAGAGCAAAAAATGCAGGTGTAAAGCCCATCCATCCTATATATTATATTATATAGAGCTTCCAAAAAAATAGTTTTATGAGATTATTCGTCCTCCCCCTTCTTCTTCTCCAACGCTCTCTCTCCAGCTCATAGGCTGACAGCTTCCACACATTAGATATGCCAATTTTCCATCCCAACCCACCCAGGCGATCGCTCCCAAGCCAGCCACTAGAGAAAAAAAAACTCCCACCCCCCCCCCGCCCGTCGTTCATCACTCGTCATGCTTCATCTCATAACGCCACATCAATGCGGGACCGTCTCATCTATTACCGTTGAAAACACCCCCCCATCATATACCCCCCTCCCACCCCTCCCACCACACCCCCCTTTTCCCCCCGCCCCCCTCGCTCCCAAACTCCAAAAACACATATACGCCACCCTAACAATCTGACTGACTGACCTTAAGCAAAAAAACACCCCACCCCCACCTCAACTTGCCTCGCGATCCCCAAAATGCTCCACGATCAACTTCTGAATATCCATAACCCGATACGGTTTACTCACGAACCCCCTCATCCCCGCCCCCTTCGCGCGCGCAAGACTATCACTCGTGATATCCGCCGAGACGGCGAACACCACCGGCCCCTCGCCATCCCCCTCCCTCTTCCTTGCAGCAGCCATCTCCAAAATCCTCTCCGTCGCTTCATACCCATCCACATTCGGCATCCACAAATCCATCAACACGGCATCAATCTGCACCCCCCCCTCGGCCAGCGACGCCGCATACTGTTCCACCGCCTCTGCGCCATCAAACGCGATCGAGATAGACGCAGCAGCGTACCCGAGCTTCTTGAGGAACCCAACTAGAATACTGCGGTTCACGGCGTTATCCTCCGCTACGAGAAAAGTAAGCGGGATCCGACTCGCGAGGTCGCGATCGAAACTCGATTTCTTCATCGCAGGCCGAGTAACCAGCGCCGGTGGAGGGATCGGGGTGAATAGACGGGTAGGCAGGCCGGGGGAGGGGTAGCTCGCATATCCATTCGTGGAGAGGGATTGTAGTAGCGGGGAGGCGCGTGGGGAGATAGACGGGCTAGCGATGAGTTGTGCGGGTGTCTTTGGTGGGAGTGAGGAAGCGCGATCGCGGTGGACTTCGAGGGGGAAGCGGATGAGGAATTCAGACCCTTTATTTGGTCCTGAGATGGCTGAGCGCTCTAGTGTCATTTCGCCGCGTAAGCTTCGTCGTACATGCGCTTTGGCGTTGAATAAGCTGAGGCCGAGACCGTCGCGGGAGCGGCTTATGGTTGCGTCCTCCTGGAAGTGGGGTTTGAAGAGGTGTTCTTTTGATTCCTGGGAGATGCCGCAGCCGGTGTCGAGGACGCTTATCTCGACGAGTTGGCGGTTGCGGGAGAGGCGCATGTGGATTGTGATTTCGCCGTTGGGGGTGAATTTGATGGCGTTGTCGACCACTTTCATGACGGCGAAGGTGAGGTGCAGTTCTTTTGTTATGATGCGCTCGGGGGTTTCGGGGCTAACTATGACGTTTATTGTTAATTCGTCGATGTCGCCGCGGGGTCCTTCGGTTTTGACGTAAATCAGCTCGCCCATGTTGTGTGGGACGCGCACTTTGTCGACGGGACGCATGCTTCTTATGGCCTGGTCGACTAGGTTTCGTATGAATGATCGAGTGGAAATTTGACGGCGGTCGGAGGTTAAGTTTTTGTTGAAGAGGGGTGGTGGCGATACGGCTGGAGTTCGCATTATTTCGTCAGGGCTGGCGAGTGGAAAGCTGGGTGAGGGTGATTGGGAGAAGTGGTGTCTCTCTGTGGTGTCTAAATCTACTGTTGATGTTTCGTCGGCTTCTGCGACAACAGACGTAGTTGGTGAGCTACAGTCGTCGTATACTTTACGCAGGCCTCCCTCCGTTATGGATGGTAATCTCTTCATTGGAGGGCCAGGGTGGAAGCCCACTTCATCGTCTCTTTGTCGTTTATTCGTCGCTGCTACGAGTGGTATCCCAGAACCCTCAATAACGATGTCAGGTCGGAAAGGGTCAGCCAGAGGAGCGAATATTGGAGCGTTGGCGAGTTCAGAGTCACTATTATCTAGTGGAGTCTCTGGCATTTGCATGTTGAGATCATATGCGTGAACTACATTGTCAACAGCTTCAACAGCGCGTTTGGAGCTATCTGTGGCATCATTAACTCCGTTATCGCCTTACAGACATTGGTGACTTACCTTGGGCGGTCTCCATATTAGCCTTTAGCTCCTCAAACACAGCCGCAGCCTTTGGATACATCTGACTCGCAATGGCGTCTACAACTGTAGAGTACATCATATCCAACATCCCCACTACGCCTTGCATAGGGCTTCTCAGCTCGTGCGAAAGACTACGAGCATACGGTTTCAGGGTCTGCGAAGCGGTAATGGCATCGATGGGCACAATACGGGTAGAAGCTTGTAATTTGCGCTTTGGCTCTTCAGCAGCCCCTTTGTCCTCGAGCAGGCGCTCTAGAATCATGTCTTCGAGTCCGTGCATGAACATTTCGAGGAAGGCCCAGCTCAATTTTCGCTTTGCCGCGCCTTCGGCCGTCCATACCATCGCGAAGTGGGCGACCGGACTCCCTCCATGCGAAATAGGTATCCCCAGATAAGCCTCCGCGTTCTCCCACGGCATCTTGTCCCAGCCGTCCTTGACGAAGTCGGTCAGTCGTTCCGGAATGAGGAACACCTTGTCGTTCTGCATATGGATACAAGACGTGCCCTGCACATGGTATCGGTAGTTATGATGCATCTGGTCCACGTCACCCCCGCTATTGAGGTAGAACCCCACCCCCAGGATATCCGACCCCGGGTCCCCCAGAAGCGGTATTCCCACAGCTGCACTCGAAGGATCCGGGTCTGCCGGCTTCGCAACAAAGCCGCACTGCGCATGTCCAATATCGCACACCTCCCTCAACAGCGCCGTCCAAAAATCGTGGGTGTTAGCGTCTCTGAGTCTTTTCTTGAGTAGGACGAGCCTCTCCAGCGCATCGTTCTCGGGGGTATTATAATACTGCTTGAGAATGCCGCCAAACCCATCTTCTCCCTGGTGGCTCACGACCCCTCGTGTGATATCGGGCAGGCACAGACTGGCGCGTTCGATGGGCTCCCCCGCCATGGCGTCTCCGGCCTCGCCTTCGTTGCCCACCACCATCGACAGGCGAGAATGGAGCGACCCTGGCATAGGGTTATTGTATTTTGAGTTGGTAGGCGGGTGATTGTCGGGCTGAGGACGGCCTCTTTTCCTCAGCGCTGTCGAGCAGGCTCCTGTGGCGTATCGTATGCATCAAGCGTGGTTCGGATGGTCGACGGGCGCAAGTAAGAATCACGAGGCCCGAGGATTAAAGGTGAAGTCTATGAGATGATAGATGTCTGTCGGTTGAAGGTTTCTTGCAGTCGGATCAGATACAGGGCTGGTGGGCTTCAGATAGGAAGGTCCATCCAAGTATCGGATGGGACGGCTGGCGACAGCAAGTTGCAGATTTCAATAGTGCGTGGATGTGTTGTTTGTGTGCAGGCTTTGTGGCTCATATTACCAGGCATGAGAGGAGGAAGCTCTCCCTGGGTGGAGTATTAGAGGATCAGGATGTCGGAGGTCGATATGATTGATCCTTTTTCTAGTTATATTATGGGGGAGAAATAAGAAACAATCGGGCACACGCACACGCACACGCACACGGTATGAAGTGTGTAGTGTAGTGGAGGTAGATATTTGTGCTTGCGTGTTGTCCCATTCGGCATGGCACGGTAGAAGACAGTACAGTGGAGTACAGAGAAGCACAGCAGAGAGGACTTGTAGTAGGCGTAGTAGTAATAGGGTATGCGTGTGGCACACCAGAGCAGACTTTAGTTAGCCGTTGGTTTAGCCAGACCGCAGATCGGCCTTGGGAAAGGCTATGGGAATGCCCCCAAGCCCCTCCACAAAGCCCCTCCACAAGCCATAAATGCCCCCCACAGGCACACACACAGGGACTGACATGGCTACGGCACAGTGGAAAGGCCCGGAATGCCCCCCTTCGTGGTAGTCGGAGCGCCTTAGACGCCTTGGACGCCTTGGACGCCTTAGACACCTTAGACACTACTAAGACACTAGACACATACAATGGACGCGCCGATTGCGTTCCAGCCGAGTCAAAATCGTGTATGGAGTAAACTGCTTATGCGCGTCAAGCTCGAGGATGAGTACTTTGGGGATAGCGTGGGCTAGTTCGTGGTGGTTAGTACTATTCGATACTAGTGTATTGTAAAATGCGCTAATTTGTACTAGAGCCGCAACTAGATCCGTGTCCGTAACCCCGTCGTATCCCTGTCGTAACCTGTCGCACCCCTGTCACAACCCTTGTCACAACCCTGGCATAACCCTATCTTAGCATGGATCAACGGGTCTAGACCTCAAACTTGCCTAACAGCTCACAACAGACGCGCCAAGAAGCGCCAAGCTTTTGATCTTCCCATTCTCGTAGTACAAACAACGAAAGTGTGTGTTACTGGATAGATGTACGAGTACTTGTAGTCCGTGATATTAGTATGATATCTGGTGCCGTACATTGATATACCCCTTGTAACTATACCTGAGTTGTCAGCACACAAGACAAACAGCCAGAAGTGTACATCCCGGCCCGTGGAGTGTAGAGTACAAATCACTTGTACCTCCTCACTCTGCCTCGACAGGTATCTCCGGCTCCGACAAGTCGCAAAGCGCTGTTCGCGCCAAAATATAGTATGAAGCTATGCTCGGTAGTACAGTTACATCCGGTCACATGACTGTTGTCATCTGTCAACTTAACTACCCAGTGTCATTTATTGCTCCATCGTATAAAAAGGTAGGTCAACCGATTCCAATACTCTAGTTATATGCAATGCTATAACTGACATGAAACCCCCACCACCCATGACATACCCACGTGACCCCCGTTCCTTGGCCCTCAACTCGACCCTGTGCCCTGGGCCTCACCGCCCAATTCTGCCAGGCTCCGCCATGACGCTGCGTGAGCTGGTTGTGGGTTACGAGTAGTATACGGGGACTCGAGCGCTATCACAAGGCTGAACGGGCCTTCCGACGTCCCACCACTGAATCCCATCCTCTTCACCCCCGACCTATACGACCGTCCTCTCCCAGCAACATGCGAATTCCTATATCCAATTCTTGTACAGCATAGACTGCCTCCCATGCTTAGAACATGTCCATCCGTGTCCTCGTCCGCGACTATCCCAACCGGGCCATCGCTCTCGTCACCGAATCCCACGCCCTGATCTTCCGCTACATCACCAGCGCAAATGACGCCGTCAACAATGGCAGCCATACCTCTCTCAGCTCGAGGCCATCGGTCGACACCCAGAGCGCGCCGCGATGCATGGCGGAATTCTCACGTCTGGGCCTGGTCGACTTGGCCGATTATCGAACATTGAGTCCGCGGCCTGTCTATGGGACCCTGGGGCTTATAACAGTTGAGAACGATGTGTTTATATGCATAGTTACGGGTGCCTCTAAAGTGGCTAATGTGAGGCCGAATGAGACCGTTGAGAGGATATATGCAGTCCAGTTCTACTGCTTGAGCAGCACGAAATACGATGATGTGGTCAGCGATGGCACGAACCTCAACGGCTATGACCGGAATGAGGAAGACGATTATTCGTACGGGCATAACCTGAGCCAGCGGGATACGCCTATTGAGCATCCATGCGTCGATTTGACCAAGATGCTGAGCAATGGGAGCTTTTACTACAGTACAGATTTTGACCTGACGAATAGGCTTCAAGACCGGTATGCACGGATGTAACAGTTTTGGGGGTTATGGGTGCTAATTGTGTTCAGATCCGCCGAATCTACAGCATTTGATATCGACAACCTCGACGAATCATTCTTATGGAATTCATACATGATTGGCCCGCTGGTCAAATTCCGCTCGGAGCTGCTGGAACACGAGAGAGCGGAGCTGGATGCTTCACGGATTCTAACTTCTGCTATTCGAGGATTCGTGCTTACGATGACCCTACCAAATTCTTCAGCGCCGATCAGGACACCAAATAGCGGGCTTCCTTCATTGCTGACGTTGATCTCTCGGCTGTCATGCAAAAGAGCTGGAACAAGGTTCAATAGTCGTGGCATCGACGACGACGGGAACGTGGCCAACTTCGTAGAGACAGAGACGATATACTGGAGTCCAGCCGGGGTATGCTTCTCATATGCACAGACTAGAGGCTCGGTCCCGATCTTTTGGGAGCAACAGCCAGGTCTGCTTCCAGGAAAGCAGAACATCACACTCACCCGCAGCAAGGAAGGGACCCAGCCAGCGTTCGACAGGCATTTTGAAGGGTTAGAGAATTCGTATAGCTCTGTTCATGTCATAAACCTTCTCAGCGAGAGCAAGCCGGGAGAGGCTGACCTAACACAACGATATAAATATGGTGTCCGGCACTGCTCAGTCAACAACCGGGCGGCAGATCACCAGCTGCTCAAAGAGACCGAGTTTGACTTTCATGCGGAAACGAAAGGCCCAGGTGGCTTTGAGGCAGCGAGTATCATCAGCCACCTAATCAAGAAAGACGCTGATGCCTTCGCGTACTACTTATCAGAGGACCTCGAGGATGCTCTCGACTCCGATCCAAGCGGAGAGAAGCCGCAACGGCGATCGATTGTAGTGCTGCAACAAGAAGGTGTCTTCCGCACGAATTGCCTCGACTGCCTCGATCGAACGAATCTTATCCAAACCATCATCAGCAAGATGGCGGTTGAATCTTTCCTCGGCCAGCGCAGAGAACGAGCTACGTCGGACTTTTGGATGCGTCATTCCAGTCTGTGGGCGGATAATGGAGATGCCTTGTCGAAGATCTATGCGGGGACAGGAGCCCTAAAGACGTCTTTTACGAGACATGGAAAGATGTCTTTGGCTGGAGCTATTGCTGATGCTCGGAAGAGTGCCACGCGTCTGTATATCAACAATTTCGCGGATAAAGGCCGCCAGAACACGATCGATGTTCTCCTGGGAAGGCTGGTAGGACAGCGACCAGTATACTTATATGACCCCATCAACGAATATGTGAACTCTGAACTAGCCAGACGCCTCCCAGAGTATTCCTCAACCCAAGTTGTCAATATATGGGTCGGAACGTACAACGTCAACGGCCGGAGCGACGGCATCAACGAAGACCTGAGCGCCTGGCTCTTCCCCGACGGCAACTCCGGCCATCAACCGGAGATGGTCGTTGTCGGGTTCCAAGAAATTGTCGAGTTAAGCCCCCAGCAGATCATGAACAGCGACCCAACTAGGAAGAAGGGGTGGGAAGCGGCTGTGAAGAAGCACCTGAACGATCATATGGAGGCTGCTGGCAGTGAGGATAGATATGTTCGCCTTAGGAGTGGCCAGCTGGTCGGTGCCGCGCTGTGCATATACGTGAAATCCTCCGTGCTACACCTCGTGAAGCACGTTGAGGGTTCTACGAAGAAGACTGGGTTGTCGGGGATGGCTGGGAATAAAGGGGCTGTGGCTATACGGATGGAATATGCGAATACCTCAATATGCTTTGTCACTGCGCATTTGGCCGCTGGATTCGCCAATTACGATGAGAGGAACAAGGATTTCCACGTAAGCATCTTCCCATCCCTATTACCTTTTACCTAAACTAACGAAACCCAGACAATCCACCAAGGTCTCAAATTCCAACGCAACCGCGTAATCGACGACCACGACACCGTGATCTGGCTCGGCGACTTCAACTACCGCATCGGCATGTCCCACGACCGCGTCACCGCCCTCGTCAAATCCCAAGACCTCTCCTCCCTCTACGACAACGACCAGCTCAACATCCAGATGATGGCCGGGCTCGCCTTCCCCCACTACTCCGAGTCCATGATCACCTTCATGCCGACGTACAAATTCGACGTCGGGACTAATGTCTACGATACTAGCGAGAAAGCCCGCATCCCGGCTTGGACGGATAGGATTCTCCGCAAGGGTTCGAATATCCGCCAAACAGCTTATCACTCCGCGGACCTGAGGTACTCGGATCATAGACCCGTCTTCGCGACTTTCGAGTGCACAGTAACCATCATCGACGAATCCCGCCGCGCCGCCCTATCGCGACAGACATTCGCCCGTCGTCGCGCTGCAGACTCAACACCTCGCCCTCTCTCTGTAGGCGGCGCGCGCACAGAAGCAGAGAGCTCAGACGAAGACACCCCCTACGATGCCGTCGAACCAGGCCTCCCCCCCGCAAGCTCGGATCGCAAGAAATGGTGGATAGACTCTGGGCACCCCGCTCGAAGCGCCCTGGTCCCTCCACAGCAGGGTATGCTACCTAACCCTGGGAGACCGAGTAATCCCTGGAAAGAGACGGAGGAGGAGGAGTGGGTGCATGTTGAGCGTCACCCCGCACGAGAACTTTCTGTGCGCTCACAGGTGGCTGCCCCGAGGAAGCCCCTTCCGCCGCCATACCCCGCAACTGAGACTCGACCACCACCTACGCCCGCAAGACCGCAACCCGAGGTGCAGAGACCAGGTAGTAGCGCGCAGGAGATGGGAGAGAGGAGGGGTAGTAGCGCATCCTCCCGTCGCGCCGCACCGCCGGTAGCTAGGAAACCGGCTCACCTCGCTTTGAGCAACGCAGATAGTCCCAGTAGTCCCCCCTTGAGCAGGACGAGGTCGATGGGGGGTGGGGGGAGGGAGTTTGAGGCGCCACCACGGCGGACGACGGGGTTAGAGAGTCAGGGAAGATCGCCCCTCCCCCCACCACCAAGGAGGGGAGTAGCGGTGGGGGGTATGGATGGAAGTGAAGCGGATGAGAAACCTAGGATGCCTCCTCGCCCTGCCGCTGGGGTTGATTTACTTGGGGGAGGGGGAGAGGAGATGGAGGGGTGGGGGGTTTTGGAACCTAGGAGGCGATAGGGTGGGGGATGGGGGGGATGGGATGGGATGGGATAGATAAAAATTGGGCTGGGGGGGGGAGTATTGTTATGTCACGAACAGCGGCGGTGGGGGGAAGGGGGGTAGTTTTAAGGTTATTGTTTATTAAAACCCATTATCGCCCAGAATTGTTGTGCCTGTTAAGTCGTGACGCACGGCTATGTAGATGCGACGCCCTGGTATCTCATGTAAATCCCCCCAGAGCCACATCCATGCTTTTCGTCGTTCGTAATAGTAGAAATAAGCCTCGGGCATATGCTGCCTCATCTCAAAATATCCCCCCACCGCCCCGCCGACTTCCAAATACAGCCCAGCCCAGCCCATACCATTCATGCATATGTGGAAAGCTCCGGTAAAAGAAGTCTATGATATCCCCCCCCCCCCCAACCCACCCTAAAACCCGAGTAAACACCAAACCAAACCCTGTAGTATCATACGCCATCCAGCTCCCGCCGAAACTCCATCCCTCCCAGTACGTAAACTCCAGTAACCAGAAAAAGCATCAACACCCCGACCTCCCCGCGCCCGCCAGACGCAGTGAACACAGCCACACCATCTCACTCCTCCTCCTCATCCGATTCAGCCGCCTCAGCAGCGACCTGGGAGGACGAGGAAAAGAACGGGCTCCTCGCGAGTTGTAATTGGTCCACGCTTTCTGAGGATTGCTCGCGCTTCACTGCCGTAGTAGCTGGGTCGGCGACGAGGGGGTCAGGGGAGTCAGTGGAGCTGGTATTATCATCTTGGGCGGTGTGAGCGCCTAGTTGTTTAGAAACCTGCGCGTGGTCATCCGAGGAGGAGCTCCTTCTCGATCGCGGTCTCTCATACTTTTTTCGCGGCGCCATCACAGCATCCACGACGTCCCTTTCAATCGAAGACTTAACGCTCTTCTCAACAGACTTCCTGTTCGCCTTATGCGCTTTCCCCTCTGGCGTCTTCATCCAGTTCTCATACTCGATTTTCAGATCACTAGTTATATTCGTAGACCGCTCCCATGTGGGTTCATAGTCGCCCGCCCACTGGGTGAGGTAGTAGTGGCATCTGCGCTGCGTTTTCATTTCCCATTTATCGTCGAGGAGGCGGAGGACTTTCCATTGTTTGCCGTCTGTTATGTCGGTGTCGTTCTTGTTGGCGGAGGAGGAGGCGGGAGGTGGTGCGGGAGGGGGTTTGGAGGGTGTAGAGGTGGTGGATTTGGATTTGGATCGTTTTGGGGCGGTTGAGGTGCTTGGTTTGGGCGGGGCGGATGTCCAGCCTTTTTGTATCCCTCCGTAGCTTGGTGTCGCGTTTCTGGAGCGCGAGCTAGATCGTGTAGGTTGTCTCGGCGCAGTTGTAGATCTCGGTGACTTCGCTGGCGACGCGCTCTGAGGAGGATGCACAGTCTGTGACCTCTGCCGTCCATAAAACGGCTGCGCAGACCGATCTCTCAGCGCTCGCGTCTCCGAGGTTCGCACCCCGAAAGGCGAGGGCGAGTGGCGTGGCGTTGAGGGCTCGTCAGCCGTAGATTTCGACTCTCGGTGTGACTTTGAGGTGGGCGCGAGATTCTTCTTCTGCACCGTCTGAGGGCTTGAGAGGGGTTCTTCGGGGTTTCTTGGAGGCTTACTGGAGAGTCTGACCTCGCTCGTTGATGTGCGGGAGCGTTTTCTGGGGGGGGGTTCCATGGTTCTTGATATGGTCTCGTCTTCGGTGGCTTCGGTGTCGAAGGGTGAGTCCATTCTGAGGTTTGGTTGTGAGAGGGAGGGTTGTAGATCGGACGGTTGTGCGTTGTCGTCTGTTTCCGTCTCGATTGATTCGACAAGCGCCGATGCTTCCATTTGACGGTTTCTGAAGGGGCGGCCTCTCTTCTTCCCCTTCTTGGTGAGTTTACTCCGCTCCTTCTCCAGCCTCAATTCCTCCTCCCTTGCATCCCGTCTCAACCCCTCCTCCATCTCAAACATCTCGTAAACCAACGGCGACACCCAGTCGAGCGCCACATTCTTCGTGATGATCTTGCGCACCACCGGTTTATCCTTGGGATGAACGACATAGTGAGGGACCTTCTTATACTCAATCACCTCTGCGATGACCCAGCTCTCCTCGTCGTGCTCCGGCAGCAGGGTGATGGGCGCCATTGGAGGGCCGGTGCCGCCGACATAGATGGGTTTGGGGATTATTTCAATCCAGAAGGAGGCTGTGGTCATTGGCGCGGATCTACCTGTTGGCCCATACCCAGGCAGACTTAGCCGCAGGTATCAGCCAGCTGGAAACCACTCCGATGTGGGAAATGTGAATAGTTGTGAATTGGAGTGGAGGTATGGGAGACGCGACTAAAGCTACGCGGTTCGGCACGGACCCTGTAAAGAATTCCGCACCGCACAGCCACACGTCAGAGGTGAGCTCCACGTGAAGGTTGTCTCCACCACGACGAAAGAGAGTTTGATATTGTCGGGTGTAACAATATGTGAAGTGCCTTGAAGGCCATAAAACAAGGAAGGTTAGAGGCGAGAAAGAAGGGAAGAGGCGGGAATATGCTTTTAAATCAAAGTTAGCTTAGTAAGCACGTAATAAAACGTATATGAGAATATGATAGTAGAAGCTTTATAACTGTTCTTTATTTGATATTATTATTTAATGCCAGCGTCCGCCCACCCAGCATACTCAACACACTGACCGGCGCTTGGTAGCGATTGAGCGTGGGCTGCCCCTGAGTGTCTACAAACATCTTGTAAGTCAGGTGCAACCCAAGCCCCCCGAACGCCCGTGAGAGCCAGCTAACATTGAATGCTCCAAATGTCCACAAACATCCCCAGACCCAAGCGCCCCTGCGCGGCAAATCACTAAATGCGGCGTTAGACCTACTTTTAACGAGACGTTCCAGCCCGCGAAATAAGGCGCGCGGTCTGCGCACTAGCGTGGCGGCCTGCGCCAAGGGCCAGATACCATATGGAGTTTAAGATGTCTATGAACGTCCCAAGAGGCAAGCGTGATCGCCGCCGAGCGCTGCCCACCACAGTGTCTATGAAAACTCCCAGAGTCGAGAGTAACCCAACCACATGCGAACACACTTGAGCGCCGGTCAGCGCCAAAGAGCGCCGCCTATCGTAGGGTGTTCTAAGTGTCTACAAACGCTCCTAGGGTCAAACGCGGGCCAAGCACACCTAGACAAACCCAGGCGCCGGTCAGCGCACCCAGCACACCCAGCACACCTTAGCACACCTCATAAAGAAGCATCCTTTTTAATCATATGGTCACGTGATATAATCTATTCTCGGTCTTAACCTTCCCTTGGCTCCCCTAAATTTGGCTGGACCACACCGGCTCGACCCTGTCCCGCATTTTAGTGTCACCAGCCACACTAATATCCCACTAGCCACACGGACGACGGCCTCACGAGCCACGTTCTATAATTGGAGGGCCCTGCTTTTGTCGTCGTGATCGAGCTGTTTATAGACATCGGAGGAAGCGGACACTATCAGGTGAGAGGACCATCAGCTCTTCCCTTCTCAGTCCTGCGCACGCGTGGCCGGGGAATATATATATACCTACCCCATTCCCCTACCGAGACATCTGAGAAGTCTTACATATTACCAAGCGCATTACAGACTACTTTGCGCAATCCCGCAGTCTTATTTATCGCCAAGATCTCCAGTTGCGCATTGCGCTCAGACAAGGCTTCACTACATTCTTTGTCAACCTTCTAGCGCATACCCCAAAAGCGCCTCTGAGACGTCCAGTGCCCGAGAGGCTGCCAGCAATGTGTCTCGTCAGAGGTTCGTACCTCAACCCCGCAGCCACTCCACTCCCCGCTCCGATCCACCAGAGACACCCAGCCAAGCAGCGCCAGCTAACATCCTCAATTCTAGTTTCCAAGGAGGACGACCCCGTTGAGCCACCCCGGATATACGTTCGTCGTCGCGAATCTGTCTCCCATTCGCGGCGCACCTCTCAGGTCGTCATCCGGCCAACCACCACTTCGCGCCAGTCAATCACCCGCATCACCTCAGTCGAGCAGCGTGCGCCAGTCGAGCGTGCGCCACGCCCTGTAGAATATGTCGAGGGCTACCCGGGGCCCAACCCGGACCCGGGAAACTTCCCAATGATAGTGCAGGCGCCGACGCCCAATCGCAGCCCGAGGAACAGCCCGCGCACAAGCCATACACACGTCGTGATGTATGAAGGCAGCCCGCGCAACAGTCGCACGAGCGTGACGAGCCGACAGAGCGTGCGGCAGGGGAGCCTGAGGAGCCAGAGGAGCCAGCGCTCGCGACAGGATGGTCGGCGACACAGTCGGAATAATAGCGGGGAGATTTTCATCGTCAATCCGCCCGTGCGCGAGCGCAGTCGCAGCCCTGCTGTTGAGACAAGGGGGAGGGCGGATAGCTATGCGGTAAGACATGTTAGTGTGGGGAGGGAGTCGAGGGATCCGAGCAGAGAGCCGAGTCGGGAGAGGAGGAGCAAGGTCCATCTCACCACGCCGCTGTCGCCGATGGAAGTTGACAAGGTGCAGCGTGGGCTGGAGGCTTCGAGGGATACGATGATGGTTGAAGACGTAAGGCCACGCGCACGGAGTATTACGTATGGTGCTAATCCGAGGATGTCGGCGGGTAGACTGGAGGACCGTGAGAGAGTGCTCGTTGAAGAGGATGGGAGGCGGAAAGAGTTCTACAAGACGAAGAGTTTGAGTCCATGAGGATGAATGGAGGTGTCGCAAGAGAAGTTTTGTTTTCTGATATACAGCATTGTCATACCCAGGAGCATTTGTACTAGCTTTTGTATATTACAAATTTACTGCGATTCTTGTTATGCCGCTCCAGTGAATTAATTTTTTTTGGCTATCACGTCAGATCAAACGGCTCCTATCGATTGATTTCATTTCAGCTCTTAAAGTACAGACATCTAATTTAATCGTTAATCTCTTGCCACTGTTCAAACTCCCTTATATGCATAGCTCCCCAGCAATTACAGAACATCATTATCATACACGCAGCTTCCTAGCTCATAAAATACTCGATCGTCGGTCTGTTTTCCACCAGCCCAAGACATTTCCTGCATTTCCCACCCACTCGATGAATCCATCGACCACAACCTTCACCAGCCCCTGTCTCTTTTGGCGGTCACCAGGTCCCGCACTCCCGCTGGGCGCCTCGCTTCCCATCGTTGGAAGCACATTGTCGCTCGCCGATAAGCTTACGAACAAGGCGAATGGAACGAGCCACACGCATATTCCGAAGTATGATGCAATCTCTGTGAAGGTGGGTACCGTGGGCGCATCGTAAATGGAGTGCGTGGGAGCTCTTGGGAGGCTGGAAAAGTGGGCGAAGCAGTAATAGTGGTTGATGAGGACAAGAACTACGAATGATTAGGCCCGTTCCATCATATATTCGCTGATAACATACCACAAGATGAGAGAAACAATGGATCGGACAGCTTCACGATTGGGAAGCGTCGCATATTCCCCAGATAGACGACGTGCGACACGATGCCAATGAGGGAGAGGAACTTCGGGAAGCCATCGACGAGGACGAGGAGGGTTTGAATGGCGATAACGGCGTATATCATGCGCGTCAATAGTCGCTTTGCTATGACTGTGTGTTCTTCGACGAGCTCAGACAGATAGTACAGTCCCGAAGCTGTGAATTTATTAGCGGAGTTCCGAGGGGGGCGTATGACGGGATCACCTACCAATGGCCAAAGTAAGGAAGCCAAAGCCCAGGACCATGCCCAAGTATCCAACAAGCGGTAGAATCCAGAAGTGCGCCATTTCTTGAACAAACTCGGCACTGCTACTTGTCTACAAAAGAAGCTTCATGTCGGGGGGCTGGTTATCTAAAGATGTCGTCGTGTCGTTTACCCCAGATTTCGGCAATCGCCGTTGGCGCACTGATAAGTCTAAAATATATTTATTTCGAGATTTATGACGCCCTATCGGTAGGCGCTACTTTCAAATTTTGGGACTACGGATTCAGAACAGACGACGACAAAAAAAAATTCCCTGCAGCCTGACGGGTATCGTATGCGGTAGATCATAAACGCATTCCTGCCGTGGCAGAGTTCTGTCCGCCACCATGTCTCGCCCAGAAGATATCCTGTAAGACGCCGACCCCGCCACTTCCCCTCCGACTTTTGACTGACCAAACTCCCCCAGCCCTCCTGACCTCCACTACAACGATGTGGAGGCACGCAAATACACAACCTCCTCCCGTATCCAAAACATCCAGGCCTCCATGACCAACCGCGCCCTGGAACTCCTCGACCTTGACACCCCCGCCATGATCCTCGATATCGGCTGCGGCTCTGGACTCTCCGGCGAGATTGTCAGCTCAGTGGAGGAAGAGTACGGCGGACAACACATCTGGGTTGGAATGGACATCTCGGCTTCTATGCTGGATGTCGCCCTCCAGCGCGATGTCGAGGGCGACCTGATGCTGGCGGATATTGGGCAGGGCGTCCCATTCCGCGCCGGAACGTTCGATGCCGCGATATCGATTTCCGCAATCCAGTGGCTCTGTAACGCCGAGAGCAGCGATGTTTCACCTACCGGCCGACTATCGAGGTTTTTCAACGGGTTATATGCTAGCTTAAAACGAGGAGGGAGAGCGGTGTGCCAGTTTTACCCCAAGAACGATCAGCAGCGCACCATGATCAGTGGAGCTGCCATTAAGGCTGGTTTTGGTGCGGGTATCCTTGAAGATGACCCCGGAACCAAGAATGCCAAGTTATATCTTGTCCTTACCGTTGGTGGTGCTGCGACAGAGGGTGCTGGCGGCGATATTACCGGTGTGGTTAAGGGAATGGAAGGCGTTGATGTTGTGGATGCTCGCAGGCAGCACCAGGCACAAAAGAGGAAAGACGTTAAGAAGGGCTCAAAAGCGTGGATTCTCAATAAAAAGGAGCAGATGGAGCGGAAGGGCAAGGTCGTCAAGACATCCAGCAAGTATACGGGGAGAAAGAGACATATTACATTCTAGATGGGCTGCGTTGCTGGGGGCGTGTTGGCGTTGGTATGGGTCGTTTATCATACTCTTTTTCAATGAACCGATTATTTCCAGATTTGCTTGATCAGTGTTCCCACGTGCAAGGATCGTACATTTGTCAAAGAAGGTTTTGGCAGTCTCTCAACTACTAAAATTATTGTCCAGTCGCTCAGCTACCAAAGCCACTTCTCAGTCTCTCAGCTACGAAAACCCCTGCACAGTCTCTCAGCTACCAAGTTACCGCCTAGTCGCTCAGCTACCAAGCCACTGCCCAGTCTCTCAACTTTGCATGGTCACGCAAAGGCAGTATTTGATATTTGGGTATATTTCGACTATAAACCTTGGTCTTACATCAACAATCTCCACACACCAAGAACCAGAGCAGAGAAACCGGTAACCACTCCCATCAACCATTGCAGGGTCTGGAACTTGACGCCCTCAAGCTTCTCTCTCAGTCCAGCAACTTCTTGCTCAATCTTTGTCTCCGTCTCCTTAATCTTGAGTCCCTGGGCATTTGATTCCTCCCTTATCCTGCCCTTCTCCAAGTTCAGATCCAGCCGAACCGACGCCTGCGTCCTGCTTATCTCGTCTCGCAATTTGTTGTTGAACTTTGCCAGATCATTCGTCAGGCGCTCATGCGCTGCCTTCGTAGCCGACTCCTCTGACGAATCCGCAGACAACAACTCTGACCGTAGCTTTGCAAAGTCGACTTTCTGGGTGTAGGTTGCTTTCGCTTGGTCTTCGCGGATGACCATGGTTCGTGTGAGATTTTGGATGCTGACATAGGTCAGCGTAATGCATTGCACTCATCCAAGCAAATGGTTCTACCTTTCTTCTATAACATCACTCAGAACCTTCATCATAGCAACAGATTGCGTCTCAGTAAACCCCTCATCCTTCAAACGCTTGACGAACTTGAGGGTGTCAAAGTGGTATTCTCTCTGTCGCATTGGTGACGAGCTGAAATCCCTGCGCATTGGCAATTTCTGAGTAATAGCTGCACCATCTTTCGTTTGGAACATAGACCTTCGCGTAGTTATGGGCGTGTTATGGCGGTTCTGGCCGTATGAATCTGTTGAATATGCCGCAAAGAGTGACGTGCCTCGACCTGGAAGCTGTACAGTGGTTGCCCTCCCCTGCCAGCTGAGCTGCGGCAGTAGGAAACGGGGCAGAACCTGGGCGCCAGTGATCGCCTTTTGCGCCATATTTAAATCAAGCTTGAATAAAAGAAAATAAATGAAGGTGGGATGTGTATTGTTGGATTGATCTTTCGGAGGGCCATCAGCGACGTTACCCGTTGTCCAGTCACGTGCTCATTGCGAGATACATTCGGCTAGTTCACCCCACCAAGAAGAGTCACCGTGGTGGGAAACTTTATACAATTCTCTGAGGCTCGTTGCTAAATCGAATCTCCATCTGACGCCACGAAACAACTACCTTGTTCATATATCGACGAAGGATATTGAACATACACCCCCAGATCACCTAGAAACGCGTCTACAGCACCACTCACGGTACCTCATCGAAGAAACCGCGAAAACCTTAGCGGAGCGCAATCATGGCGACCCAAGGCGACAAGTTTGGAAATGACATGGAGTCCGACTCGGGCTCCGAGCAGGGTTCCCCGAACCTAGAGGCTACGAATGATGTGGAAGACAATGATAACATCCCCGATATGCCGTTAAAGTCGAGCCTCAAGAAGCCCACAGCAGCAAAGGACCAAGCACCAGTAGTTGTGCGCCCGACCCTCCCACCGCAGACCGAGCCAAAAGACCTAGATGTCAAGGCCCTCACCCCTCTGACCCCAGAGATTATTGCCCGCCAGGCTACGATCAATATTGGAACCATCGGCCACGTCGCTCACGGAAAGTCCACTGTCGTGAAGGCTATTTCTGGTGTCCAGACTGTCCGCTTCAAGAACGAGCTGGAGCGCAACATTACCATCAAGCTCGGTTACGCGAATGCTAAGATCTACAAGTGCGACTTTGAGGACTGCCCGAGACCAGGATGCTTCAGGAGTTACAAGAGTGAGAAGGAGGTGGACCCCCCTTGCGAGAGGGAAGGATGCCCAGGCACGTACAGGTTGCTCAGACACGTCTCGTGAGTTTGCCACGCACACTTTAAGCCGGGAAAACAGCTAACATATGTAGTTTCGTCGATTGCCCTGGTCACGATATTCTCATGAGCACTATGTTGTCAGGAGCCGCTGTCATGGACGCAGCTCTCCTTCTTATTGCAGGAAACGAAACCTGCCCTCAACCGCAAACGTCTGAGCATTTGGCCGCCATCGAGATTATGAAGCTTGACAAGATTATTATCCTCCAAAATAAGGTCGATTTAATGAGAGAGGACGGCGCCCTGCAACATTACCAGTCGATCCTGAAGTTCATCCGTGGAACCGTTGCTGACCGCTCGCCAATTATCCCCATCTCCGCCCAACTTAAGTTCAACATCGATGCGATCAACGAGGCGATCGTCTCCACAATCCCAGTCCCACCTCGTGACTTCTCCCAGGATCCTCAGATGATCATTATCCGATCTTTCGATGTCAACAAGCCTGGTGCCGAGATTGACGAGCTCAAGGGTGGTGTTGCTGGTGGATCCATTCTGCACGGTGTTATCAAGCTCGGTGACGAGATTGAGATCCGTCCCGGAATCGTCACAAGAGATGATAAGGGAGCTATCCAGTGCACTCCTATCTTCAGCAGAATCGTCACCCTCAACTCCGAAAACAACGAGCTCAAGTACGCCGTTCCTGGTGGACTTATTGGTGTCGGTACTCGCATCGATCCTACCCTGTGCCGTGCCGATCGTCTGGTTGGTTTCGTGCTGGGTCTCAAGGGCAGACTTCCGGATATTTACACCGAGATTGAGGTCAACTACTACTTACTCCGCCGTCTCCTCGGTGTTAAGACCGCAGATGGAAAGCAGGCCAAGGTCGCCAAGTTGGCAAAGAACGAGGTTCTCATGGTCAACATTGGATCTACCGCCACTGGTGCCAAGGTTGTCGCTGTTCGCCAGGATGCCGCGAAGTTGGTCCTTACCAGCCCTGCGTGCACAAACACCGGAGAGAAGGTCGCCCTGTCGAGACGTATTGAGAAGCATTGGCGTCTGATCGGATGGGCCACCATTGCTGCGTAAGTCACATAATCCCCTATCCATAACGACATGTACTGACAATGACGTAGCGGTGTAACTCTTGAGCCAACTGCATCCTCTTAGACGACGATATATATTACGGACGTGATGACTGTGATGGTGCTGAAGACGTGATCTTTCATGATTTTTCTATGGGTGTCATAGGGATTTATGGATATGCGTGCATAGCATATAAAAAGAGGAGTTTGTCCTTGCGATTTGGCCACAATCAGGGCTAGATGATGTTATTAAAGAAATGAAAAAAATTGATAATACATTGCCGTCTTGACAACAAAAATATACACATATCGTCACCATAAATTTATAATAATTCTTATACTCGAATAGCTCAGAAACAAGTACCCTATCCCCAAGTAAAATAAATCCCAGCCCCTGACTGTTTGCAGTCGTATTTGTCGCCCAAATTACCCCTCATCCACGCTCGCTTAAGCTGGGCAGATAGACTGGCTATCGAACGAACCACCCCTCTCTTAGCTCCCGAAATAGTTCCCCCCCACCTATACCGCCTTCTTGGAGAGGGGACACCTCCACGTTTATACTCTCCCAGTCTCCCATTACCTCCCCCCAAACAATTACTCCCTTCCTACCCTCGATACCCCCTCCAAACCCTCAAAATGGCCGAACCAGTCACCTACCCCCCGCTCAACGAGCGCCCCATCAAGAACACAATCGTCCTCTTCGATGTCGACAACACCCTCACCCCCGCGCGCGCAGTAAGCCCCCCCCTCACCGCCAACCGCCCCCAATACCCCCCAACTAACCCCCCTCCAGGCCGGCACCCCCGAGATGATCCAAATGCTCGCCGACCTGCGCCAAAAAGTCGCCATCGGCTACGTCGGCGGCTCCGACTTCGTGAAGCAGCAAGAGCAGCTCGGCACTGCATCTCTGAGCGTCACAACGCGCTTCGACTTCTGCTTCCCCGAGAACGGGTTGACGGCGTACAAGCTGGGCTCGCTGCTGCCGAGCCAGAGCTTCATCAATTGGATCGGCGAGGATAGGTATAAGGAGCTGGTCAAGTTCATCTTGCATTATATCGCGGATCTGGATATTCCGATTAAGAGGGGCACGTTTGTCGAGTTCAGGAATGGGATGATCAATGTTAGCCCTATTGGGCGTAATGCGAGTACGGAGGAGAGGAATGAGTACCAGAAGTATGATCTGAAGAATAAGATTCGCGAGACGTTTGTGAACGTCCTGCGCGAGAAGTTTGCGGATATTGACTTGACGTAAGCCCGTCTCAAGTTGCGCTTTGGACGACCAAACACTAACAACTGCAAAACAGCTACTCGATTGGCGGCCAAATCTCGTTCGATGTCTTCCCCACCGGCTGGGACAAGACCTACTGCCTTGGGCACCTCGAGGCCGATGCCAAGAAGCCCGATGGCATCGAGTACACCACCATCCACTTCTTTGGCGACAAGACGTACAAGGGCGGAAACGACTACGAGATCTACGAGGACCCACGCACGATCGGACACAGCGTCACTGACCCCGATGACTGCTTCAAGCAGGTCAAGGAGCTCTTTGATTTGTGACTTCAGCGGGGGAGTATGCTTTAGCTTAATAGGATAAATAGGTTGGGTGGAAAAGGGGGCGAGGACATGACGGGACAATGATAATTGGAAAACTCTCGGGATGAGCATAACTCGAGGAGTTATGAGGGCAAAAAGAACTATGAGAGTTGTCTCAAAAATAGTAGATAGATAGATATAAATAAGATGACAGAGATATAGAAAAGGCTATCAACGCTAAATGACAAACACCGCAAATGCCGCACATCCCAACATCAACCCCCCCTTTCCCCATCTATCCCACACCCCTCCCCCCTCAGCGTCCAAACTCCAAGCTCGGAATAATGACCGGCCCATACTTCGTCGGCGCATTAAATGCCCCATCACCCTGCACCACATAATCCACCGCCAAGCTCAACTTACTCAGTCCCTGCCCGCCCGAGTGCACACTCCCCGCCTGACTCATCCCCATATTCAGATCATGCGGGTCATACGCCACGAACGCGACGTAGTTGCGGCGACCCATGAGGCGCTTGAGCTCGCGCGCCGCACCGCTAACCTCGGACTGGAAGATCTCCATCATGTCCTCCTTGGTGTCGCTGACGGCGTGGTTGGAGCGGCGGCCGTTGGCGGGGACGTAGAGCGCTTTGGTGTTGTGCAGCATCTTGAGGACGTAGTTTGCGGGTGGAGCGGCGACGATGGAGGAGGAAATTACTTGGTACATTGTTTTGTGATCGTTGGGGTGGCTGGGGTCGTGGAGGAGGCCGGCGCCGCAGCAGTTGACGTCTGGGTGAGTTAGTATGGAGTTAAAGATGGGATGGGGGGAGATCATACCGCCAGAGAGAAAGGTCATCCGGATGCCTTTCTGTTGTGCGATACCTTGCAGCGTGCGGATCAGGTATGTTCGCTCTAGATCCTTGGAGTCGTGCGTCCACATGTCGCGCAGCTCCTCGGTGATATCCATATCGCCAAAGCTGTTTAGTACGCCGCCCATAAGGCCAGACTTTCCAACAGCCTTCTTGACTTGCGAGAACCCGCTTGAAACGATTTCCTTGCCGCCCACGACACCCGCAACGCTGCTCGTCACCTTACCCAACAGATTGTAGGTGGTGTTCACGGCTTTCTTTCCCGTTGCGACGGTGTTGGCAAGGGATTCCATTGTTTCGAGGCGCGGGTACACTATCGGCACCGGGACCATCCAGATACAATGCTGGACTGACGGAGGCAGCGTTGCTACCTTTGGAAAGATCCCTTGGTATGTTGGTCCTGCCATCACCTGCTGCTGGGTACGCTCTGATCGGCCGTCAGGCCCAATAACGACGACGGCTGGGCCAAGGTATTTGACAAAGTGCCAACCGCTGCCAGTAATAGTAAACAGATCAATATCGTCATTGACATTACGCAGGAGCTCGAGGGTTGTGTGGTGCTGGAAGAGGAGGTACATCTCAATGCCAATGCGGCCGATGTTCTTAAACATATGAGAGCCCTGCATGTACTCAGGATAGGAGCCGAAGCCATCGAAACTAGGAATGTTAGGTGTGCAATAAGCAAGAGGGACTAGAAACTTACATGTCGTGGTCGTCAATGCTTAGGACATGCGGGATCTGGGCGAATGCTTCCCTCAGGTATGGCTGGTCAAAGTGGCTAGTATAATAGTGGAAGTAGGAATGCGAGACATCTTCTTCGTGCTTTGCTGTCCACGGAGTGTTCTTGCGAGCTTCCTTTCCAGGCAGACCAAGCCACTGCTTTAGTAACGGAACCTCCTTCCATAATCTGTCGCCGTATATCTGATCACCGAGACCAAGTTGTACATGGAAGCCGCCGGTTTCCACATTTTTCTGTAAGATATCCTTCCACATGAACCCGATTCCTCCAAGGCGACTGCGCTCGTTTGCATTGGTGTTCATGGCAAAATCGTTGCCAGAATGAGCGATGAACCGCCAGTTAGTTTCGTAGCGGCCGGCGACGAGGAACTCATAGCGCGTGCATCCAAGGTGCGACGTGATCGCATATGTCCATTTGTCTCCAGGCCCGTCGCCCATCTGGAGATCAACATCATATCGGTAAAAAACCCATCGCTGATGCGTATATATCGAATTTGCCTTTAGCTGCCTGGGGTTGGGAGACAAATCATTACTCTGGTGAATATGGATCGTTGGTGGCTGCGGGCCGTCGGTAACAAGCATGATAGATCCGAGCCATATCCCCCTTTCAATATCCATATTGATGTATTTCAGGTAAGGACCGAAATATACACCATTCGTCGGCGCAATCTTATACATATCAACACCAGCACTTGGAGGTGGACCGCTGAACCCCCCAGCAGTCGTTGCCTGAGACATGCTGCTCATTATGCTCTCCGCATACCCTGGTGTCTGCGGCGGGAACAGACCAGGCGATCCCAATGGCTGTTTTCCAAATTGGCTAAGGCCTGGTGACATGAGCCCTGGTGACATCAGCGGGTTTCCATATGTCGAGGCTGTTGGAGACAGTGGTGCGACATCGTGATTCAGAGGAGTTGGTCCCTTGGGGAACTCCCACTGCGTAGCTTGAGTTGCGAGGTGGATATAGTAGTACTGGCCAGAATTCTGGTCCAGATGAGCAATCCATCCCTCAGGCATCGGAGGCGGAGAGGCTGGGCCTATTGTGCCCGTGAATGGCGCAGGGTTCGCGAATTGCTGAACTGGGGTATTTTGTTCTTGTCTCGGATCATTTGCAAATGCTGGGTGTCCTGGGTGCTGCAAAGCAGGAGATGCCAACGGCTGAGCATAGTCAGTCTTTTTCGGTGCTGCTGCTGCTGCCACCGTTGCGGCTGCAGCAGCTCCTGCAACAGCCGCCGCAACAGCCCCCGCACCAGCTGCACCAGCCTTTTCATTGGGATATCCTTGGGCTGTAGTGCCATTTGACGGCCCTCCGTGACTGACACTAGAGTAAGCCGGGGGTGGTGAAGCAGACATATGCATTCGCTGGAAATCTTGCTCCAGCGCATTTGGTGGTTTAGATGCGCGGCCACCAGAATCCTGTCGAGCTTGCTCTGGACGAGGCGGCGATGAGACTTGGTTTGCGCCCTGGTATACCGTTGGCGCACCGTGAGATTGGTCTGCTGGTAACTCCGTCGGTGTCCAGGGACGGGCCGGAGCTTGATTTTGCTGCGGAGCCGGAGAAAATGCTGGAGACATGGGTGGCTGAGGTTGCTGTGGCTGCTGCGGAGCTGGAGAGAATGCTGGCGACATGGGCATCTGAGGCACTGGCGGAGGCGCATATTGGTTTCGACGCTGTGCCGCCGCAGCGTTCTGAGCTTGGAGGCTGCTTAGAGTAGCAGTGCCAGAGATTCCTGCAGCGGCGTAGCGCTCCTCAATACTCCCACCGGCCTCTCCTGGGCCTACAATTGGTGTCTCTGGTGGGGCTGGAGACCCTCTTGAAGCTCTTGTAGTAGATGTGGAGGCGGTCGAGTCGAAGCGATCGAGCTTTGTAGGCTGGGGCGCAATGAGCCCCTCATTCTGTGGGTATGATTGTCCCTGTGCCGCCATTGTGTTGGCCGGCCTTTGGGGTGCTCGTGCGAATAGTCCCTCTTTGTCTGGGGCGTCGTGGCCCGGCGACTCTGGGAGTGGTTTCGGGGCTGTCCCTCGCCTCTCTGCCAAACGTGGCCCTCTCTTGTCTGTAGGACTAGCCCCTATTCTCGGAGTTGTATCGTATAGGTCGTTGGAGTTTGTTCTGAGTGGCGGGGATGTGGTTGATTGATGCGGGGATTGGCTCTGTCGGCCGTCATCTGGGTATGGAGCACGATAGACTTTTTGTTCCGCTGGTCGGGGATATTGAAACGTCCCTTCATCATCCGGATATGGTAGAGGTGCTGCAGAGCTCGAAGCTCCCGGTGGTAGGGGGAAAGAGTGCTTCGAAGGCTGCGGTGGTGGGTAATTGTAGTGACTCGGACCGGCCGAGCCAGCTCGAGGCGGGCTTGTAGATGGCGGCTTGCTGATTCTCAACGGCTCAATAGTTGGACTATCTCCGCCACCACTTGGACTCTCAAGGTAGAGCTCGTCATCTCCGTGTCCCTGGCGAGCGGCCATTGTTACTGAAAGGCGGGGAACTGCGGCTCTCACAGCAGCGCCACTAGAGACGCACGGCGCACGATTAAACAAAGACTGAGCTGCGGCAGTGCGATTCTAAAACAGACCGAGATGTATCTGAGTAATGCGGGAATACGGAGAATGAAGGTATAGTAATCGTTCTGCGACCGAAGTTGAGGCCCGCGACAAGGTAAGATGGGCAGGAAGCTCAGCGATGACAGGCGCGCACTGTTTGTAGATTGCAGGAGATGAAACAGAGTAGACTTTTTTCAAATATGTTCAGATTTGGGGGCGGACAGTCATTACATGGAGTTGAGGGTTGAGGGCTGGAGGGGTCAGTTCTTGGTGGTGATTGGAGACGTGGTTGGGCGGCTACAGCTCAGCCAGTGGGGTTGAAGCTACACGGCCACACCCATGAAGGACGGCGCGTAAATGCAAAATATAGGAGCACTTGCGGATGCTCAGCCAAAAGGATTGAAGTAGTATTGAATCGCTTTGCCGCTATTGAAGAGCTATAAATGCTAGGTAACTTGATATTAAATGAAGATGTGCAAAATGGGAAAATGCCTGATGGTGAGCTGTCGAATTGACGCATCCAAGGCGCAAGTGCGAGCGCAAAGAGTTCAGTGTGATAGAGAAGTGTATGAAAGGCTTACGACGCTGGCCGCTGACGACACTGAGGGGTTGTTCACCAGGCAATTCAAGACCTAGGGTCGCAGTGTCCACCATAACCTGGCAGCATAACTGGCTCCGCGGGGTGGCGAGGGCTGGCTCCCTGCATAGGGCATTGAAACACCTGGGAGCATAAGCGCCTGGGCATCGACGAGGAAGTGTGGGCTTGGTGCGGGTTGGGGGCCATTGCGGCGGTTATCGAATACGGAGCTGATGTGCGTGCAAGGATGATGCATCTCGTCACATTATCGGCATCGGGTGGAGGTTGAGTACTCCTGGAGGTGAAGGGGATCGTTCATTTAGAGATTAGAAGTGAAAAGACTGGGCAGACATAGTATGTATGCGTATGACAATATATAAACAGAAAATACTGTAAACTGTAAATATATGTAGGAGGCGGAACATATGGAGTAGAAAGTAAACCAGACTCGAAGTAAACAATGTGATGGTACAAAGTGCAGTCACGTGATGCGAATCCCCAAGGTGAAGAAGTTCGCGGTGGCTGACTGGCGACTGGCGTTCCGCGCTAAAACGCCAATTACCACTTTACGCGTCCAGGCGCGTCGAGCGCGTCGCAGCTAAGACCAAGTACCTCAGTATTTCGCGTGTATGCAGAGAAGGAGCTTATGTCCTCCACCATCTTCAACTTCCTTCACACCTCAGTCATAACTTCCTCAACATCCGATCCGCCACCTCTATAATATCTCCCTCTCACCAGCCGTCAACCCTCAGTCATGGTTTCCTCAGTATTGGGCAAGCGCACGAGAAGCTCTGTCGAAGCTGGTAAGAACGACCCGTTAACCACCCCCAATGAACATACTGACCGGCTTCATAGCTCTTCCCGCGACACTTCCTCGTCCGAAAAGGCAAGCAGCAACCGTGATATACTCTGATGAGAACGACGACCCATTCGCCCCGCGACAGACCCGGGCCAAGGCGCGCAGTGTCAGCTCGGATGTATCCTTAAAATCGTCGCCAGGCAAGCACAATGGAGCAGCGACGCGAGCTGTCCTACAGCCCACGCAAATAAAAAAGCACTTCAACACTGTCAAGTCTGTTGAAGCAGATGAAAACGCAAAGATTATCCAGGTTAAGACGCCACAAACCCCTCGGCATAGGGATGCACTTTCGAAGCAGGTACCCACTACACCAAGGCACCGTGTCACGGTTACGGGCACAGCAGGAACTCCTCGCACTCCTCGAACACCATCTACTCCATCTGGATCATCCTCAACTATCTATAATGTTGCGCGTCAACTTTTCACGCGTAGCAGCGATCCCGGCCGCCTTATTGGACGGGAAGAGGAGCGCCTTGAGCTTTCCAGCTTCATCAATACCTCCATCAGCACAACAACCGGTGGCTGCACGTACGTTAGCGGACCTCCCGGCACCGGCAAGAGCGCAATGGTGAACGAGGTCATTGCCGAGACACCAGCAAACGAAGTGGTCAAGAAGGCATACGTCAACTGCATGTCGATGAAATCTTCCAAGGACCTATATTGCGTCCTTCTGGAGTCACTGTGCGGCCCAATCGAAGTCATTGAAGGCGAGGAACTGCAGACTCTCCAAGGCATGTTTGCACCTCGCAAGCCGACAAACGCCATGTATCTCATCACACTCGACGAAATTGACCATGTTGTCACGCTCGACCTGGAGTGCATGTACAAGCTCTTCGAGTGGGCCCTCCAGCCCTCATCCCACCTCATCCTGGTCGGCATTGCCAACGCGCTGGATCTTACCGACCGCTTCCTCCCACGCCTCAAGGCCCGCAACCTGAAGCCCAATCTCCTTCCCTTCCTCCCCTATACCGCTGCTCAAATCAAATCTATCATTACCACACGCCTAAAAAGCCTCATCCCAGCTGGCAGCGCAACACCCGACTTCATCCCTTTCTTACACCCAGCGGCCATAGAGCTATGCTCCCGCAAAGTCTCCGCCCAAACTGGCGACCTCAGAAAAGCATTTGATATCTGCCGCCGCGCCGTGGACCTCATCGAGACCGAGACCAAAGCCAAGCACCAAGCCTCGCTCGTCCCCATTCCCGACTCGCCATCCAAGAAAATCCTCGCCGAGAACCCAAATCTCTCCTCACCCGTCGCCATGCCATCTCCAGCAAAAAGCCCCCGCCATCTATCGAGTTTAATAGCAGACTCTCTCGCCAAGCTGACCGTCGAGACCGCCCCACGAGCAAGCATCGCACACCTCAACAAAGTCACCGCAGCTGCCTTCTCTAACGGCGTCTCTACGCGCCTCAAGACGCTGAACCTGCAACAGAAAGCCGCGCTCTGCGCCCTCGTCGCCCTCGAGCGCCGCAAGCGCGCCGCAGCTGCAAACATCATGGCCACGCCCTCCAAGCTAGCCAACGCAGCGCCGACTATCAAGCAACTCTACGACACGTACTGCCACCTCTGCTGCGCGGATTCAGTGCTGCAGCCTCTCACCTCGACGGAGTTCCGCGACGTGGTGGGAAGCCTGGAGACGCTCTCGCTTGTTAGTGGAGTGGATGGCCGGACTGGGAGTTTTGTGATGGCGAATACCCCGACGAAGAGGGGGAGGAAGGTTGGGTTTGGGGGAGGGGTTGGAAGTGGTGATGAGAAGAGGGTGGGGAGTTGTGTGGGGGAGCAGGAGATTGAGAGGGCGGTTGAGGGGGGAGTGGGTGCGGTGATCCTGAAGAGCATTCTTAGTGGGGAGAGTCTGGCGTGGTGTGATTGAGTGTTGCTTTTGTTTTTCTGCATAGCGTGGCATGGTGTTTGGATCCTCCGGTTGAAGTGGCGTATTCTGGATTTTACTGTTGGATTGTAATTCAGGGGGGTTGTTTGAGTAGGGGTGTATTTGTGTACCAGGCTCTAGAACGAGCACTGAAGAATAGAAAGCTCGTCAGCTTTGCTAGATATTGCTGGTGGGTATTAATCAATAAATATTTTTATTTATAACCTCGCACAAGGAAGATCCTGAAATTAAGTAGTCTATCTGTCTACCACCTAAAGCATAATACGCTATTCGCCATTTAACCCCTGATTCTACCTCATCAGTCATGAATGTTGAAGTCCTGACTCCCCGCCCCAACCCCAAAACACCACATAGTTGATCCCACCTCCTTCTACAGCCACCACACCACCCTCAAACAAGCTCCAGCTTAAACTGCGTCCCCTCCTCCGAATCCGCCACCGACGCCTTGCCCGACAACGCCGCCACCTCAACCGACTCCGTCTTCTCAACCTGCTGCTTCCACCTCGCCGGCATAATATGCTGAAAGCTAAACGTCCCATTCGCCGACCTGACCACCTCCCCCTTCTCGGTGATAATCGCATCAATCAACGCATGGGGCGTGACATCAAACGACGGATTCCACACATCAATCCCCTGATGCGCGACAGCGACGCGGCGCGTATCACTAACATCGACATTCCCCTCCTTATCGACCACCGCACCGCTGATCTGGGTGAGTTCCTTCTGCGGGCGATTCTCGATGACGATATCGGATCCCGTGACGGTCTCGAGATCGATGCTGGTTGTGGGAGCTGCGACGATGAATTTTATGCCGTGAAACTTGGCGAGGACGGCGAGGGAGTAGGTGCCGATCTTGTTAGCGGTGTCGCCGTTGCGGGCGACGCGGTCGGCGCCTACGATGACGGCGGAGATGTTCTTCTCGGTCTTGAGGCGCGCGAAGAGGGCGCCGGCCATGGAGTCGGTGATGAGGGTGGAGGGAATCTTCTCGTAGACGAGCTCAAAGGCCGTGAGGCGCGCGCCTTGGTTGTAGGGCCGGGTTTCGGTGCAGTAGGCGTGGTCGAGGTAGTTCATCTTGTGGAGGCTGCGGATTATACCGAGGGCTGTGCCGTGGCCGGAGGTGGCGAGTGAGCCGGTGTTGCAGTGGGTTAGGACGCTGAGCTTTCTGTAGGTACGGTCGGGAGCTCCTTGGGTTCCGGGGGGGCTGGTAGTGAAGTAGCGGAGGTCGTCGGCGTCGTTTTCGGGCGATAGGACGGGGAGTTGCTGGCGTCTGAGATACTCGGCACCATACCTGCCGATAGCCAGGTTTGTTTGAAGGTCATCCTCGAGAATCTTCTCCGCGGCTTTGATGTATGCTTCCCTGATCACGGCAGCATCTGGCTGTGCAGTCCTGTTCGAAGTGCGATCTGCTTCCGCAATTGCCGCTGCGTTGACCGTCATCTTCAGGAGCCTGATGGCGTTTGAGAGGTCAACAGCAGTTGGCCTACTCCCCATAAGGTAGTCCAGCTTGTCGTGAACATATTTCAACTGCCCATCGACGGAAGATTGATCTATAGCAGGTAAGTAGAGGAATATAGACGGAGCTAGGAGACTTACTGAGGTCGGCGTTCGCCAACTCAACTGCCAATGCAAGAGCGGCTACAATTGCAATTGCCGGTGCACCTAATACAATCAGTATGGATATTTACAATCGCAGATTCTTCAAATACCTCTAACACGCATGGACTTGATACAATCGAAAGCCTGTTCACATGTTGAGACGTCATCATAGACAGACTCATGTGGCAATCTCAGCTGGTCGAGCACCTCCAACTTGCCCCGCGTGTACTTGATAGCCTGAAGTGCAGACATTGCGGGTTCTAGAGGAACAATAAATGGAAAATTTAGATAGTATTAAAAGCCAACCCAATGACTTGAAGACAGACTGAGACGCGGACTAAAAACAGATAGATTCCGAGTATGCTTCCCTCGAAAAGTAAACGGAGGCCCTGATGTCGCAGTCAAGGTACCCCTCCATGGTAGGCGGTGAGCCACATTTAAACTTTTCTGCCCCATCGTGGCTTCATGCACCGGCAACCCCCGCTAATTGGTCGAAACTGCACGGACCACCCAGCCAAGTCAACACGTGACCCACACATCACCAAGCGAGCGCACAACAGTCGTAAATTCGCTTTCTCGAACTTTTCGCCGAAGCCTCACGACCCATCCACGACAACATCGACCACAGCATCTCGACATACCTTCCGTCAAGATGGCCAGAGAGACCCCACGCAGCGGCATTGCCGTCGGACCTAACAAGGGCCACGTACGTCTCACCTCTTGGAGGATCCCTTTCTGAATCAGGAAGGCGATGGACCGACCTGGCTAACATATCATTCTGCGAATTAGAAAACCGAGCGTCGTGCTGTCCGCGCGAAGCCATCGAAGACCAAGGGTCACTTGAGCAAGCGCACCGCTTTCGTCCGCGAGATCGTCAAGGAGGTTTCTGGGTATGCGACGCCGCCGTTCCATTGACCGCCGAATCCGTTTTCTAACAGTTTTCTTCTAGCCTCGCCCCATACGAGCGCCGCGTTATCGAACTCCTCCGCAACAGCAAGGACAAGCGTGCCCGTAAGCTGGCAAAGAAGCGTCTTGGTACCTTCGGCCGTGCTAAGGCCAAGGTTGATGAGCTCCAGGGTGTCATCGCCGAGTCCCGCCGTACCGCTCACTAAATGCATCATGGTGCGTTTGGGCAAGTTTTGGGACAGGGAGTGATGGTGTACAATGGGCGCCAATGCATGGCTGGATGAAAATCTCTGCGAGAGTAAAAAGCCGGACAAATATATAGCTGGCAACTCGACCGAGGTTTCGGGCAATGAATCACAACTTGATACCAATCTGCAGGACTTTTATGGTGCAGGACTTCTATGGTTGACGCTCAAGTGAATTGTGACATTTCAACTCATACTAAAATTATATACCTCTGAAACGCCTCGCTATGAGCCTCTTAACTAATACCAATGCAATTCCTTCAAAGCGCCGTGGTACAACCATCCGTTCTACTGCCCGTTCACTTCTTGCTCAACCCTTTGAGGAAGCCCTTGAGCTTGTCTTCCGTAGACTTTCCACTACCAGCCTTCTTCTCCTCCTTAGCCTTTGGAGCAACACCGCCTCCACCCCCCTGTGCCTTTGGAATTTCTGGTACTTGCACGGGCTTTGCTTGGGTAGCATACTTCTGCTGGAGTATCGGCCACTTCCTCGCATCCTCACTCGCCTCATCCTTCCACGTGAATGTGACCAGTGTCGGCCCCTCGAATCCCAAATCCTTAATCAGACGCGCTGTGCTGCTATCAGGCACATTATGGATCTGTCCTTTCGAGTCCTTATATATCAAGGAGAATGGCTGGTCCCCTGCAACGATGAGACCCCTAACAAACTCGAGCATCTTTGCCCCCGTTTCCGAGGCATTGACGGGGAATTGGACAGTTGTTTGATCAGGGAATCGGACTTTGACCCTTGTTTCCACAACCGAAGATTTCTTTGCCTCCCTCTCTCGCTGTAGAGCTTCCTGCTCTGCATCTGATAGGAGTCTCTTGTTTTGTGTCCTATTTAGGAGGCGAGACTGGTGCAACTTGGCATCAGCTACGCTGGGCTCGTAGTCGGAGTCGTTGTACTCTTGTTGGGCTGCTCGAGGGACGGCTGACGTAGGAGCAGAGAAGACCGAAATCATACGCTCTCCTGGCCCAGCAATACCCTCATCAGACGCCGGGGTCTCTGTTGGTTTTACCACGCCTGACATCGAACTCGACGTCTGCGACGACGGTGATTGCAGGCCAGGTTCTTGGACCTTGGCGATTTGATCGGTGATGGTACCATCCTCGACAGGAGTAGCTGTTTCCGTCGAAGGTGTCGCCCCAGTACCCTGACCAGCTTCCTCAACTTCCTTAAAGTACTGTCCTATCTCTGCCGTCGCCACCTCCAACGGCGTCTCCGTCTGTCGGTAGCTTAAACGCAATAAAATCGATCCGCTGCTAATCCCTATCTGCGACAAAGTCTTCTGCAAGTCCACAAACGTGCCAAACTCCCTATTCATAACATTCAGCACCGGCATCTCATAGAAGATCTTCCCGCTCGAGCGCGCCTCCGTATCAGCTATGCTCCTAGCCGTGAAGTTGAGGTTCTTGGTATCGCTCGCCTCGAACTTCCTCAAGATCAGCCAGAGGGTGGTGTTGCTTGGGAATCGATCCGTGAGACGAGTCCCATCGGGGAGTTGTAATGCAACTGCGACGGCCGAGGGGGATTTTGAGGCAACGACGAGCTCGAGTTTTGCACCGGAGGAGAGGCCCGATTGTCGGAATGTTCGGGAGAGGTCAACTGCCTTGTTATTATGCCTTGAATATAGTTAGCGACTTGTAGCTATCATGCGAAATGGGGTCCAACTTACTTCAACCCGTAGTTGCTGGGGTCGAACTTGGACCTTGTACAAGCCTGATTTCGGACATCGCTCATGTGCGTCTCGGGGGCCACCTTAATCTGATACCGTTGAAGGCCAGTATCCGTCACCACAACATGGGCTACCATGGCTGCGAAGCTGTCTCTCGGACCTGGGTAATCTACGTCCTGTCCTGTAGAATGGGTAGGCTGTTTGGGGCCTTTTCAAGGGCTAAGGCAAATATAGATGCTGTAGAATCAAGCAGACTTCGTATATACAAATCCGTGAGAGGCGAGAGAGTTTCGTGGCGTCTTGTGGTGGGTGATTTCCGTAGGATTCGCTGATATTCTTATTATCAAGCAATCATCGCGGGGTGATTCAATGAACCCTCCAAACCGCGAATCACCACAGAACTCGTAGTTGACGTCGGTATTCGAGCGCGCAATATTGTCAAGCAATATGAAATAACGAGACTGGGAAGTAGTAACAAAAGTGAACTCGTAGTTTAGTTTACCAAAGTAGAAAAGGAAATTCCAGATCCGTACAAAGGAAATGTTGCCTCTAGGCCATTGCAACACCTACAGTAAACGTAACCATCCACCTAATTGTGGTCCGAGCGTTTTTGGGGTGAGGCTCGCCGTCCAAGCTCAAGCGTCCACCGCCGCAGCTCAAGCTCAGTTAACTACGCGTAGCCGTGTCTACCTTGCGAATCCGTCCATAAGCCCAGCCAGCCAAACCACCAACACATAGACCAAAAAAACATCACGACGAACGATTCCAAGGACCCTCAACTCAATACACCGATATAAACACACCCCAGACACTGTGAAGCCAACACATCCAAAGTCATGGTAAGCCAAACCAAACCAAACCACCACCTCCCCAACCAACCACCTTGCAAACCACTCACTAACCTCATCCCCAGAGCTCCCCATTCTCCATCAGTGCGTCCTCCACCCCCATCCACCCCCCTCCCAATCCCCCCCTTCTAACCTCCCCCCAGATGGCGGAGCCTGCGTCGCCATGGTCGGCAAAGACTGCGTCGCGATCGCGTGCGACCTTCGTCTCGGTCTCCAATCCCTAACCGTCTCCAACAACTTCCCCAAAGTCTTCAACTACGGCGACGTCTACCTGGGGCTGACCGGTCTTGCCACCGACGTCGCCACGGTCTCCGATCTCTTCCGGTACAAGGTGAACATGTACCGTCTGCGCGAGGAACGCAACATCGCGCCCTCGACGTTCGCGAACCTCGTCAGCTCGTCGCTGTACGAGAAGCGCTTTGGGCCGTTCTTCGTGAGCCCCGTGGTGGCGGGACTGGATCCCAAGACGGGGAAGCCGTTTATTTGCGGCTTTGATAGTATTGGGTGTATTGATTTTGCGAAAGATTTTATCGTGGCGGGTACGGCGAGCGATCAGCTGTTTGGTACTTGTGAGGGGCTGTGGGAGCCGGATTTGGTATGTTTGAAATGTGATGGTGGGAGATGGGAGAGGGGATGGATTTGTGCTAATGAGTGGTATAGGAGCCAGAGGACCTTTTCGAGACGATTTCGCAGGCGTTGTTGAATGCGGTGGATAGAGATGCGTTGTCTGGATGGGGAGCACACGTATACATCATCGAGAAGGACAAGGTGACGAAGAGGTTACTGAAGGGTAGACAAGATTAGACGGGGTTTGGGGATGTGGATGGGCAAAGCAGAAGAAGAAGTACGGAGCATGGAAATTCTGGAAGTGCTCATTTTGAGTGTACAATTAGATAACAGCGTTTCTGGTCAATACATGGCAGATCGGCGTCAGGTGGAAACGAAGGAGACTTTTAACATCAATTGCTTTTCTTGGGACTACTTGAACTTTTGCTTGATACGTTGTGCATTGGGACTGCTCAAACTTGCTTGATACGTTGTGCATTGGGACCATTCGAACTTTCTTGATACTTTGTGCATTGGGACCACCTGGACTTGCTTGATACGTTGTGCATTTAAATCTATGTCTACTATGCAAAATGATGATGATACAATGTACACATTGTCCCCTATATATTATTCTACTCCTTCTTCGGTTTTGGCTCAGCGTAGCTCGTCTCAATATAAATCTGCCTCTCAGCAAATTTCAACACCTCATCAATCAAGCTACATTAAAGTCAGCAACATTCTACTTCATCAAGGGGTATTATAACTTACATAACAGGCGCACTAATAGCCAAGACAGCATACCACTCATTCATATTCAACGGCAGAATCGAAAACAGCGTCTGCAAGAACGGCGTATACAGCAGCGCAAAATGCAGAGCCATCGACAACGCAATCGCATAAACGAGCATCATATTCTCCCACAGCGGGAGGGTAAGCAGCGACTCGCTCGACGACAAGGCATTCATAGCATTGAGCATCTCAATGACGACCAAGATCGACAACGAGACAGTAGATGCGGACTTGGCCATATCATTCGAGAACATCTGGCATCCCAGATCCGCGAACTTCTCCGAGCACTGGTGGAAGTGCGTGAGCTGGTAGAAGCTGATCTGCGGGCCCTCAGGGTTATACATGAACCACCAGGCGTAGCCGGCGACGGTGGCGAGCCCGACGTAGATCCCGATCACCATGTAGCGGAAGAAGAGCCAGCCGCTGATGAGCGGCTCGTTGCGGCGGCGGGGCTTGCGCTTCATGATGTCGTGGTCGGGGGGGTTGAAGGAGAGGGCGGTGGCGGGGAGGCCGTCGGTGACGAGGTTGACCCAGAGGAGCTGGACGGGGATCAGGGCTTCGGGCATGCCGATGGCGGCGGTCAGGAAGATGGACACGACCTCGCCGATGTTGGACGAGATGAGATAGCGGATGAATTGCTGGGTGTTGTTGTAGATCGAACGGCCCTCCTCGATGGCCACCTCGATGGTTGCAAAGTTGTCGTCGGCCAAGACCATGTCGGAAGCCAATTTGGCGACGTCAGTTCCGGATCCCATGGCAACACCGATATCAGATTTCTTGAGAGCTGGGGCATCATTGACACCATCGCCAGTCATTGCCACAACCTCGCCATGAGCTTGGAGGAGCTCGACGAGCTTTAGCTTGTGGGTTGGTTCAACACGGGAGAACAATGAAGCCCTGTTAACAGCCTCCAGTTGTTCGCTTTCGCTAAGCTTCTCGAATTCGTGTCCAGAGTAGCTCTTTCCAGTCAGGTCCTCGTGAGGGCCAAAGACGCCAATTTGACGGCAGATGGTCTCAGCAGTGTTGCGGTTATCTCCAGTGATGACAATGACTCTGATACCAGCTTCCTTGCACTTCTTGATCGAGCCAGCAACCTCTGGTCGCGGGGGGTCCAACATGCCAACGAGTCCAACGAGAGTCAGGTTTTGCTCGAGCTTGAGATAATCTTCGGTAGTCTTGGCCTTCTTGAGAAGCGGGTTCGATTCGACATCTTCAACGCTTGCGAGAGCAATGACGCGAAGTCCACGGTTACCATAGTCAACAACCTCTTTCAGGAGTAGCTCAGAGAGTTTCTTAGTCAACTTGACCTTCTTGCCATTAGCGCCAAGGACGGCATGGGTGCAACGTTCGATGATAGCCTCAGGGGCTCCCTTAACCAACAGACGCTGAGAGTTCTTGTCGCCCACAAGGACAGACATACTCTTGCGGTCTCTCGAGAATTCATATGTTGCCAAACGAGGAGCTCTGCGTTCATACCAGGAGCTGGACTTGCTGAGCGGGTCTGCGAGTGCGGAGTTTCCGTTTTGGGCCTTCTTTGAGGACTCTGGGGTGCCAATCTTCTCGACCAGAACACGAAGAGCGCCCTCGGTGGGCTCACCGACGCTAGAGTAGATGCCAGTCTTGTCGTCCAGTGCGAGTTGAGCATCGTTACACAAAGCAGATATTTCAGCGATTTGCTCCACGGTGTAGGATGTGGCAGCAAGGTCAGTAACCTGAGTCCCCTGGAAACGGACTTTACCCTCTGGGGAGAAAGTCGTGCCTTCAACGTCAAACTCCTCGAGGTCGCTGCCGGATTCATTCAGATAGACTAATTTGTTGACGCTCATCTGGTTGGTGGTCAGAGTACCGGTCTTGTCGGAGCAGATGACGCTGCAGCTACCGAGAGTCTCGACGGATGGGAGACTGCGGACAACAGCGTTCTTGGCAGCCATCTTGCGGGTTCCAAGGGCCAAACAGGTGGTGATAACAACGGCGAGACCTTCGGGAATTGCTGCAACTCCCAGGGATACGGCAATCTTCAGGTAGTAGATGGCACCCTTGGTCCAGCCACCATGCGAGGGGTCGTTGAAGTGGCGGATATTGATAGCCCAAACAAGGATACAGATGACGGTAATAACCTTTGCCAGCGAGTCTCCAAAATCATTGAGCTTCTCCTTCAATGGTGTAGGTGCGGAAATCTGTGCGGTGATGCTCTCGTGGATGTCTCCGATGGCGGTCGACAGGCCGGTCAAAACAACGACTGCGGTAGCGTGGCCAGTGACAACAGTTGTTCCAGAGAAGAGCATGTTGATTTGATCCTGCTTGACAGCATTCTCCACCTTGACAGCCGTAACATCCTTGCCCACGCTCTCACTTTCTCCAGTCAGGATAGCTTGGTCCACGGAAAAGCTGTTGCTCTGGATGGCGATGACTCTGCAGTCTGCAGGTATCCTGTCTCCAACGGCGATTGTGATGATGTCTCCGGGAACCAGCTCGTCCGCCTTGACGCGAGCAACATGGCCATTTCGGACAACCTTAGCTTCGTTCGCAGAGTATTCTTGTAGTGCAGCAATGGCTTTTTCGGCGCTGCTCTCTTGGGAGACACCGACGACGGCGTTTAGGATAAGGATAGTGAGGATCTTCAAGAATGTTAGCAATTGTTAAGCAGCCACTGGAATAATACACTGACGACTGCGGGGTCCACAAAAGCTGTCCAGCCACCTCCATCTTCCAAAAGGGCGAGGATAAATGATACAGCAGCGGAACCGAGAAGGATAATGACGAGCTGGTCTTTGAATTGCTCTAGAATAAGCTCCCAAACCGGGGTCGGGGGTTCCTCGGGAATAGCTATGTACAACGTCAACAACTGGTCTGAACCATTATATCCAGGTCAGGGAAACTTACCATTGCTCCCGTATTTCGCTCTGGACGCAATTACCTGCGCATCATCGAGTCCCTTATGCTCCTGCACAGAAAAATGCTTGAGAACCTGTCCCGTAGACTGGGCGAATGCGTTCTCCATGGCGTGGGGGTCGGTAGTCCAAAGTCTGGTGGATGAAATTCTTATCGAGCCAGGGGCAGCAGTAGCAGCAACGTCACGGACGTTGAATTAAATCAAAGCAATCATGTACGAAAGCGTAGATGTGTCAATGAGAGTTCTCTACAGTTGTTGACGGTGGGATTTCTCTAGGGAATCAGGAACGGGAAGGAATGGCCAGATTTACAGGAACGTCCGGGCTGCTTACAATAGCTTAGAAAATGTTCCTCGATAACAACACGTTGCGGTTCTACGGTAGTTCAACGTTCCTCCACACGCGAACCGGGATCACTAGCAGCGCCGGCGGTTTGGACCGGCCAAGTTTATTTTGGCTCGGCTTTTTTTTTTGGAGAAGTTAGTCATGTGACTAACTAGTGTTTGGTAGCTAAGGAGTTGAGAGGGGAGGGGAGTGGAGAGGAGAATTCCACGGAAATACAGGCTTTGGATTTTAACCACAGTTATTGTTATATGATATAACAGTATGGACAGCCTTATAGTAATTTATATTCATCTCCTTCATATTACACTTGTCTAAGAATAGTAGAGTAGATAGAGTAGATCGAGTAGAGTACCCTATGCTCCACCAGCAACCAGCTAGTCCTCCGCCGGGGCCATCCCAAGGCCCTTCCTTTTCCCATCGACAGCCAGCATTCGATGACGAGCGAGAGAGGGATCTTCTCCATACTTTGTACAGTACAGTACAGCATGCACTCTATCCCTCTTCAGCCAAGGACTGAGGCTATTTGAGAACGACGCGGCAAATATGCAGCATGTGTTTTAGGGCGTGGTGGCGGCGGCCCAATTCGAGAGTGCGTGCGCCTCATTTTTTACGTGAGGCCGGCACCAGTGAGTGAGGGAATTCCCCCTCCACAGAGCGCATACCAGCGCATAGCATACTAGAGTATCAGGATCGATCCCACTTCCAGGCAGCCGCCCGCCACCTTTGGCCACCCGAAACCCATGGAATATTTCTATTCTCGGATATGAGTGGTGTTTGATGGTGCTGATGGTGCTGATGGTGTTAAGGATGTTAATAGTGCATACTTCGTGCAGTACTTCATGCAGCAGAGTACAGATCCCGTATCATCCTGGGAAAAAGGGCTTGAATAAAACTGGATAGGGATCCAACATCAACTATCCAACATCTCAAGTACTTACTGTAAGCAGTTTGTATGTAGTCCCTCCCTCAGCGGACTGGCCGGCTCGTAGCCGTGAAAGAGGGGTACTCTACTCGGCGCGTACCACACATACAAATTACTGGTACCTATCTGTGCTCAAATCTCCACTCACTTATGGTAAACAACTGTCTCCTGATAGTTGGCATATTTTCAAGCCAATTATGTGGGGATCTGCGGGCATCATACGATGTATTCGTCTTCGACTTTCGGCGGTGCTCTCTCTCACAAGGGAAGAGACTGACGCCGTCGCCGCTGACCGGTGTGCTGTGGACGGTATCTGTTTTTCTACAGTGAGAGATATTTACGCTTTATGAGATGCTCAACATACATACGTACATACATATATATATGCCTCGTAGCCTCCGCCTATTACACGATCTGCAACTGTGGAAACATGCATGTGAAATTCATTTGTGAAGTAAACAAGTTGCTGCGTGTCTGTCGCCGTCGCTTAACTCTCTTTTGTCTTATCTGCCTTGTGATTTTGGTGGCTGTCGATGGTTGTGAGGCTGTGTAAATATATTAGATTATATAAGACGCCCACCAGACAACAACAATAACAACAACAACAACAAAGTAGTGAGGTGGAGGTTATGTATACGGCTGTAGAGGACTGTGGTTGGCTTCACTGAGTTGGTACACTGTAATGACATAAGAGACGTGGATACACCAGCTATTAGACTACTATAGTATACGCAGCATCCCCTAACAAAAGTCACTCTTTGTCCATCTAATAGGGCGTCGCCGCGTCCAGTTTATTCGCCTCATTAACTCCCTAAACTCCCCAAAAGTAGTCCACTGCCCCTCCAATAATACTCTTTATTACTCTTTATTACCCTTTAATAGTCCTCAATAGTCCTCAATAGTCTAATCAGCCTGCCCGCGTCGTTGTTTATGCTTCCCCTAACTTTCCCACTCTAAAAAGTTCCCACCACCACACCCCTCTCGCATCACCACTCACCCACCACTCAATCTGGGCTCTCTCAACTCATTCGCTTAGGACCACCTCGCACCATCGCTGCCCCGGAACCTCATTCAATCTCAGCCCGCCAACTTCTTACAACTTCCACATCAAACTTCCATTACTTACTACCATCCTGAATCACGCGCATTCTGCAATTTCAATACTTCCTCTTCACATCTACCAACCTCACATCACATAAACACCTTCATCGCAACCATGGCCACCGAAGTAAGTTCTTCCTCCTACCCACTACACGTCATCACGTCAGGTCAAGGCCGGTGTCTCAGCACAATAGACAGCCTCATGTACCGCGTCGACCCCTCTCATACCTCCTCAATATCATCCTCTTGATCAGAATGCTGACCTGTACTTTCCGTGACAGCGCGAAAGGTATGAAACTACACCCCAAACATGCGCCCGAAAGTGATCTTGTTTGCAATATCCAAACACAAATAACGACACCGCACCGGATGGGCGTGGTATTACTGTGCACAGATCAGTCCGCTAACATCTCTGTGCGACCTTTAGCAAGACATTCCTCGCGAGGCTGTGCGAGCAGGCTGAGAGATACGATGAGATGGTTACATACATGAAGGAGGTCGCCAAGGTATGAGGCTCAGTTCTTGGGTGTCGCTGGGGGTTCGCCCCAGGTTGGATCTGAACATCGACTGACGTGTTTGTGCGATAGCTTGGTGGAGAGCTCAGCGTTGACGAGCGCAACCTTCTGTCCGTTGCCTACAAGAACGTCGTGGGTACCAGACGTGCCTCGTGGCGCATCATCTCCTCGATCGAGCAGAAGGAGGAGTCCAAGGGAACCGAGAAGCACGTTTCCACCATCCGCGATTACCGCCAGAAGATCGAGACCGAGCTCGAGAAGGTCTGCCAGGATGTCCTTGACGTCCTTGATGAGTCCTTGATCCCCAAGGCCGAGTCCGGAGAGTCCAAGGTCTTCTACCACAAGATGTACGTTATCGCCAATCTTGTGTTATATACACCCCGCACGATCCGATTCTGACTGTTTTGTTTTATAGGAAGGGTGATTACCACCGCTACCTGGCCGAGTTCGCCTCGGGAGAGAAGCGCAAGGGTGCTGCCACTGCCGCACACGAGGCTTACAAGGTACGGTTCCCATACTCGTACAGACACGATCTGAAACTAACATCTCCCATAGAACGCCACCGACGTTGCCCAGACTGAGCTCACCCCCACCCACCCCATCCGCCTGGGTCTCGCCCTCAACTTCTCGGTCTTCTACTACGAGATCCTGAACTCGCCCGACCGCGCGTGCCACCTGGCCAAGCAGGCCTTCGACGACGCCATCGCCGAGCTCGACTCTCTCTCCGAGGAGTCCTACCGCGACAGCACCCTGATCATGCAGCTCCTCCGCGACAACCTGACGCTGTGGACCTCCTCCGACAGCGGCGAGGCCGAGGCCGCACCAGCCGCCGAGGCAAAGGAGGCCGAGAAGGCACCTGAGGCCGCCGCCGAGGCCCCCAAGGAGGCTGAGGCGGTCGCCACCGAGACTGCCCCAGCTGCTGAGTCTTAAATCTTGTCGTCTCACGAGGCCCCGTTCCGCAACTTCCCCCCTGCACACAGTCCGTCATCAGTGTCTTAATCTAGTCAGCGCGAGCATTTGATGCGGATCTGAGGCGGCGGGGGGCGTTTGCTGCGAACGTACGAAATACATGCGATTTGCGAATACACCATCCTGCGATCCTTGATATCATGGTTTTTCTCCTTTTTCCCTCTCTCTGCCCAACGTCCCCCCCCACTTCCCTGCCCCTTTGCGAAATGTTATTTTTGTTTTGCCCTGTTTAACACGGTTTCTCTCACACCAACAACGCGGGTTTTTGTCGATGGAAAAGGCGACGGCTCTTCCGGAAACTCCTTTCGGCGTCCTTTGATGAGATTTCGGATGCGGTAACTCACACAAATGGATGGTTATAATCTGCCCAGGGGATTGCTTTGATGAATGGTGGTGCTCAGCGGGGACGGGTATCTTCGATACTTCAATCCTGCTGGGAACTATCCTGAATCAACCTTTGTTGCGTTTGCCATAGCGGGTAGTCTGTCAAACTGTTACTTTACCTTTTGTGTTTATCGGAGCCCGTCTGGAGGAGTGGGTGTGGGGTGGGCAATGAAATTCACAAAACATATACCACATGCCATTTGCAATATGTTGTTCGTTCTCGTGACTATGATTGTGATTGCAATGTGACTTGATTCCTCTCGCCAGTACAATCTGGTATCATTATGGTATTAGAGTACAGCGAACTCCTCCTCTATTAACCCTTCACCCAATCCATCCAATCCATCCAAACCCAACTATTACACCCCTAACCCGACCAAACTCCCTGCCCATAATAGAGCAAACACCATCATACCAACTCAATACACCCCACCCGCTCAAAGTACACTCAAACACTCAAACAACCACCCCCCATCTCGCCATTAGCCTCCCCCCTCCCCTTCTGCCTCCCCAACAACTCCGCCGCCCTCTCCAACCTCGCCTCCTTCTCATCTCCCCTCCTCCTCTCCCCCCCTTCACTCTCCGTCTCCCTCTCAACATCCCAACTCCACTCCTCCACCACCTTCCTCCCCCCCTCCATCCCCTTCTCACTCAACGCATACATCCTCGTCCCCTCCCTGTCCTCCTCATCCATCACGGCCCAATTCCCACCCCCAATCCCAATCCCAATCCCGTTCCCCGATTTCCCAAACTTGACACCGCCGCTGCCCTTCCCAGTCCAGAGCTTCCCACGGATCCGCTTCTCGAGACGGCGCCAGGTTCCTTGGGGGGCGGGGAGGGGGGGGGTGGGGTGCTGAGAGGTGGCAAGGTGGACTTCGTGAAGCCAGATTAGGATGCGCCGCGTTGAGGGGGAGGTGGAGGGGGGTATTGGGGGGTATGGTTGGGGGTAGGTTGGGGAAGGGGAGTCGGGGGTTGGTGTTGGGGAGTTGGCCATTTTGGTGGTGATGCTGGGCCCGGTGGTGGTGGTGATGTTTGGGTTGGCGTCTGGTTGTCCTTCTTGTGGGCGAGAGGGTCTTGGTTTGGTGTATTGGCTTGGTGAGGTGCGAGAGCGTGTTGATGTGTATATATCGACGCCGGCGACAAGTTGATCATGTGAGAACAACAGCGGATGTAGCGGTGAAGGCGTGAAGTTGACTTGGTGAAGTTATCCTCAGTCAGCCAAAGCAGTGCCGAGTTATCCAATTCACCAACCCGCCCCCCAAGTTGTAGCTTCCAACTAATCGGCGTCCTAGCTCAGCGGCGACAAAGCCATTGAAAAAAGTTGAAATTCAAGAGTCGACTCTCACGAAAATGAGCTGATAACAAGAAGCGCCACCTTGATCGATGAACGAACGATGGTAAACCCGATGATGAACAAAGTTTAAAACCCCCCTCCCAGGTGAATCTCTCTCAGGACACGATTAGAAATTTCGTTTGTCGTTGTACCTCTTTTGCGTCCGTGGGCTCTTTTTCTCTCCCTCCTTGCCTCAGCGGCTTGGTCAAATTCGGAAAGAGAAGGTCTCAGCGGAACCGAGGTGTCATTATTTCCGTTTGTTCCCATGAAAGAAAAAAAATCGAGGAACTTGATTTAATCCGATTTGTTTCTTTCTTGCAGTGGGTGCCCGCCAACAGGGTCCAGATTGGGGGGACTCGGGCGAGGGATCACTGCTGGTGAGGTCGGGGTATTTATTTTGGGGGGGGGGGGGCAAGTCGAATGTTGAAGATCGCGGGAAGCTGCTACCATGAAGAAGCACGTGGCTTGGCTCTTGGTGTTACCTCACAATATTGGGACGGGAACGCCATAAGTGGGTGTGGTTTTCTCTCTTTCCACCTTACTCGCCTCTCTATCAATAACTTGACATGTTTATTTCTTCTACAATTACATTACATTGGCTGGGAAAACACTATAAACTTGTCACGTGGCGATATTTCTGTTTACATTTTCTCACCTGAGAACAATTTCGGGGTCTACCACACACAACGTGATTGGATCAGTTAAACCTTAATACAGATGTCGCATGCTTCATTAAAACCAAAAATGCCCCCTTCCTACCAGTCAATCCTTGCGACCTCAACCCTTTGTACAACCATAGTATCCCCCGAAACTCCATCCCAAAGCAACCATGGACATATCAAATTCGTTGCAACATAAACGGCATCGGCCTCAGCGTTGAGGCCACTCAACCCCCACCAACAGTGATCTCAGCCGTATAATCCCTCCGAATTGTCAGCTCTTCCAGACCCTCTTGCTTCTCGATAACAAGCCCCTTTTCATTCGCCAAATGTAGCAGGCAAATGAAACAGTAGCTCGTCGAGATGTCGCTCATGGCCTGCTTTGGGTATACTGTTTGCAGGTTTTGCATCACATTGGTGAACTGCAGAACCTCGTCCGGTTTCTCCTCGGTTTCGGGTCCTGGTGTAGGCAGTCGACCTGATGCGTCTGGTGGTGCCTCCTATTTACAGTTAGATTTTGAGATGCAAGGGGAAAGGTTGAACATACCGAATGAAGGCCTTTGACACCCATACCCTTCCACAGCTCCTCCTTCAGCCGCCTAACATCCACTTTCTTAGCGACACGGGCATATTGCACATATTCTGGCCGCAATCTTCGACTCTGGGTCACAAGCTGCGTTCCAAATGCGCCTTCTCCTTCAGTCCCCTGACTACCCATCATTCCACCGCCTAGGAGATTATTGATGCCAGCCATTCCTCCCTCGTTACCATTCCCATCTGGGCCTGGTGAAAAGTGGTCTCTCGCATCAGCAAATTCATCGTCATCATCCATACCGCCCATTGGCATTCCATCGTCCTGGAAGAAATTTGCGTCATAGTCGCCCTTTGGAGCCTCCTCGTCGGCTCCAGCAATAATAGGGTCTTCTTTCTGTGCCCAGAAAGCTTCGTCCATCTCGCCTTCAGGCACATCCTCTTCCTTCTTAATAGCCTGTCCAAAGCTGCCGAGCTTGTTACCAATCCCAGGTCGACGAGAGCCCATCTGTGCTTTGGGCTTGAGGAAGAGGCGTAAGAGCTGCTTTGAGGAGAAGTGCTTGTCGTCGGGGAGGAGGTTCCGGGTCTTCGATTTCCAATCCTTCTTAGGCATGGAAATGACGGTGTTGGAGCTGGCAGGCGTATATATCGATTCGGCAAGGCTTTGGTCCAGTGTTGACACAAAGTCAATTTCGAACGGTTCCTTTTCCTTGCGAGCTTTGGGGGCAGTAACTGCCTTGGCGGAGTCCTTGATCTTTCTTATACGCCAATGCTCTGGGCCAGCCCAGTTCTTTTGGAGGGCCTGGTCGAAATAGCTCAGGATGTCTTCGTGGCCTCCTTCCATGCCGCCTTTTGAGCGGTTGAGAGATACAATGAATTCTCCACTTTCCGGATCAAAGGTTCCTGCTCCGTCTTCGCCATCAGCTCCTTCCCCTTCGCCGTTGATTCCATTATCATGGACTCGAAGTTGGGGCTCTATAGCAGCATCTCTAGCCCATGCCTCGCCACCTTCACCGAAACCTGCATCGGGCATATCAAAGTTGCCAAGCAGTCCGTCATCATCGTCATCAAACCCAGCTGGGTTGTCATCGTCGAGGAAGACGCCGGAAGTATCGCCAATTTCACCTGCTTCGGCAGTCTTTTCACGATCTTGACGCCAATCGTCAGGTGCTTTCAGGAATGGAATGTCCATCGACCCAGAAGGATCGCCGAGGTCGAAGTTCTTCAGAGAGGGGCAAATATCTTGCTCCTCAAGGCGATCAAGGTCTGGGAAGAATCTAGCCCCCAAGGAAGCGATGTCAATCTCAGCATCTTCCTCGTCGTCCTCTAGCTTGGCAGTGTCGTCTAGCAACGAACTTGGCTCTGGTGTCTCCTCCTCCTCTTCCTCCTCGATGGTGTCGCCTTTCCTTTGCCTTCCTCTGCCCTCCGCAGATGCATCTCCTGCATCATCGCTGCTGTCAAAAACAATGCGGCCCTGGGAGTCGATAGACAAGTGGTTAAGAAGTAACCCCTTGGCACCTCCCTCATCAAAGTCGGCTGACGCCTTCTTGAACAGCGGATCAACAGAGAACTCAAGCTCAAACTTCTTCAGTTGTAGTGGAGCAAACGACGGCGCTAATGTGGCTTCCGAGGACCTCTGGGCCTTCTTCTTTGGCTTCCTCCTCACTGTCCCATCTTCATCTTCGACTTCTTCCTCGCTCTCTTCCCCTTCTTCTCCTTCTGCTCCATCTCGCTTCTTCTTGTTGTTTCCGCTATCAGCAAGACCACTTAATAGCTTTCCGGTTTCCGTAGCTACACTGTCGACTCGGCTTGTATAGATCTTGACGCAGCCGTCCAGCGTGCAACTGGCCTTCTGGAAATTCACACCATTCCCCTCTTTGAGCAGCGTCATATCATGGAAGTAATCGATGAGAGCAAAGTTCCAGGAGTTGGTCGCATTGATTTTGTTGTCTGTAGCCATCTTCATCCATTCCTCAAAGTTCGCAAGTATAGGCACCCTCTTCATAGGCGTAACTGCTGTTCCACCAACAGTGATCAAATCTTCATCCATATCGTTTTCTTTGCCACGATTCGCTGTCCGCCGGGCGGGCGTCCTTGGATTCGAAGAGGGCGATGCGCTATTTGCGCGCTCGTAGGTGCTAAGTTTCCGCATTGGTGATGCTGCGGCCTTGATCTGGTTCATTTGAATATCATGGAGCGCATGTCTCGACTGCAATCTCTTCGCTTTTTCCTGTGCATCATCATTTAGAGGAATTCTAATAAACCGCCCTGTTAGTATGCGATTTATTTGATCTGTTGGTATGGTAATCCGTACTTGACCTGCGACTTGAACGGGGTTGCTGGTGCCCCGCTTGATACATTTCTGCTACCAGCAGTTCTGGGCTGCTGAGCGACTCGAGGCATGTTGAGTTATAGCCCGCAATATGCGCACAATATATGTCGTATCTGTGTCGAATTTCGTTGTCGCTGGTAGTTCCTGCCGCAATCCCACGATCGCGACCCTGCAATCTGAGTAAACAATAAACACGCGGAGCTTGGTGTATCACGTGACTTTGAGGTTGCTTTTGGTTAAAGTTGGGGTACAGGTCCCGATAAGGGAACAGGACCCGCGGGGGGCGATTGGAAGGTACTAACGTCGTCATCTAACCTGCATCCCCCGAGTTTCTGGGCATTTGTGTGGCTGTGCAGCTTGAAGTCGCGACACTCATATGAGCAATACTATGATTCTATAGTTTACAGCTCGCTCTTGTTAAACTATATCCATATTTGCCACTTGCACAATCGCAATGCTATAAACCGAGTCGCAAACAATGCAATGCTCTAGGATACAATGCTTAGTCCCGGGTTAATGGCGACATCGACGCAACATCGAAGGGCCAGGGCCAAGTTCTCTTTCCGCTCGTTTTATATATCGACTCTATTGCTTTGCGCCTTTGCTTTGATTAGTCTGGTTGCGACCCAGGTTGCCCGATACAAGTATGGCGACCAGTATGGGAGTGTCCAGCGACGTGCAGTGGCGGAACTCGACGTCAACAGGTTGCTCAAGAGAGATGAAGAGGTCAGTCATGGTGATAGGCCCTGGAGAACGATTGCTAACATCAGCTCTGCAGTGTCGGCTCGTCCATTTCGCAGACGACAAATGCGCCTTCATAAAAGCAAACTGTCCGGACGAAGAAGCAGGCCTCCTGTCTTACCTATCCCTCTACTACTGCGCTCTTCCAAATGCGCAACCCGTCGCGTTCACAATACTCGTTCTGTGGATTGGGCTACTGTTCACGACGATCGGTATTGCTGCGAGCGACTTCTTTTGTATAAATCTCAGCACGATTGCCACGATTCTGGGTATGAGCCAGAGTATGGCTGGTGTTACTTTCTTGGCTTTTGGAAACGGCAGCCCGGATGTGTTCTCGACATTTGCGGCAATGAGCACTCACAGTGGGAGTATGGCTGTAGGAGAACTGATTGGCGCCGCTGGATTTATCTCCGGGGTTGTTGCGGGGTCAATGGCCTTGGTCAGAGAGTTTAAGGTTGGAAAGAAGAGCTTCGTTCGCGATGTCGGCTTCTTTATTGTGGCTGCGAGTTTCAGCATGGTTATGTTGGCCGATGGTGTCCTGTACTTGTGGGAGTGTTGCGTTATGATCGGTTTCTACGTATTTTACGTGGCGGTGGTTGTGACATGGCATTGGTATCTCCAGCGACAACGAAGGAAGAGAGAGCGCATTGCCCTTTCACGGGGCCATTATCAAGGGCCAGCATTTGCGGAGATAGAAGTGCTGATAGAAGATCACGAAGATGAAGATGGTGAAGAAGGTGGAGGGGCCCTTGGACGGTCAACTGAAGACTTTGCGGACTTGGAAAGGAGTCTCCACGACCGATCGCCCAATACCGAACGAGACTCCGATGATGATAGCGATGGTGAAGGAGAGAGGGGGAGGATGTTTGCTACAGAAGTGAGCAACAGCATGCGGGTTCTGCGTCCAAGGGGCGGTAGAAGGAACACGATGACTCCAATCAGACCCAGTCTCATCGGAGCAATGGAGTTTCGTTCGGTTTTGTCTTCACTTCAAAAAGCGAGGGGTACTTCCGAACACCAAATACGACTTCGACAGTATTCAGATGATCGGGTGCCATCCTCCAACCCATCTTTCGACCGAGGAACTGTTCAGTCCAATCCGTCTGAGCAGGGTACTGTTATCGTCACTGATGCAGACCACCCGTCAGGTTCAGCGGATTTGATCGAACCTTATTCTCCAACGGTGGCATCCTCCGCGGATGATGTCAATAAGAACCCGAGGAATCCTAGTCATTATTTTGCCGCAGAAGCCCCAGGCGGCGGTATTGATGGTTCAGGGCCTAGCGACCCTCGGTATCTGGCCCCAATAAACACCGCCGGAGGACCAGACAGAAACCAGCAGTTTCCAAAAACTGGTGACGCCATACCGCCCTCGCCAGTAATTTCAGTATCGTCTCCGCCGATTCCTCGTGAGCCCGAAGACACCAGTCCACCGCTTCAAGCTGGGCAACAAAATGAGCATGGCTTAGCACCACCCGCACCAGATTTTTTTGGCGGTCACCAGTTGAAACCCGACTTCTTTCAAGCAGCAGCGACCGTAAACCCCTCGCCGGTTTATTCTCCCCGAACTAAGGGACCTAGTCGGCCAAGGATACGTGTTCCCGATTCAAGAGACAGCTCCAGAACGCGCTCGTTATCACCGGTATATGCATTCCCTGCGTATACGGACTCACCGCGGCCAATGTCTCCTCCACAGCTTATTTCTCCCCCACAAGCAAGGCCCGAATCGGGAACTCTAAGTCCCCCAGGGACGCCTGGTGGACGATCATTCTACGGACAGGTCCCCGGAAGGCTTGTCAGGTGGTGGCCATATCGCTACCTTCCTGCCCCACAAGTTATCCGCGCTTCTTTATTTCCTACGTTTGAGAACTGGGAAGGCAAGAGTTTCTGGGATAAAATTTTGAGCGTGGTCTCTGCACCAAGTATCTTCTTACTGGCTGTGACACTGCCGGTCGTAGAGAGTGAACTAAAAGAGGATGATGAAGAGCTTGAACTGGAGAATGCTCGAGAACGCCAATCAAGGTCTCGAAGTGCGACGGTCCAGGGGCCTCCCGGGGAGGCTCCTTATACAGACAATGAAGTCGCACCAGAATGGGCCAACTATCGCCGCAGTTCTATCCGCAATTCTGTCCTGCTTACTCCTGGAGTGGAGCAAAACGTTCGTGGACTTGCCGGACATGGGAACGCAGCTAGCATAGCCATCGCAACTGAGGACATCTATCACGGCAACCCTCACTCTGAGCCGCTACCGCCAAAGAACGTCAATCCGGCCCAAGATTACTTTGCTATGCAGGCTGAGTCAGCCCTGCCAGAGCCTGCCGATTGGAATAGGTGGCTTGTTGTGGTTCAGATATTCACCGCGCCTGTGTTTGTCTCCCTTGTTCTATGGGGTAACTTGTACCATGACGACCTGCAGCCGAAACCCCTTTTCATGATGATTTTGTATGGCTTGATTGGGTCCCTAGTTACCCTTGCTATCCTGACTGTCACAACAAGACATGATAGGATGCCAAAATATAGGCACCTATTTTGCTTTCTTGGATTCATTGTCAGCATTGCCTGGATCTCCACGATTGCCAACGAAGTCGTAGGGGTGCTGAAAGCCTTCGGCGTCATCGTTGGTATCTCCGATGCCATTCTTGGACTCACGATATTCGCTGTTGGAAATTCCTTAGGCGACCTTGTCGCAGACATCACTGTTGCGCGTCTTGGATATCCCGTCATGGCGCTCTCCGCGTGTTTTGGTGGCCCGATGCTCAACATTCTCTTAGGAATTGGTGGGAGTGGACTTTATATGACGCTCACGGAGGCCAACCACAAACATGAAAAGCATCCAGGGCGGCCGATGAAGTACAAGCCCTACGTGATTGATATCAGTCCGACACTTCTGATTTCGGCTGTCTCACTGCTTATTACGCTCGTGGCATTATTGATCCTCGTGCCGCTCAACAAATGGATGATGACTAGGAAGATTGGATATGGATTGATCACGTTGTGGGCGGTTAGCACAGTTGCCAATCTGATCGTAGAAATAACGGGGGTTTGGGGGGATCATACATCGTTGTGATCGGTTGGTTAGTCGTTTGTGTTACTGTAGATACCCAGCCATATCATCTAATTTAAGGGCATATCGGCTCTAATGTGAGTTTATATCGATTTCAACGTATTGTCTGTTGACTGTAAATGATGTAACTGGTGGACAATCTCTCAACCTAGCCCCGGGGTTCGTAGCCCGAAGCTTCAACCACCATAATCACCAAGTCAAAAATCTTACTTCTACGGTCAGGAGGCTTTATAATTCAATGACACTGAGTTTGTGGCTTGGATAATGTAGACCCTATGCCGTTTGAAAAGCAATCAACATATTTAAATTCATTATAGCACATAGCACTGAAGTCTATTGTTGTTTACATGCTTCTTTCCAGTCTGAAGTCGCCGCTTCACTCTGATCACCGTAGATTTGTATAACCCTCGAGTCTCCTTGGTAGATCTATCACTTCCTGCATCCTCAATTCCTCCCCAAGACATCCTCTCCACCGTATGAGTGTAATCCCAACCAGCGATCCCTCTACTTCTTCAACTCAGTCTTGGCCTTCTCAACCAACTCGCCCAACTTCTTGCTCTCAGCCGGAGCATCAATCTTTGACAGCTCGCCCTTCTTGGCCATCTCCTCCTTCCCGCCCCAGTGGTGGTAGTTCAGGTAGCGGTATCCTTGTGTTAACTGCGACCCCTCGTTGATGAAGTGGCACGCGAAGAGGAGGTAGTTAGCCGGCGAGACGGCGAGGGAGTAGCGCATGAATGTCGCAGAGTAGATGCAAAGAGCAGCGGTCATCTGGCCCGAGATACTTGTTGGGAGTCAGTCTTGGATCGGCGGGACGACCGGAGTCGGGGAGCAGTCAAGAGGGGATTGAAATCGCACGGGGTCATGCAGGGGGAAACGTACAGCTCGGGTGACTTCTGTGTGTCCATCACGGCCGCGATGGGGATACCGAAGTTGGACACTGGGCCCCAGAAATCTGTAGTGGAGATATCATGTCAGTTTTCATGGTGAATCACAACTGCCTCCGCATATCGGAATCGCGGATTGGGCTCCCTGGGAACCGAATTGAGGGCACTTACGTGTCGAACACACATAGTTGAGCATGGGGTGTGCCCTTATTTTGGCGTTGATCGCTTTGACAAAGGCGGCCATCTTGAAGATTGTTGGGTGAGTGATGTGCAACTGTTTTCAGGACATTTCAGATAAGGTTGGGAAATCGGTTGGAGCGGCCGGGTTACATCGGGTCACGTGCTTCATACATTTTACCCCAAAGAAGTCAATCGATTAGCAAAATAGGTAATTAACATCACTGCTTAAAAGAAATATGGTCATATAACGTATGGAATTGTCGCTCTCTATGCTACAACTTTTCCATTGGTATGCGAAGCCGGTACGCCGCCCCTTTTGACGCCTTATATCACTTGAACTACTATCATCCCTCCACACCAAGTCACAAAGCCTGATATCGTGATGCAATCTCTCTTTAATTGCCCCTGGGTATCTACCTTCCACGACCAAATCCTGGCGGTGCTCCTGGTGGAGCGAATCCTGGAGGAGGTTGGAAACCTGCCGGAGGTGCCCCTCCGAAACCTTGTGGTGGGGGGAAACCGCCTGGGAATCCAGGAGGCGCGCCTATAACAAATTGATTAGTTACCATCTTGGTCTCGTGAAATCCAATGCATACCTCTTCCAGCAAACGGCGGCGCTCCGCCAAATCCTCCAAGTCCAGGAGGCGGTCCTCCAACACCAGCAGCAGGACCCTGTAAAGTAAATTAGCGGCAATCGTATATGGCGTATCAATTAAACGTACAGTGAGTCCAACTGGGAGGCCGCGGCCCGCTGGTCTAGCAATACCAGGGCCAGCAGCCATTGCCGCAGAGGCTCCTCCTGGCGCGCTTGTTCCAAGTCTTGCTGAGGGATCGGCTGGTGGCGGGGACTCCACAGATAGGGAAATGATGTGGGCACCTCTCACGATGGTGAGGCCGAGGGTGCGCTTCTCTTCGTTCTCGACGAGTGGTGCAGAGGAGCCTGCCGCGCCGGGGGCGGCGCTGGGCTTGGTTGCCTTGCGCTTGACACGTCTGAACTCTTCGGTATCGGCAAGGACGAGGTTCATGTGCTGCGACGCCGTCAGTATTTCGTTCCCAATTCATCCCAGCTGCGAAAACGGACCTTATCGAAAGCCAGCATCTGTCCAATCATCTGGCGACCGTCGTTCATGGTCACCCTCATCCGGTAGTTGATCTATATGGAATCAGCTTCTCTTCCTTCTGTCGTCTCTGGTACACGGTATGCCCCAGGCGCGTCCATAGGTATCTACTTACGAGGCCGGCCTATGATGGGATATAAGTTAGCCTATCCTGTCAATAACACCCATTAATCGAATGTCGGGAGGGGGCAACTCACCATCTTTCCCTGCTTGTTCGCCATCTTGTATGAGTAGCGCGTTAAGCAACTTCTCTTATTGTTTCAAAGATTGTGTATTTGAAGTAGTAATAACTTCAATATCACGTCTAGAGCTCTGTTACAAGCCTCTAATCGCGAATTTGATGGTTGATACAGTCGCCTTGGCCCGCTGCGGCTCTGCTAGCTCCAGCTCAAATCTCCATTTTACGCTAGTCCGCGTTCGTCACTAGTGTCATCCCGGACTAAAATCTTTAGGGTTTGCGAAGCGATTTACCCTCCGCGAACTTCTCAATATCGAAATTCCTCATTCAACGCCCAACGACAACCCAGGAATCAACCCCCAACGACATTCAAGATGGTATGATTGATAGATCTATGTATAATCATCGGCATACTGATTCAATATGACAGGCCGAAAAGACCGAGAACCCCATGAAGGATCTTCGTATCCAGAAGCTCGTCCTCAACATCTCCGTCGGAGAGTCTGGTGACAGACTTACTCGTGCCGCAAAGGTGCTCGAGCAGCTTTCTGGTCAAACCCCGGTTTACAGTACGTTCTGTCCTCTTTCCCTTGAAATTGCGATTCCAAGGGTCTCATCCACCAATTCTTAAACTTTTCACTAACAAAATCGCAACAGGCAAGGCCCGCTACACCGTCCGTACCTTCGGTATCCGTCGTAACGAGAAGATCTCCGTCCACGTCACCATCCGTGGCCCCAAGGCTGAGGAGATCCTCGAGCGTGGCCTCAAGGTCAAGGAGTACGAGCTCCGCAAGCGCAACTTCTCCGAGACCGGTAACTTCGGCTTCGGTATCAGCGAGCACATCGATCTCGGTATCAAGTACGACCCCGGAATCGGTATCTACGGAATGGACTTCTACGTCTGCATGAGCCGCCGTGGTGAGCGCGTCGCCAAGCGCCGCCGTGCCCGCAGCTCCGTCGGTGCCTCCCACAAGATCCGCAAGGACGAGATCGTCAAATGGTACAAGCAGAGGTTCGAGGGAATTGTCAGGTAAATTGCCTGCGGTTACAACGAATGGATGGGCGTTTTTTGAGACACAATGGGTGTGATGGGATGGCAAAATGGGATTAGGATGTACTTCGCGATACATTTGGCAGTCATAGGACTGTTCGGCTTGTGCTCGAAAGAGTCTTGCTGCGGCGTTAAGCCCGACCGGCTTCGTGCCGGCTCAACCATTGTTGAATCTGAAATTGTTCCTCGTGCTTATGTATTCACCATTGATGCTTGCTATGGGGGCTTTGAAAATTAAATTCCTGGTTTATAGGAATAATGACGGTGTCGGCGTTTGCTATACAACTTCAGATCAAGAATAAACAAAAAATTGTTCACTCATTGTCCCGCCTTGGTGTGATGTGATAACTATACCCACCGTTACAGCTATGTGAGATAACCCCCCCACATCTCTCTTGCCTCGACCGATTGATGGTTAGTAAACGCACCAGCCTCATCTTCCCACTTCACCAGGGACACTTGCATTTATATAAAGCACTTGTATTAACCTAGACTAACAGGACGATTTTAAAACAAATCTCCAACCCATCAGCGTCTCCGACATCCCTTCACTACCCCACAGAATCCCCCTTCAGCTAAACCTCACTCAACCAGTCAACATACTCAAACCTACTCAAGACTGAGTCCCACTCCCACTCCCACTCCCTCTCCTCGGATACTGCGCACGCCACGCCGCCGCCCCAGCCCCAGTCCCATGAATATGCTTCGACCCCCACGACTGCTTCCTGGCCTGCTCCCCCGCCTGCTCCGTCACACCCGCAGCCTTCGTCTCCCCAGCAGCAGGCTGCGCACTCTCCGACTGGCGACGCTCCGCAACAGTCTGGCTCGGGCCACGCATCCAACTACACACCAGTTAGCTCCTCTGTCCTTTGCTCCAACATCCCGTCCCATCCACATTGCCGTCTCTGGGGATTGTGGTGGGGGAATATGACATACTTATTCCATAGCCCTCCGAACCAGCCACTCTCGCGGCGCTGGTCGTTATACGATTCCCTCCTAGCAATGGCCTCTGGGTCCCCGGATCCCTGACGCTTCTGGTAGTTTAGAGAGGAGAAACGACCAGAGCTGCTGGCGGAGGAGCGACGGCGTCCGCTGTCGCTGGCGTCGGATTCGCGGCGGGGGACACCGGGGAGGGTGTGGGAGAATGTTGCGTCGTCGAGGGGAGAAGGCATGATTGCAATATTCTTATGGATGGTTTTTCTTGTCTTGGATTGGAAATATGATCGTATGATTGTATATGAGGGAAGATTTATAGCTCGAGAGATTCTGGGCTCTTGACAAGAGGGGAGGGCCAGAGGTGAATGGATGGGTGGCGTTTATACGTACTGCGAGTCTTTGACCCCGCACCATGGTGATATTACATCACCCTCCGTCTGGGGAACCTGGGAAGCGGGATGCTGACCAACGAAATTGATATATGTGCCGCGATTTAAGCCACTAGGATTTGAGATGGATGATGCACTACATCTGAGACCTCTTCGCCGTTCCACCGAGCCTTTGCTGGATGGGGTGTAGCAACCGGGGACTGCTCACGCTTTGTGCCCGGCATTTGGTGATCTCCGCGGGGATTGAAATGAAATAAAGGGACCTGTTGGTGGACTTACATGCTTTACGTACTTTTTGTTTATTGGAGCTGGAGGTAATGAATACGTTTGTATGACGTCCTTGAAGGGTTGAGTGGTCTCATGTAGTTGATACCTTCCTACGCTACTTTGGGGATAGTGTCTCGTGATCAGAGCGCCGATGTCTAGATTAAGTTTCCCACTAGTGTTTAATAGTATGGGGTTGTCCTCTTCTCATAAACCATCCTCTAGCGTATCAATATGATAGTTATAGAATCATGTATAGGGTGTGTTAGGCTGTTTGATATTCGAAGTTTTTTATTCGAAAATAATATTACACCGAACGAATAGTGTTAATGGGGGCCAACACAAATTTTAAAAAATATATATCATAATTCGAATTATTTATAAATTTATTTAAACATTTTATTGATTCGTAACAAATAGTTAGCATTTCATAATCCGGGCTCAAGCTGTCTCATTTAGCATACATATTCTTATATCAGTGATTCCTGCAAAGAGAAGAAAGCAGACAGATATCCATCCCCATGCGACGACCATGAATTGCCACCATAGCCCCGCAAGTTACCAGATTCACCATACCAGCAGACACAGAGCAACATCTATTTAAAATGGAATCTTAGATTTTCACAAAAAACACAAAACTACCCAAACATAACCTATGGCTTCACAACCCTGCAGATGAGATCCTGTCCCGACAGCGAATCGCCCTCCTTGACAACGAGCTGGCCAATAACACCGTTATGCGCAGCCGTAACAACCATCTCCATTTTCTGCCGCCGAAGTTAGTAAAATGACCTATTAATAGTGAAGGGGAGAGACGGGGAAAACATACCATGGCGCTGATGACAGCAATGACATCGCCCTTCTTCACCTCAGAGCCCTCCTTAACCCTGATCTCGACAACCACACCGGCCATCGGGCTGCCGCACTGCGACGAATCCGTGGGGTCGGCCTTGGGCCTCGAGACGTTCTCGACAGCCGCGAGCTTATCATCGACGGTGATGGAGCGGACCTCGCCGTTCATCTCGTAGAAGACGTCACGCTGGCCGGTGATATCGGACAGCGGGCCGATAGCGAGGAGCTTGAGGATGAGGACCTTACCCTTCTCGAGCTCGACGCTGAACTCCTCACCGATCTCGGGCTTGGAGAGGAAGTACTTGGTGGGCAGGACGCTGAGGTCGCCGTACTTCTCCGTGAACTTCTTGTAGTCGTTGAACACGGCCGGGTACATGACGGAGGAGGCGATGTCGCACTCGGTCACGCTGCCCCACTTTTGGCGGATCTCCTTCTTGACCTTGGCGAAGTCGATGGGGGGGAGGAAGAGGCCTGGACGCTTGTCGAGCTTGCGGCGGCCGCGGAGGGCGTTGCTGCGCAGTGGCTCGGGGAAACCGCCGTAAGGCTGGCCCATGAGTCCCTCGAAGAAGTCGAGGACGGAGCCGGGGAAGTCAAGCTCGGATGCCTTGGCGATGAGGGCCTCTGGGGTGAGGTTGTTGGAGACCATGAACTGGGCAAGATCACCGACGGTCTTGGAAACCGGGGTGACCTTGATAACGTCACCGAGAACGTCGTTGGCCTGCTCGTAAGCCTTCTTGGTCTGGGCCCACTGAGCTCCGAGGCCAAGCTGTTGGGCCTGGAACATCATGTTGGTGAGCTGACCACCTGGGATCTCGTGCTCGTACACCTCTGGATCTGGGCCAGTGAGGTGAGCCTCGAATGGCGAGTAGAGGAGACGGAGTTGAGCCCAGTAGGTGTCAATGGCACGGACGTGGTGGACGTTCAGACCAGTCTCGAAGTCGCTGCCCTCGAGAGACGAGAGCACGGCGCCAACACTTGGCTGGGAGGTCATTCCCGACAGGCTGTCGGTGGCAGTGTCGACAACATCAGCTCCGGCGGCAGCGCAAGCGGCCATGGAGGCAACACCGGTACCGGCGGAGTCGTGGGTGTGGACGTGGATGGGGAGGTCGGGGTACTTCGCGCGGATGGCGCCAATCAGGAGAGTGGCAGCCTTGGGCTTGAGGACACCAGCCATATCCTTAATACCAAGGACGTGGATGTTGAGGGCGACGAGCTTCGCCACAACGTCGAGGTAGTACTCGAGGTTGTACTTCTTCTTTGGGTTCAACATATCACCCGAGTAGCACACAGTACCCTCAACAACACCACCAGCCTTGTGAACAGCCTTAATACCAAGCTCAAGCTGATCAATATCGTTCAACGCATCGAAAACACGGAAGATATCAACACCATTCTTCTTCGCCTGCTCCACAAAGTGGTAGATAGCATTATCCGGCAGCGACGAGTACGCCACGCCGTTAGCACCACGCAGCAACATCTGGAAGGGGATGTTGGGGATGAGCTTCCTCATCTTGCGAAGTCTGTCCCAAGGATCCTCATAGAGGAAGCGCATAGCGACATCAAAGGTCGCACCACCCCAGCACTCAAGCGAGTACAGGTTAGCATATGCGTGGCTGGTCTCCTTGGCGATGTTGAGCAGATCAACAGTGCGGACACGGGTGGCAAGGAGAGACTGGTGGGCGTCACGCCAGGTGGTATCCATGAGGAGACACCCCTTGTTTGCGCGGACGGACTTGGCGAAGGCCTCGGGGCCCTGCTCGATGAGGATCTGGCGCCAGCCCTGGGTGCTGGGCTCGGTGACGTCGATCTTCTCGCCTGCGTCGTCGAAGAGCTCGGGCATGATGATCTCGCCCTTGAACTTGGGCTCGCCGACTTGGCCCTTGATGCTGGAGCCGTTGACGGCGATGTCGCCGAGGTAGGCGAGAAGCTTCTGGGCGCGGTTCTGCGAGCCGACGAGGTCGAAGAGCTCGGGAGTGTCGTCGATGAAGGTCGTCCAGCAGTTGCCGTCGATGAAGGTGGGGTGGGTGAGTAGGGAGGCGAGGAAGGGGATGTTGGTCTTGACGCCGCGGATGCGGAACTCAACCAGAGCTCTCAACATCTTGCGGCGGACAATCTCGTAGGTCGAGCCATGGCATGTACACTTAACAAGCATAGAATCGTAGTGAGCTCGTGAGGTGTCAGTAAATGAACATAGAAGGGTAGAAGAATGAAAAAAGAATGAGTCGAAGAGTACAAAATAAATAAAATCACATGACAATCACGTGATGACGATGACTCCATCAGAGTAACTCGACAAGAGCAACCCAAGAAGGGTGACTTAACGAGAGAAGCTCAAGAAGAGCGACCTAAGTAGAGCGACACCTAAAGAATCACTCGAGAGGAGTAACTCAAGATGAGTAACTTAACTTAAGAAACTCAACTCGAGAAACCCAAGCCGAGCAACCAAGCTGAGGAACTCAAGCTGAGCAACTTAAAATGACAAACTTAAAATGAGAAACTCAACTTAAGTAACTCAAAATGAGCAACTCAAGATGAGTAACCCAAACCGAGAAACTCTAGAAGAGCGATTCAAGTTGAGTAACTCAAGAAGAATAACTCAACTCGATAAACCCAAAAATAGCAACTCAAAACGGGCATGGAAACAGGAAAAAAAGAAATAAAATACTTACGAGTAATAACCGCGCCGGCGAAGCCATTACCACCATCAAGGCGGACACCGTTACCACCAGCGGAACGGTAAACCTCAATCTTTCCGGTATCCGGCGAGAACTGTTTCGAGGGATCCTCAGTAGTGATTCTGCACTGAATAGCGAAACCCCTAGTCGAGATGCGGTCCTGAGTCAGACCAAGCTGTGGCAGCGTAGCACCGGCAGCAATCTGGATCTGGGCAGCAATGATATCGATACCGGTAATCTCCTCAGTGATGGTGTGCTCGACCTGGATTCTGGGGTTGATCTCGATGAAGTAGTATCTGTTCTGCTGATCGACCAAGAACTCAGCCGTACCAGCGTTGCGGTAGTTAACCGACTTAGCGAGCTTGACAGCGTCGTTGAGGAGGGCCTCGCGGACGTCCTGGGGGAGATCCTTGGCCGGGGCCAGCTCGACGACCTTCTGATGTCTGCGCTGCACCGAGCAGTCGCGCTCGTACAAGTGCACGATGTTACCGTGGTTATCACCCAGCAGCTGGACCTCAATGTGCTTAGGCTTATCGAGGAAGCGCTCGACGAAGACGGTGCCGTTACCGAAAGCGGACTTGGCCTCGGAGGTAGCGCGGTCGAAGGACTCCTTCAGCGACGCCTGCTCGCGAACGACACGCATGCCGCGGCCACCGCCACCGTAGGCGGCCTTGATGATGATGGGGAAGCCGTATTCGTCGGTGAACTTCTTGACGTCCTCGAACTTCTCGACGGCGCCCTCGGTACCGGGGACGACCGGGACGCCGGCCTTGATGGCGAGGGTCCTGGCAGAGACCTTGTCTCCGAGGGCGTCGATGACCTCGGGGGATGGGCCGACGAACTAATTTCACACGTCAGCGGGTGAGAGCAGCTAAATGGGGCAGAACTGCTTACGACAAGGCCGGCCTTCTCAACATTGCGAGCAAACTCGGCATTCTCGGAAAGGAAACCGTAGCCTGGATGGATCATGTTGACGCCGTGTTGTAAGGCGATCTTGATGATCTCGTCTCCGGCCAGGTATGCGCCGACAGGCGTGTACTGGCCACGCTTGCCGATGACATAGGCCTCATCGGCCTTCTGCCTGTGCATGCTGAGTCTGTCCTCATAACTGAAGACGGCGACTGTTTGTAGGGAAAGCTCGTGAGCCTGCGGGGCGGGGTGAACTGTCAGCAAAAATCCCTTCCACACCGCCGGAACATCGTATTTGGGGGAGTTGACTCACAGTTCTGAAAATCTGTACAAAGAATCGCTTGTAAGTATACCATTGGGGATTTTAGCAGGACGTGGAGTGGTTCATACACGAATGGCTATATCAGATGTCAGCTAATCGGTCCCCATTGCACATGTGAATCTGGGGGCGGGCAACTTACGAATTTCTCCACGGTTGGCAACTAGAAGTGAGAACTCAAGTCAGCAAAGCTCATTTTCCACTCGCACACACCTCGTCGGCGCCGCAAATCCAGAAAAAAAAGGCTTACCCAGAATCTTCTTCAACTGCATGATACTCGAGTTGGCGCGGATGTGCTGGATGGACTGGGACTGCCTCTCATCGCCGCTCTCCTCGAACACCTCGTTCGCGGCGCCATTGGAATCCCCAGCCGACATAGTGAAGCCGATTCGAATTGCCTTGGGTCAATGGCCTCTGTTTTGGGGGAGCTGGTATCACTTGCGAGAGCGTTGGAGAAGGGTGAATTGGGTGAGTCGGAGGGGTGACTTAAAAGAAGGGCGGGCGGGCTCTTGCGCCAAGGATCAACCGAGCTTCGTTTGCGATAACGGCGCCGGGGAAAGATGGGCGGGGCTAGTGGTAAGCTCTCTCTTTCTTTCTTTCTTCCCTCGTGAAAGCGGCTGGATTCTTTTTTTGAGAGAGGGTAAAAAAGAGGATATATATATATGAAAGGTTTGATGAATCCCAGCCTTTCAAGATATATATTTCAAGAGGGGGAAGTAAGGCAGAAATGGCAGTTGTTGAGGGGGGGGATAAGGGTTATAGGTATCGGTGAGGTCAGCAATGTTACGCGGTATTTTATTTGGCTGGATTGTTTTTTGGTGGAGGCCGATGAGCAATAGTATGTCTATACAGTAACGAAGTACTTTTTAGCTATGCCAACAGGACGCGGGGTACGGTGCATGTTGGTAGCTGTCCCACGTAAAAAGAGTCTCGGGCGGCTGCTCCACGCTACTGTTATGTACATGTGTGTACAAGCCCACATGTACCCCCAAGAATCTGTGCACAGTACATACGTACCACCACCACCCACAACCATAGCAACTGACTCTAACACTCTGTACTCTGTTGTGTGCATTTTCTACCCTTATCTGGCCCGACCGAAGCCCATCCATTAAGCCGGATAATAGCTCTTACTGTACGGCACTGCTCCATTGCCGCCGAATGGACCGCCGGCGAGCCTCAACAAAAAAAAAACTTACTAACAGAAAAAAAGAAGTAAAGCCAAGGCGATATTGGCAAAACATCACGACTCACATCAGCGATTACAGCACGTACTGCTCGAGATAGAGAGAGAGACTAGTGTACCTACAACACTAACACTACGAGTACCATTCCCCATATTCCCACTTCGCGAGTACTTCTCCCGAAAAGAACCCACACGCCTGCCCGCGGTAACTACAGCGCTTATACCCTCTCCTTGTGCCGAGGGACCTCGCCATCCCCAACATGCAACGATCATAACCCGGAGCTGTCACCAAACGATCATTCCCCGGAAGGCCGTCCGGGGAAAGTAGGAAAGACGGGAGAGCTAACCCAGCAAGTGAGCTCGGTCGAAGAGAACTGTGAGTTCGAGATATTCAACCAAGGCACTGCCCGAGTCTCACATGGCCGTCCCTGGCGTTGTTGCGAGAATAGCCGGGTTGTGGTGGTTGGGGGGGACGCAGGTACAAAGGCCCAGGCCGATCAGGGACGGAGAGAGAGTCAACAAAGCGATCGTTCCCTACGCACTGACGTCGTTGCGTGACCAATCTACCCTCCTCTCAGGGCCCAAAAAGACTGGTACAGTACAGGAAAAAAGCCTCCCAAAAATCCCCTTCCGTCCATGTGATATATGCTGCGGCCGGTTCGGTCTCGTCCGAGAGTCTGGGGGTTGGTGGCCGTTTTGGATGGTAGACCACATGAGTGAAGAAAATACCTATTTTTGGATTACCGAAGCCGTGAAAGGGTAAGGGACGACAGACGTCTGAGAGTTAGCTTGCCCCCTGGCAAGAAAAGTTTAAATCACTTAGTTAGATAAACTGTCCGCCCGGCTGACAGGCAGGAAGGAATCAAGCATGGGAAACAGCGGCCGTCTCTAGTTGACTCATGTGGGATGTGTGGGGGTTCAAAGCTCCAAGATTGGGGTAAAAGGGAAAACAAAAAATCAAGGAGGCTGGCTGATGCGGTCCTCCGGCTCCGGTGTGGTGTTGAAAGGGAAAGAAAGTCCGTGGGATGAACTGCTGAACTGCGGCGTGGGATAAACTCCGTGGGATGGATGGATGGACACAATTGGAAGTTAGTTCCGTAGAATCGACAGAAATGGGTTACTTCGGCCATGACACATACCGCCCGCAGCCGTTTTATCATACTTGGCTGAATCATTGGTTTCACATGGTATCTCCCGTTTTGTGGGCCGTTCAATCAATCTGGGGGGGGGGGGGAACGCGGATTTTTGGGGTCCATACATCTTCATGACATCTCTAATCCGGGGAACACCGTTTTTGGTTTGTCAAAGTACATCTCATGGAATTCTCTCTCTAGCTACCTACAAAGCCAAGCAAAACCTCGAGTTGTAACTCAAAGTCATCTGTCTGAACACCCTCCATATCATAAAGAAGCGCACCCAACATCACCCGCCTGCCTTTGTGCATCTCCCATCCCCCATCACAGAATGCCCCAAAACCATCCCTCCATATAAATACAAATCATCATGAAGAAAAAAAAACGGAACCTGAAATGGGATTGGCCCTGGCGCGAAAATAATTCCACAGCCAAAAGACCCGTCTCGCTCGAAGGAATACATCGAAAGAGAAACACCTCACATATCCACGCACTTTTTCCCATTAATTATCGGCCATCTCATGTATTTGTTGTCATCGTCTAAAACCCGCCGAAGCCCGTTGGTTGCGGCGCGAAGCCGTTGGGCTGCGCGTAGGGAGCTGGCGAGGTTGGTTGTCCGGCTGGGCCTTGCGTGAGCATCAGGCGGGAGCCGCCGAGGATCGGGGTGTTGTTCTCCTCCTTGACCTGCGACTGCTCGCGCGCGTTGCGCTCGTCGTTGTCCTTCTTGAGGATCTCGATCGTCGCGGATTGTTGGGCCAAGAAGTTGATCATGAATGGCATCGTGAAATCGGTAAGACCGTGGCGCCATGAGAGCTCCATGACGATGTGAAGCGGGATGAGGTCGTAACACGAGTAGAGCATGCCAACGTAACACTCTTTGCTGCCAATGTCGACGAACTGCAATTAATTAGTAAAGTCTCAATGCCAGAATTAAAAGGGTAACTTACATAGCGGATCAACTCCTCCACGACATCCGACTTGCCTGAGATCGCCGCCGTCTCAATAGCATCCTTGTAAAGCTTGTCCTGCTTGGACAGAGCGATCGATTTCTCCCAACGCTTGTTCTTGCGATAGATGTTGGAAGCGATCTGGCGGAAGAAGACCAGGTCGTGGCGCTCGAGGCGCTGCGCCAACTCAACAGGGTCGTAGTTGTCGTAGTTCTCGACAGAGTCGCGAAGAGTCTTGTAATCCTCCTCCTCAATCAACAAGTCATTGATGGCGTTGTTGACAGCCTTCTTGTTCTGTGTCTGAACATTGAGAAGGAATGGCTTGATGAGTGGGATGTTGTCCGACTTCTCAAACATCTTGACCACTCTGTTGACATCGATTCTCGGAGTCAAAGCCTGGAGAAGATCGGTGATGAGAGACGGCTGCTCCTGAAGGTAGAAGTTCAGAGCACGGTAGTAGATCTCCAAGTTGGCAACCTTGACAACAATGTCCTTGAAGGAGTGGTGCTCCCAAGCATCGGCAGCACGCTCCATCATGGCAAGAGCAGCGTTGTCCCACTCGTCGTAGTGGCAGTACAGGAAGACCAGCTCAGGCCAGAGGTTAGCCTCCTCGCAAGCACGGATCATCTTGGGGATGTTGATACGGCTCCAGAACAGCTTCAGGTGCTCCATAACACGCTCAGGGTGATACTTGGACAGGGCAATGCCGAGCTCAGTGAACATGCCCATGTGAGCACGCTCAAGACCAAGGCCTTGCTCGAGCACAGCGATGAGCTCGTCAAAGTAGCCATTGCGCTCGTATTGCTTGACAAGATCTTGAAGCTCTTCGGCGTCAACAATCAGGTTAAGACCACAGATCTGAGCAAGACGGAACTCCTTCTTCTCCACGCAGGCAGCATTGACCTGCTTCCAGACCTTGATGTTGTTGGCCTTGCGAGCACACTCAACAGCGGCTTGGTAATCGCTGAGGTGGACAAGGGTGGTAGCGAGCTTGGCCCAGTTGGAGATGCTGCTGAAGAAGATCTTGGCGGCTTGGTGGTAACCCTCGGCGTAAGCCTTATCACCAGACTCCTCGATATCTGCAACGTTTGTACCCTTGAGGAAGTCCTCCAACTCAGAGAGCTGGTCAGTGCGGGCATATGCAAACGCCAACGCAGTGTCGATCTCTGGCTCGCGGAGAGTCTTGCGCGACATCTTGAGGTACTTGATGAGATCCTCATCCTTTCCGGCGGGAACGGCGTACTCGATGACCTCCTTGTAGTTGCTGGGGTCCTGTGCGCGGATATAAGACTCCACGGCATCGCTGATTCTAAGACCATCCAATTGAGCCTTGGCAACGCGGCTCCAGACCTCTGGAAGCTCGACGCGCTCACCATACTCCTGGGCACGATCAATGCTCACAATGTGTTCAACGAGAACGTTGACCGCTTTGGGATGGTCGTCGATCTTCTTGTAGACCTCAAAGGCCTCCTCGTAGAGACCAACCTCGATACAGATATCAGCCACCTCAGTCGTAGTATACTCGTTGAGCTGGTGGATGTAATCCATGACCTTGCTCTTATCAGCCTTGGTGGCAGTGAAGATAAGGAGGTTCTGGAGGCTGCCATTATCACTGAATGGGGAAGGCTCAAGAACAATCTTCTCCAGCAGCTCAATGAGCTCCACGGGAAGATCATTCTTCAGGAAAGAAGAAACAGCAACGGAAACCTTCTCTGGCTCCTTGGACTCGGGAACAGCCGTTGAGATGACCTGGTCAACGAGCGATCTGCGGTGGTTGTTGTTTCCGCTGAGAACGAAGTTCCAGAGCTCCTCATCCGCACGCTCAAGAAGGTAGCGAGCCTGTGCCTTGAACATGGAGTTCTCGTTGGTGATGTTCACAAGCTCCAAATCGTTCTGGCCCTTGCTGTATGCAATGAATGCAAGGTTGGGGTCACGCTTCTCGCAGTACTTTCCGACAACGAGAGTATCGTACTGGTTGTTGTCCTTCAGGAACTTCTCTGGGTTGTTGTTGCTATCGATGTAGATCTTGGCCAGGGCGTTGTAGACTGCCTGCTGCTCGTTGCCAGAGGCAAGGGTGGCCTCAAGAAATGGCAAAAGGATCTTCAGACGATTGCGGGTCTCAACCTCCTGAACCAGCTCGTCGATAGGGATCGACGTTGGGTTGACAGTCTGCAGGAGGTTCTTGATAATGCTCTCGTCGCAGTCAACATCAAGTAAGCCGCCAATGACAGCCGGGGTTCTTGCTGGGTTAACACGCTGAACGTAAACCTCGATCGACTTGAAATGCTGGTTTTGGTATAGGTATAGAACAAGATCGTGGATAAAGTTGAAACGATCGCAAACAATAATGAGAGGAAGTTGCTCAGTCAGCCTGGCCTCCTTGAGGAAGTTCTTCACCTTCTCGGGGTTGTAGTGGTTGCTATCACGGCAAATACGCTCAACCTCGTTGAATTGTTGCATCTTCGTCGCGGCCTCAATGTACTTGAAGTTGACATCTTGGTCCTCGCTGACGTTGACGATGCTGCCAAGGTAGTAGAACAGACCCTCGGCAGTCTTGTACTTCTCGAAGAGATCGATCAACTTGGTAGCACCAAGCAGGTCGGAGTACTTCGTGGCAATGTGCACAACAGCTTGCAGGTTCTGGCGGATGTTGGACTTCATCATGGCATCCAGGCAATCCAGCGATTGCTCAACGGAGAAGCGGCCGAAGAAGTTGGTGAGCCAGTCCTGGTTGAAAGTAGGCGTGGCAACGATGTTGACAATGACACGCTTGATAGCTGCCGGATCCTCGTAGTGCTCCAATGCACGCTGGGAAAGCCCGGCTTGCTCGCACAGCTGTGCAATGCGAGCCTTATCGTAGTGAGAAAACATCTCGTTGCCGAGAATAGCATCGGCGACTTGGGGAGCATTGATGAGGTTCATCTCAAGCAGGCGTGTCTGGAGGTGGCCCTGCTCAGGCTTGTTGTCCTTCAAGGCATCGAGGAGGAAAGCAGTGGCAGCCTGAACCATGTTCTGCGATTGGAAAATGTCGACGACGCGCTCGACATCCACGAGTGAGCCACCCTCATTGTTGGCGAGTTGGGTGGCGAATTCGGTTCCCTTCTCTGGGTTGACACGAACAATGTGCTGGAGCAGGACGATGTAATCCGGCTGGTAGCCAACCTGGCTCGAGTAAGGCACAATCTTGTCGAACTGGCCAAGCTCAGCGAATGCTGCAACCACCTTCTGTGGGATGTTTGCGCGAAGGTAGATGCTCAGGGCAAGAGCCAAATCGTGTGGGCGGACAAGATCTCCAAGCTCTTCTGAACAGTCCAACTTGCTCTCCTTCATCCACTTCTCGATGAGATGCTTGCGGTTCTGGGCGAGAACTGGCTTGACAAGCTCAAGAGTCTCGTGCTTGTTGAGATCACCCTTGTCCAAAAGCGAACCAAAGTATTGAAGGATGATGGAGAGCTGTCCAGGCTGGGCCGGGATGTTCTTGAAGCGCTCGATTGTCTGGGGTGTGCGGAGGAAACCTCTGGGGGAGTTTGCAGCAATCTTGGCAGCTTCAGCGTAGTTGCCTGCGTTGATAAGCTGATCGAACTGTTGTGCGTAAAGGTTGTCTGCTCCAGGTAGACCTGCTCTAGACGCAAGCTTGACGGCCAGGCCGGAGTTTGCTGGGTTCTGAAGCAAATATGGAATCACGGTTGCCTCGTCCACGGCCACGGAGAGCACTTGGCCCTTCCTGTTGACACCGACAAGACCCTCGGATGCGGAATCAGACGCTGTAATAAAGATCGTTTCGCTCGAAATGCGGTTCATGAAAATACAGGTGCCGGTCTCCAAGTCGTAGAGGTGAATGAAGCCGTACTTTGTCACCAAGTAGATGATGCTGTACTTCTCCGAAACCTGCATGGCGACTGGGAAATCGTTGACTGCCTCTGCTGGGAAATATACATCCACCGCCTTCTTTGGGAAAGCGGGGTTTGACGCTTGATGGTCGACCTCCACAACGTGTAACTTCGCGCCGGTGGCTGTGCGGACGGCGAATGCGAAAACCTTCGTATCGGCAGGCGCGCCCTCTAAGCGCAGGGTGCCAAATGCTGCTGCGTGGCCCTCGAGAGCCTGGCTGATACCACGGTCCTTCGAGTATAATTGCATGGCTCCAACGACACGGCCCTGCTGTTGGGAGATGCCAATGACGACCATCCACTTTCCGTCCGCGCTGACGCGGTAGTTTATTATCTGCGAACCCTGTATGATATAAGCAGCTGTCGTAAAGTAGATCATAATCCAAGCTTACCTGGAGGTTCTCATGGCGCTTAAAGACCTCAACTGGCTGTGCTTGGTTCTGGTCAAAGACATCCCAGTGGTAAACTGCGGTATCTGTGACAAGGCCCAGAGTGGTCTCGCTGAACCATTTCCAGAACACAACGTCCTCGTTCATTGTCGCCGACTTCAGCTTCGCCTTCCGCTCTAGATCGAATATTTGAAGTGTTCTCGACTGAGCCTTGAGCGCAATAATCTGCTTGTTCCAGTGCATGATGGCACTATCGGCCTTGATGGGTCGCCTCGTCACATTGTTATTTTGTTTGAGGTCTATGATAACAACTTCCGGTGATGCAGCTTCGTTCTTCTTCTCGCGGACGCAGATGAAGGAGTCGGACTCGAGTGTCTGGTGGCTTGTTAGTGATTGCTCCAGGCCAAGGCCGGGGAGCACCGGAACAACTTACACAGGTGTTGAATCCAATTGAGGCAGGCTAGAAGCATAATGGTCAGTATTCAGATGGTAGACGACTTCATTGAGAGGTCAGGTTGCATATTGGGCATTAAGGGCTTACTTCAACTCCAACACTGGTCAACTGTAGATAGTGGTTAGCTTGCGATCTAAAGGTGAATCCAGGGTCCCGTCATCAGCACGAACCTGAAGAAGCTCAGTGAACTTGATGGGAAGAGCTGCCATCTTTATTATGGGCTTGCGCTGATGGCGCGCAGTTGGCAAGGCCTGTCCTCAACTCCGGAATAAGGGTGTCAGGGTGCTGACACGTAATAGGGTATTTGTGTTGGTACAGCTCTCGGAGCAGTATTAAAGCCGTATAATGAGGGAATGTTCGTGGCGAAGTTTCGACTTCGCGATTCGTAAGAAGAGTAAAGAAGGAAGGAAGGAGATACAGAAAAGGTTGTAGGAGTAACGCGTTGTGATGGAGATTGAATTCAGGCAAGCTTCCCAAGAAACGTACTTGGCTACGTATTGGGTAACTCCTTATAATTAGGCACGTGACCTGATGCGGTAAATTGCATGTTGCCATGCATATCAGGCAAATATTGTCGGGCTACCGCGTTGCTACGCAAACAGAACCACAACAATGTGTCAACAGCATGGCGATTGCACAGAAATAGACATTCTCCATCCTGATCCCCACGTTTTTCGTCATATCATGCTCAATTAGTCTACAGAATCTATAGTCTTTATCTATAACAGGCAAGCAAGGTATTGATGTCTATTATAATCTATCCTGGCACTATGAAGTATGACGACAAATTCACCTTTACCCCACGAAGCATAGATAAGATTCACTCTGATACCCCAGAGTTTCCAGTTAAGACAAATTCACTTTCTTCACGTCATTGGTTCTTCAGTGTTTTACAGCTTAATCATTTCCATTGTCTGTATTTATCGAAAGTACATACCAGGGGCAAGCTTTCACAAGACCCCGTCTATAAATCTGTTAAACCAGCAAGCACTACAACCACTGCACTTGGCAAGCGCCACGAAGGGTATCATTATGGTCAAGAAGTGAATGTCGTGAGTCTATTATGTATTATAACGCCACGCTGAATCCGGGAAGTCTATGGACGAAGGGTTGAGATATCCAAATGAGACATTTAGATAAGCTGGAACTTGTTAGCTGCTGCTTCTCTTTTCATATTGATGCGGCGATACTTACGAGAGCAACACCTCCGGCAATGATCATGCCCAGAGCGGAAGCACCGTTGATGCTGGCGGCACCCTCGTAGATGGGGGAACCAGTTGGCTGCGGGCCGGTGGAAACACCAGTAGATCCAACGGCAGTGCCGGCTGGGGCAGTTGGGGAAGGAGGAAGCTGGCTGACGTAGGTCGGGGCAGTTGGGACTGGGACAACTGGGGCAGCGGAGGTCTCGCACTCGTAGACGGTGACGGTGCTAAGAGTTCAAATTAGAATCTGATTTTCTCATAGTGATTGTTGCGGTTGCAATGGCTACTTACACCTGCTGGGCGGCAGCGACGGAAGCCAGGACGGCGAAGATGGCGGCAGCGGAGAATTGCATGTTGACGGTTTTGGTTTGTGAGGGTTGGTTTTGGTGAAAAAGTTTGGTATAGTTTGAAAAAAGGTGGAAGTTGAAGTGAGTGAATTGATAGATAGCTGGGTACAAAAGAGTGTAAGTTGATCGTGGATGGAGAGAAAAGAACGAAACTGGAACCTCAGATACTCATATATACCACAGTGGTGCCCAGCAGCGCCACAATCCCGTCCTAAACATCACGGCCCGCTATCGCAGAACAAGAGAGGATTGTCCTGCAAATCTCATAGATATTCGGTCAAATCTACTATGGCCCACTTGGGAAATTAAGATGTCGTCCATCCCAGTTCAAGTCGCCATCGATGTACATTTATGATTGCACGGCAGCCAACCAACTACCGGTGTTGCAACACCAAGCTGGGGATTGAGATCGCTGTATTCCACTTATCGCAGTTCCACATCAAAATTAACGCTCAAAAATGTCTCCAAGGGCCCTCCAAGAAGTCCCTATTATTAACCATCCCGCTGTTCCCCTTTCTGGCCCTGAGACTATGATTTACTGTTTGGCCACCCTATCACGACTAGGACGGTGAAGGTCATAATCTCTTATCCACCAAGCTAGGCTAGTAAGTCTAGACGATCAACGGCAAACGGTTTCACCACAGGACCGTAGAGCACCCGTCCTAACCTGGATATTATTCCGAAACAAAATCAGCCTATCTAAACATCGCCATCTGCTGCTTGCATATCGCCATTTAGCCACACATTTGCGCAGATTGCCCAATCACCGCACGTCTTTTGTTACTATTTAGCGGTCTTACTCAGGGTTAGTCAGGGGTAGAGATGTTTATCTCAGCGACCAGGGATCCTAGACCATATGCTTGGACGGACGGGAAGAACATGTGTAAATTAGCGGTAGTGAGGAATGAATACGCCACCACTTCTTGGCTGACAATCGAAATGATTGAAATTGCAATAGATGCGTCGAGCCAAATAGAGATACGTGCGATATTCTTTATTCGCGGAAGAGAGAAGGAACGCTTGAGCGCTTCGCCAGGGCCTCATAGCCAACAGGCCCATCGGCGCCAAGTGGTCACGACTTCCGGCGGCTTGCTTGCGTGGCAATCAATGCACACACATGATGTGGTGCTCCTTGAAAATTACAAATTGATCGCCAAAGCGCTCAAGTTATCGTTCCAGTAGGTCACAATATCACGCACGCGCATACGCAATTCAGTCTACGGAACACCCTGCCAGCTATGCCAGGATGTCCAGATATGCTTGCTAGCTAACAAATTTTGCCCCCAATCTGCCATAAAGTGCATGTACAAAAGGTATGTACAGCCAGTCTTTGAGACCCTCCGCACAGTTTGCGAAGCGCCTCACCCAGGACCGACCGCGAACGATGTCAATTCTCCTTTCTACTTGACGATTTCCATGTTTCATAGAGCCACACACTGCCACGAGGACAGCGGGCTTCTCACAGGAACGCTTTTAATGAGAAAGTTGGTTTTGCGTTGTTTTATTATGGAAAGAAAAGAAAAGGGAAAAGGAATCGCGCGAGAAAAAAGATTTATACTGCCTCCCGCTTGCTCGCTCGGCAAGGTCCGATGCCGCTACCGAACGAGTCACGTGATTCATCTCTGCGTTTGTGATGTTTGTGTTGCCTTACGGGTTTCCCTATCGGAATCCTTAATCTTCAGGCCGTAAAACGGAAAACAGACAGCACACACACAGGTAGGCGGGAAACAGCTGGGGCCCCCACAAAAAATGTTACACCCCACCATGCCGATGATTGTACCCCTCCGTCGATTTTTCCATGAGGAGATACCGTTTGTGAATGACAATCCAGTAATTAAGGTTGCCATTTACCAATATAAATACTACTACGCCATTTAGTTGACAGTGGTGGATCTATCATCTCAAAATGGGAAAGACAGGTAAAGTTGATCGAAAGTTATATATTGCCGTTGCTCTATAATACTGACGTAAAGACATAGCGATTATCTCCGTCTACGACAAGACGGGTCTTCTTGACTTGGCCAAGGGATTGATCAAGCAGAATGTTCGTCTTCTGGCGTCTGGCGGAACGGCCAAGATGATCAGAGAGTCTGGCTTCGCAGTTGAGTAAGAGCTCTTCCCCCGCCGTCTATGAGACAACCCAAGCTGACAAAATGGTAACAGAGATGTGTCGGCCATTACGCACGCACCCGAGATGCTCGCTGGCCGCGTCAAGACGCTGCACCCAGCTGTCCACGCCGGTATCCTGGCTCGCGACCTTGCCTCCGACGAGAAGGACCTTGCCGACCAGAACATCAACAAGGTCGACTATGTCATCTGCAACCTCTACCCCTTCAAGGACACCGTCGCCAAGATCAACGTCACCGTCCCCGAAGCCGTCGAGGAGATCGATATCGGAGGTGTAACTCTCATCCGCGCCGCCGCCAAGAACCACACCCGCGTCACCATCCTCAGCGACCCATCTGACTACCCCTCCTTCCTCGAGGAGCTCGAGAAGGGCGAGATCAAGGAGCAGAGCAGACAGATGTACGCCCTCAAGGCATTCGGCCACACTGCCGACTATGACGCTGCGATATCGGACTTCTTCCGCAAGCAATACGCCGCCAACGGCGTCCAGCAGCTCGCTCTCCGCTACGGCGCCAACCCCCACCAGAAGCCCGCCGCTGCATACGTCAAGGAGGGCCAGCTCCCATTCAAGGTCCTCTGCGGCGCCCCAGGTTACATCAACCTCCTTGATGCCCTGAACGCCTGGCCTCTGGTCAAGGAGCTCAAGGAGGCTCTTGGCCACCCCGCCGCCGCAAGCTTCAAGCACGTCTCCCCCGCCGGAGCCGCCATCGCCGTCCCCCTCACTGCCGAGGAGCGCAAGGTCTACTTCGTCGACGACATTGAGGGCCTCGAGAACTCTCCCCTCGCCCAAGCCTACGCCCGCGCCCGCGGCGCCGACCGCATGTCCTCCTTCGGCGACATGATCGCCCTCAGCGACATCGTCGACGTTCCCACCGCCAAGATCATCTCCCGCGAAGTTTCCGACGGAGTGATTGCCCCAGGCTACGAGGACGCCGCCCTCGAGATCCTCAAGAAGAAGAAGGGCGGCCGCTACCTCGTCCTCCAGATCGACCCGGAGTACGTGCCTAACCCCCAAGAGACCCGCACCGTCTACGGTATCACCATGGCCCAGCACCGCAACGACGTCGTCATCTCCCCCGCTTCCTTCTCCTCCATCATCACCCCCAAGGAGGGCGCTGCGCTCTCGGACTCCGCGCTCCGTGATCTTACCGTCGCTACCATCGCGCTCAAGTACACTCAGTCCAACTCCGTGTGCTACGCGCTTAACGGTCAGGTCGTCGGTCTCGGTGCCGGTCAACAGAGTCGCATCCACTGCACGCGTCTCGCTGGTGACAAGGCGGACAACTGGTGGTTGCGTTTCAGCCCCCGTGTGCTGGAGATCAAGTGGAAGAAGGGCTCCAAGCGCGCTGACAAGAGCAATGCTATCGACCTGCTCGTGAGCGGGGAGCTGCCCAAGGAGGGCGCCGAGAGGGAGCTCTACGAGGCGATGTTCGAGGAGGTGCCGAAGGAGTTTACCGATGAGGAGAGGAGGGAGTGGTTGGGCAAGCTTAAGGGCGTTGCGTGCTCCAGTGATGCATTTGTGAGTTCTGCTGTACGATGATTTGAGGTGTTCTTTTGGCTAATCATAGTGGATAGTTCCCATTCATCGACAACGTCTTCCGCGCCAGCCGCTCGGGAGTCTCGTACATCGCCGCACCGACTGGAAGCCAGAACGACAGCGCCGTCATGGAGACGGCGGAGAAGCTGGGCATTACGTTTGTCGAGCAGAGCATCCGCCTGTTCCACCACTAGATGTGGGTGGATGGGATACCTAAAAGGGGTAGGTAGTCTGGGGATGGAAAGAGGGGGGGCGTAAAAGCGCAGGGAGAGATACCTTGCTGGACTTAGATAATTAAGTGTAGCATGAATGGAAATGGTTCAACATCTGTTGTGGATTACGTGGTGGTGGTGGTTTGTGAGGCGGGGGTAGACATGTGATTTGAGTGGCTCTGATGGTAGGAATCGATCACAGTCACTGTAAACATCACCACCCCTCTCAGTGTCTAGCTTCATTTTTGCCAGCGGCGCTTTGTGCACACATTCCCCATCTCTCCATTTCTGTGCAGAAACCTGTTTCCGCCTCAGGATCTAAGCCAGTAAGCCTCAGACACGCTCCTGGTACCCGCACCTCCTACAATAATCACTGTCCCCATCACCACCGCTTCATTTCTGGGAATTTGCGCACATTTAGAATAATCTGCGCGATTTTGCGCCAGATTGCGCGCATCGAGGGTTTGGATCCATCACCACCCAATTCTTCGATATATTGAGCTTCATTTTTTGGGAGTTCATGCACTTTTGAATTATTCTTCCCGATTTTGCCTAGAAATCAGAAAATTGGCACTCACCCACCTGTATCGAGGTTCTAGATATACCACTACTAAATTTGTAGATAGCTTCATATTTTGGGGAATTTGCGCACTTTTAGAATAAGTAGCGCGATTCAGCGCGCATGTACGCGCATCGAGGGTTTGGAGAGCCCACCACGTAGTTCATGGATATTTTGAGCTTCATTTTCTGAATCTATGCACCTTTGGAATTTTCTTGACGATTTTGCCTAGAAATCAGAAAATTGGCACCTACTCTGCCTGTATCAAGGCTTTAGATATACTACCACTGCCAAATCTGTAGATAGCTTCATTTTTAGGGGAATTTGCGCACTTTTAAATTATTTTACTTGGATTTGCGCAAAAGCAGAAAAGGGCACCCGCATCGAGCTTCTGGATAGATCACCACCTAATTTTTGAATATCCTAAGCTTCATTTTCATCACCCTTGAATTGCTCTACTCGATTTGAGTAAATATGAGAAGTTTGTCATAAATTAGCCCCCCTCTGCTGATATCGAGAATCTGTAGATGCCTTCATTTTTTTATAGGGATTTGCGCACTTTTACACTACTCTACTTGAATTTGCGCAAAATCAGAAAAAGGCACCTGCATCGAGCTTCTGGATAGATCACCACCTAATTCTTGGATATCATGAGCTTCATCTTTCAAGTTCCTTGACGTTGCGTAGGAACTAGAAATTAGCCCCCCCCCCCCCCCGCCCCGCCCGTATCTAGCTTCTTGATATGACCATCAAATCTGTAGATACCCTCATTTTTTGAGGAATTTGCGCATTTTTAAACTACTCTACTTGAATTTGCGCAAAATCAGAGATAGACACTCGCATCGAGCTTCTAAATAGATCACCACCTAATTCTTAGATATCATGAGCTTCATTTTCTAGAATTTGTCTATTAATGAAAAGTTGGCACCAAGTTGGCACCTACCTACCCACCTACTCTGGCGGCACCGAGCTTCGCCATATAATTATTGGATAGCTTCACTTTTTCTGAATCTGCGCACTTTTAGCGCAACTAGTGCTAATCTGCGCAAAATCAGAATTTGATATCTGCATCGAGCTTCTAGACTTGTCACCACACAAATTGTAAATATCCTCAGCTTCACTTTTGTCGTCGTCGTCGTCGTCGTCAAACACCGCCAACACTCTCGCCCACATCGGCCCCATCAAGCTCCTAGATATATATCACCGCCTAAGTCGCAGTAGATATATATGTCTTATATAAGCTTCACTTTTTGCAAATCCGCGCACTTTTACACTAGCTTACTTAATTTTGCGCAAAATCAGAATTTGGCATCTGCATCGAGCCTCTAGACATCTCACCACACAAATTGTAAATATCTTCAGCTTCACTTTTATCGTCGTCGTCGACACTGCCAACACCGCCAACCCTCGCCCCCATCAAATCTGTAGATGCCTTCATTTTTTGAGAATCTGCGCACTTTCGCACTAGTCTACTTGAATTTGCGCAAAACCAGAATTTAGCATCTGCATCGAGCCTCTAGACATCTCACCACCTAATTTGTGAATATCTTCAGCTTCATTTTTCTTCGTCGTCGTCGACATCGCCAACACCGCTAACAATTACCCCTCCCCCCCCATCGCCTACATCAAGAATCGAGCTTGTATATATATATCTCTTACCACCTAATTTTGTAAATAGCTTCATTTTTCTAGGAATCGGCGCACTTTTAGCTCTAGTAGCGCTAATCTGCGCAAGAATAATCGCATCGAGCTCAGATATATCTCACCACACAAATCCTCAATATTTCGAGCTTCATTTTTCTGAATCTTCGTAGAACTGTAATTACAAAGTGATCAAGAACCCAATATCATTTCTAGTTTCTATAAACACACCTGACCGAGAACAGTGTCTGTACCCTACTCCAAACCTCTCAATCACTGTCCTACACGCCCCCCTTCCTCAGTTCTCATCAGCAAGCCACGTCATGATAGTAATCTTCCCCCCCTTATCGGGGTTTGATGCAAATATATCCCCCCTTCCCCCACCCCTCAGCCCAGCTGAAGTATGACCGATTGACTGACAACTCAGCATACCCCCCAACTGTTCGCACAATCCCATCGCACGACAGCACAGCCAGGACCCGTGGGTGTAACCAGACTCCCGGATCGTGTTGGGCTGAGCGGGTATCGTATCAAATATGTGTGTTCTGGATGATGAGGTGCCGTGGCTGTGTACAGTAATACTGCTGCAGCGTTGTACGTACAGCATTGTTTCTGTCTTACTCATACAGTTGATGTGTGAGACAGCCCTTCCTTCTACATAGCCAGGAGTGAGAGAGTCGGGTTCTGGCATTCTACAGATGAGGGAAGTCTGGATTACGGCATCAATTCGGCGGAGTAGCACCGACGAGGGGGGGTGGGGGAAGTAAGGGAGTGTTCTGTCATCTTTTCGGTCGTTGGGAAGTGATGAAGTGATCGGACTACTGTACTGTACTGTATGTCTCCGATCCCTCTCACTGGAATGCCACATGGTGCTCGATCGCTCTTGGTATTTGGACTGGAGCATCTGGAATGAAATGAATGCAGGCACTCGACGGGATAACTCGTTATATTCTGCACTATCGAGTTCATATTCGCCTTTCCATACTTAGAGTGGGAGTGCAGAGTAGCAGTTTCCGTGCATACACATGTACTTGGCAGCCATCCCCATCAACACAATTGAGTGCAAAACCCTCGTTCCTGCCGACCACTCACCACTCTCCTCTATGCGACCACACCGACCACACCGCACCCTAACCGCCCGCGTCCCTGCCTCATCCCTCCGTCTCCCTCCTTCCGCCGTCAATTGGCCGCACCCTAACAAACTCGGGTATGCACCCCCAACCCCACGAACCAATCATACCCCTCCCCTCCCCTGCGGTGGAAGCGCCATCGCAAGGACGCGCTGCACGGTCTTCACAAGCCATCACAGCCCTCCCCAGCCATCACCGTACAAACATACCGCCTTACCCCTGCCCTGTCTAAACACCCGGCCAATCATGCCGCCCCGTCACGCTTCTTCCCGCCGCCGATGCGACGGAGAGGTGATCGGCGGGGAGATGGGCGCGAAGAGCCACAGATCCATTGGAGGGGAGGGGGGAGGTACTCAACTACCGCACAACCCAATCCGCGCATCGCACCGCACGACAACCCCAACCCCCAAATTCAATATACCAGGGACTGCCAGGTAGGTGCGTTGTGAGATGTTGACTCGCACAGGTCTTGCCCTGGGCTGGCTAGGGGAAGGGAGGAGAGGTGCATGCATGTAGGTGGTGTGCATGGTGGTATGTATGGTGGGAGAGGGAGGGCGCCAATGGCTGGCTGTATATCCGTCCGGACGCCATCTGACACCTTTTTTCTTTGTCCATTGCACTGTGTGCTGATCACAGGCTTTTGGCTTCACGTTCCCCATCTCTCTGTCTCTCTGTTCTGCTCTACTTACTGTCTTGTTGCTGCTACAAGCTATACGAACGTTGAACTCGCGCATTGTCCCATTCTTTGTGTGAAGAAACAACCCCGCGCCGAAGCTATCCCGAGCGCGAACGACACACCACTCTCAAGGACGAGTCCTGTGGCCGGCGGTTGGCCTCAAACTGCGCCCACACACCCAGCCAGCGACCTTGAACCGCTCACATCCCGGCGTCTACATCTAGCTCGTGGCCAATATCTTCACGGCGGTCCCTTGGTCCTATCACAGGCCTCGCCATCCACAGCCAGGCCTGCATTCGCTGATCTGGGCTCCCTTGTTTCTATTTCCATTCTCCCATAGCGTGAGTAAAAGAGTCCCACACCCACCTCACGACCCTTCTCATCCCTTCTCCCGCCCTGCGCTCCCGCACCTCATGCGAATGCAGCATCTCCACTCCCGTCAATCCCTCTGACCGCGCGCCTACTCAAAACCCTCTCCGTCCCACCTCCACAGACTCCTCCTTCTTCTCCTCCGATAGCTGGCCTCTCCGTTTCTAAATCTACCTTCTTCTACCCATCATCGCTCCAACCTTCCAAAGTCTCACCTCGTTGCGATCTTACTTCAACCTGCACTGCCCCCCCCCCACTTGGTGGTGTGTCTTTGTCAAAAGTATTGTTTAAGGCACTTGTTCTTTCATATTTTTTTTATATCAAACCTACTGCGATGGGCTCTTGTAAGATTCCATAATCACTCGCCATCTTACTCAGCGGCGCGCAATACTAATACAAACCTCACAGCCAACAAACCAACCCCACTGCAACTAAGAGGACGCACGGCATCCGAGTCCTCATCGAGCTCCTCACAATCCGCCCTCCAAGTCCCAAGGACACCGCGATTCGCAGAAGCGACTGCAGTCCACTCCCCAATCGACGGCAAAGGGCGATCGCCATTCGACGACCCCCCAGAAGCCATCATGTCCGGAGCAAAACCCTCTGATATCGGCTTCGGCTATATCGCAGACAACACGGCCACGCGCCATGTCGAGATCCAAGTCGGCCCCGCCTCTCCCGGTCTCAAGAGCGCCATGAAGGTTCCCGGCACCCCGGGGCGCAAGCTCGAGAACCCATTGAGCCCGACGTTCAGAGAGGAACAGGTCTTGGAGAAGCAGGAAGAGGTCACTGAGAAGCAGCAGGCGAAGGACTTGGTACGTTTATGGCTGATAGAGTCGTTGATGCGGGCTCGTGCTAATGAAAACTACAGAAAGTAAAGGTCCGCGTGCGTGCAGTCAAGCTGCTCCTCCGTGGTGTGAACTTCGGCTGCAGTCTCATCGTCCTCGCTCTCGTCGGTACCACCGTTCACGTCTTCCTAGCTACCAAGAATCTCCCGAAACGCAGCGATCTCCCGCCCTGGGCTAGTGGAACGCAAACCTGGCCCCAATACGTCGTTCTCGCTACTGCCTGTGTCTCTCTCTTCTTCTGTGTTATGGTCTTCTGGGCATACTTCCGCGGCGGCCATCGGCGAGCGGAAAAGACAGCTGTCTATTACACTATTTTCGCAGTCGGCTTCTTCCTGCTCAGCATCGTTATGTGGGCCGTCGCGGCTGGCATCCTACAAGGTACACGGAATAATGGCAATGGAAAAGATATATGGGGCTGGTCATGCGTCGATAACAAGCGCCGGCAAGCCTTCAACGACGACATCGACTACCAGCTAGTCTGTCGCATCCAAGTAAGCCCCTCCTCCCACTCCCCTCCACAGCCAGCCAACTAACAATCCTCCAGTCCTGGGCCGTCATCTGCTGCGTCATCGAAGTCGTCGTCGAGACCATCACCATCGCCATCTACGGCGTAATCTTCTACCGCTACTACTCCAAGCGCCAACTCCGCAAGACAATGGACAACCGCGACAAAGCCCGCTCCGACCTCTACCTCGCTCAGCTACGCACCCAATCCGCCCCCAACACCCCCGGCTTCGGGCCCCTCTCCCCCTCCTACAGCACCCACATGAAATCCCCCCGCTTCCCCTCCTCCTTCGCCGCCACCGCCTCCGACGCCGAAGAAGGCCAAGGTGCATCCGCGCCAGGAACCCGCTTCGTCGACGCCTCGCGCCCCGGCTTCGCCGCCCCCGCAAAGCCTTTCGCTCTCCAAGCACCACCGATCAAGATCCACGCCGCGTCCCCCAAGACGCCATCTATCCGCGCCTTCACCCCGCCGCAACCGCTCGCGGAGACGAACGCGGGTCACGCACCGGTAGCTCCTGGGGAGCAGCAGTACGCTTCTGTGCCTATTCCGGGGGCGTATCAACCGGCGAGTCCGGGGCCGGGACAGGCGACGTTTGGGTTCTCGGAGGGAGCGCCGGGGATGGCGGTCACGAGTGAGCATAGGATTGAGAGCCCGCCGAGTAGTCCGAGGTTGCCGCGGCAGGTTCCGCGGTTTGCTTGAGTCTACTGGGTTTGGGTTTCTCGGTCTTGATGGCGTTGGGTTGGGTGGGGATAAATGAGTTTTTTTTGTATCTAGGGAGTTGGGACTCAAGACTTGATCAGTCGCCGCTTTTCTTTTTTTATACCTTTTTCTTGGTAGTTGTTTGAATGGGTAGCCAAGGGATATCCAGGAGGGTTTATATAATAGGATGATATGAATACAATGTGCTGTTAAACAATAAATACGCTGTGCTGTGTTGTGATGTGATGTGCTGTGGTGGTGTTCAAATTTACTTTGTGTGGAAGGGAAAATTGGTGTGCGAGGCGGTAAATTTTGATGAACTGGCCAGAAATGCATTAAATTGTTATTATAAGATGCAACTGTATATATTTAATACATCAAAAAGAAATAAAGAACTAAAACGCCATTGCTGGTGAATAATTCATGATTTGAGTGTTGATTTTCCCACAGTTTCCCTCCCACCAAATCTTGGTGATGGTCGAACTTTAACGCAACCCCCAAAACAGTTTAGCGTCGCGGCATCGGAAATCTTGGCGCCCACATCTCACGATTTTATCATGGCGACTAACCACCACGACGAGCGAGAACATCGAAACCTCTGACCCCACCTCCCTCCGCTCCCACCTCACCACCACCAGACCCTCGAGTTCCTCACACGGTCAACTACTACGAACTCGAACAATATGGCGGCTACCCAACAGGTCTTCATCGACGGTACCTTCGAGGACCTTGCCGACGAGCTCGCGGGCTACATCGACAATGTCAAGAAGGTCAACGAGGCAGAGGGCGTCCGCGCCGAGATCAAGCCACTCCTGGCAGCCAACAAGAAGGACGATGTGCTGAAGAAGCTCGTCACCGCCGCCCCAGCCCTCAACGGCGCGCCCGAGAAGGAGTTCACCGCCGCATACAACCTCCTCGTCTACCTGATCGTGCAGTCGCCCAACGTCAACATGTTCCTGCCAAAGGTGTGCGAGAACCTGTCGAGGCCCATCGTGTCGTCCCCGCTGAACAGCTCGGGACTCGCACTGTCGGTCCTCACCACGATCTTCAACCTGCTCGACCCGGAGAACGAGGTTCGCTTCAACGTCTTCCAGGCCATCCTCCAGCTCGTCAAGAAGAGCGGCCTCTACGAGATGCTCCGCCCGCAACTCAAGAAGTTGGATACCTGGATCGAGGAGTGGGATATTGATGAGGAGGACCAGCGCAAGCTCTTTGTGCAGGTCGCTGACGTCGCTGCCGAGGTTGGCGAGACAGAGTAAGCACAGCCCACTTTCCCCTTCAGGAGTATTTATTTACCCCGCCATGAAAATTGTACTGACGACTTCCCCCCCTAGGCAATCCTTCCAATACCTCCTCCGCGCCCTGCGCACCTTCGACGCCAAGGACACCGCCTCCCTCAGCACCCCCGAGGCAACCGACCTCACGCTCCGCGCCCTCAAATCCGCCCTCATCTCCAGCACCCACTTCGACTTCCACGACCTATCGGCGCTGCCCACGATCCAAGCCCTCGCCGACACTCACCCCGTGTGGTCCGAGCTGCTCGAGATCGTCTCCGAGAAGGAGCTTGAGGACTACACCGACTTCTGCGACGAGCACGACACCTTCGTCGACGACAACGCCCTCGACGCCGAGGCCCTGCACCGCAAGATGCGCCTCCTCACCCTCGCCTCCCTGGCCGCCTCCACCAGCAGCCGCGAGCTCGAGTACAAGCGCATCGCAAAGACCCTCCAGATCCCCGCCGAGGACGTCGAGATGTGGGTCATCGACGTGATCCGCGCCGGCCTCGTCGAGGGCAAGCTGTCCCAGGAGAAACAGGTCTTCCTCGTCCACCGCACCACGTACCGCGTCTTTGGCGAGAAGCAGTGGCGCGAGGTCGCCACGCGTCTCGATACCTGGAAGGACTCGCTGCGCAATGTGCTTGAGGTCGTGAGGCGCGAGCGTCAGGCTGCAGAGGCGCAGAAGGAGCGCGAGCTGCATGAGGTGGAGAGGAAGGCTCAGGGCGCGAGTGGGATGGGCGCAGGCAGGCGTGTTGGAGGACGTGATATGATCGAGATGGGTACGGATTAGATGGGATATAGGGAGGGCCGCGGAGAGGGGTAGTGGACTGCGGGCTGGCGTTGGATGTTTAGATGCGATGCATGGCTGGAAACAGGGATGAATTTGGACGCAAAAACAGTAATGATGTCTACTTTTGCATGGGATGCCGGGCGCGGGAGAGAGAGGTGTGTCTCTGATGGAGGAGACTACGCAATGATAGCTTTCGCGTCCGGTGGAGCATGACCTGGAAAAAAAGAATTCTTTCTTAAAACTGTAGCGCTGGATCTCCTGTATCATCGCCGTGGCCTCGTTTCTGAACGAAATGTATTGTTTGTTTTTTTGAGTTACAGATATATGAAATGCTTGTGACGGACGAGCCTATTCGTCTTGTGTATGTATGTATTACAGCCGCCTGCCTCCACCTTTCCTGTCTTCAATCCTAATCGCACAATGCCGCCATCCATCCCACCCCCTCCAACTTCCAAGCCAACATCCCCCCTCTCCCCACCTATCTCTTCCCCTCAATCCACGGCTGAATCCCCCTCTTTACATCCTCATAAACCTTCTCGGGCTTCTGCGTAGCCTTAACCCTCACCACTCTCCCCTCCTTCTCAAACCTCTCCACAACCGGCATACTCGTCTCCACGAAAACCCTAAACCTCTTCCTAATACTCTCAACATTATCATCGGCCCTCCCGCTCGTCTCCCCCCTCTTCACCAACCGCTCCATCATCACATCCTCCGGCGCATCAAAGAACAGCACGAATGCTGCTTTGACAACGCTCTCCTCGAATTTCTCCGCCTGGTCCATCTTCCGCGGGAATCCGTCGATGAGGAACTTGCCCTTGCCGCCGGATTTGTCGACTACCTCCGCCATGGCGTTCTCGAGGAGTTGCACGGTTACTTCCATGGGCACGATCTTGCCGTCGCGGATGTAGTCTTTGATCAATTCCCCGAACTCGGAGCCGGGGCGCTCTTGCTCCGCGCGGAGGAGGTCGCCGGCGGAGAGGTGGGTGAAGTTGTATTCGTCAACTAGTTTGGCGCATTGGGTGCCCTTTCCGGCACCGGGGCCGCCGAGGACGAAGACCACGGTGACGTTGGTGGGGGAGAAGCGGGGTGTGTCTTGTTTGGGGGCGGGGAGGCGGGGGGTTTGGGGGGTGGTGATGTCGGGTGTCACGTCTGTGGAGAGAGGATGAGTTAGTCGATGCTTCTTGTGTGGGATAGATGTATGGTGGGTTGCTGTATCATTCCAGCGCTGGAGCTGGAGGGGAGATGAGAAGAGAGGGAGGTAATAAGCAACAGGACCATACAAGCTGGCAGCTACACACGTCATGCAGCCACCACCTCTTGTCCCACACATCGCTTACTCCCTGCGTGCCTCACCACCACCTCCTCCCCCCTTCCTCTCTTCCACCCAGCTCCATCAACTCCAGGGGAAACGGGGAAAACACATACAAGAACCATCCCTACTCCTCGCCATCAAAATATACGACCCCGTCCCCACCAACGTAATCGCCACAAACGGCCACACCTTAAACGGGTTCTGCCCCGGGTTGGGATTCGGTCCCGACTCCCCCGACGCGAAGCGGCGCCCAGCTGGGCTGCGGAAGAAGGTGCGCGGCGGTGTTGGGGAGAGGCGGGCGGAGGAGGCGCCGAGGCGCTGCGTGAAGAGGCGGCACATGGGGCGGGACATGATGGCGATGGTGAGGGAGGTAGGGACTGTGTGGGTATTTGTTGAAGGAGGTGAGGTTGGAATGAGAGGAAGGAGGTGAGGTTTGGGGATTGAGAAATTTGGTGCATGGGTACCAAGCTTGGGGGGTGCGGTTGCGGGATTTTCCGCAACCGGATTGTGCATGGACTACTACTACTATGTGCCTGGGAGATGGACCCCTGGACGGAAATAGCAACTAATTTGGCGAGCTGGAAGGCTTATTTGGGGCTTCTTTTTTTGCTTTTTTGATAAGACAACTCGATTTGGTGGTGGGTGCAGGATTCAATCTTTAAATGTCCATTTATTCATCAACTAATTTACAAACACCCCATTCCATCCCTCATTCATCATCACACAATCCCTTCATCGTAGAAACCAAAAAAACTTATCAAACCGCGAAAAACAATTCCCAAACTCACTCCAACCACAACCCCCTTTCAAATCTGTCCCATCCACAAAAAAAAATGACTTTGCAAAATTCCCATAAACTGGCAAAAAGATATCCCCAAAACAAATAAATGATTGAAAAAATAATAACAACTGGCACAACAGGGTATAAGCTCATAAAAGGTAAAAAAATCCGCGCCCATCAAGTTTGGCGAGGGGTAGGTGGGGGGGCGAGATTAATGTACATGCGTGCGTGCGTGCGTGTTTGTGTCCGACTTTCGTATATAGAACGTTTTCCGCTATTATTAATAGATTATAACGCGTGCGTATTTTCCGATCTCATGTGTTGGTCATTCATTAGAAAAGAGGCGGCGGTATGCAGCCAGCTCGGCCACGGATCCAGTCCGTTGACCGTAATAGCCAGCTACCCAGCCGATGACGATTTCTGTATCGTGGTGGTGGTAGTGGTGGATTAATCGAAGAAGGATTCTTCGTCTACCAAGCCTTGAGTGGTCGTCAGTGGGTGCGTTCGTGTAGGTGAAGAGTGGTTCTGGTAGTGGGCTACTCACGGTTGTTGCGAAGTCTGTCCTGGTTCGGCTTCTTCTGACCGCCCATGTTCATGCCGAGCAGCGAGCTCTCTCTCCGCTTCTGCTTCGAGGTTTGGCCGTTGGGGTTGAGGTTGCTCTCATTGCCGTACTGCCTGCTATAGCCCGCATTCCCATTGCTGTATTGGTCGTATGACGGCCCTCCGACTGTCTGCCCTGTAGACCCGTATTCGGGACCTCCTAGCGTAGGCTGCGAGTACTGGCTTTCGTATGACGGCTGGAGAGGGGTGAAGCCGGTGTCGTAGGTGGTTTTGTTGGGTTGAGCTGGGAGAGGGAAGGATGGAGGCGGGCCGCGGGGGAAGGATGCTTGGTTATAGGATGGGGTTGGAAGGTCCTGGAAGTGCTGTTTTCTCGGAGAGCGGATGTCTTCGGGAGTCAATGGAGGCGCTGTTAAGGTGACCTCAATTTGGTTCTGGTCGAATTGCTGAGGTTCGGACTCGAAGATGCCGTCGTACTTCTGGAGGAAGAGAGCCAGGACTGGGGCGGGGATGTTCAGCGTAGGAGAGAATACGATTCCCACGTTGCGGACTGTCATCTTGTTGACATCGGAGTTGTTGATGATGTTGATGAGGAAGGCGGACAGATAGCGTAGGAGAGTATTGTTGGCCTTGGGGAGCTTGTGGACAAGTCCGTTCAAAGCCAACACCTTGTCACTAACATCTGGGATCTCCGTGACAGAGAGGAAATCCAGATGGAGTTCCCTCGTGAGTATCGTTGTTGGCAGCTCACGGAGGTACAGCTTCAACAACGACGCAACAGCATGAATGTCGTAATACTGCTCATCGGTGATCAAGTTGACATCGCCTTCGGTATTGAAGCGCTCGCGCAGCGCCTTAATCACAACATTAGACCCACTCAGCCTAAAGATACCCTCTTCCGCAGACGCGTTCTTATTGTCGAGGTACTCAACGCAGCGATAGACAACAGCGGGAAGCTCAACACTCACATCGGCAGGGTGACTGTATTTAACAGCCTCTGCCAATGGTGCACCGAAAACCGCGCGGATAGGACCATGCTGCTCATAGGACAGCTGCGACAGGTTGGACGTCTCGATGTGGTCTTGTGATTCTGACGAAGGCCTTGGCTTGCTGCCAAACCCGAAGAAACTGCGCTTCTTTTGAGTCTTCCTGTCATCGACCGGCGCGAGAGTTGTCTGCTTGTTACCCCAGTGACTGGCGTCTTGGATGACGGTGAGATTCTTGGGGGCTGAGATGGACACGGACGGCTGGGGATGGGGCATCTGGCCGGAGAAGTCCTTCTCGTGGCCTTGGAACGGAGGCGATGGAGTATCGTTGCTCTTATGCCTTGGGTCATCCTTTTCATCATATGCTGGCGGTGGGGTTTCGTTGGTTTTCCGTCTCGGATGCACGCCACGAGGAACCTGGCCAGCCACAGTGGCTTCGTAGGGCATAGCGCGTAGAAGTTCATCGTCTGCTTCGGCTATAGTTTGCCCCTTTCCTTGAACATGCCTCTTCTTCGAAGTTGAGCCGGTAGTGTGGCTGGACGTCCCAGAGTCATTACGAGCGTGGTGAACCGTTTCAGGCCCCTCATCTTCAGAATCCTGATACTCGACATACTGTACAAGAGCCTCTACCCACTCATCGCGCTCCTGGTCACTTTCCGCACAAAGAACATGCCTGACCAGGCTCGAAGAGTCCTTCCGTTTAGGTTCGAGGATCAGGAAAGCATGTCGATACTGGTTATCGGCATCGTCTGTCTGACTGTCCTGCTGGTGTTGCTGCTGCTTGCCAATTTTGGAGGCCTGTAGCTTGATCGCGCCGAGATGGGCGCCGCCAGGAGCCTCGTAATACTTAAGTATAGGTCCATCCAAGACGAAGAATCGTGCTTTCCAGCCACCGAAATTCTTACCTCTCTTCGTGAGGTATCCATTCTTGACGGGCCTACCGCCTGGTCCCATCTTCGTTGGACTCTCGCTCTTGGCGTCAGTATGGACCAGTGAATCCGTCGAGTTTGGCTCCAGGGTGTTGGTTGACAGGTACTGGCAAATATGCAGCGCCCGCGCCGTGTCCATGGGTGTGTTCAAAATGTCATCAACATACTTGTCGAGAGCAGTTCTCCGAGCATCGATCTTTGCAGGTGCGTGTCCATTGAACAAAGATTTCTCAGGAAGTTTAACGCTGCTGAAGGCGTTCGATTTCTTGAGCTCCTGGTCAAGTTGGTGCAGGGATGTCGAGTCCTTCTCCACTCTCCACAGCTCTTGCCCGTTAGATCTACCAAACACAGCAAGTGTGAAAACTGGGTCTTCATCCCCCTTACTTGGGAACATCATGCTCACCCGAGACGGCTTCAATCTCGAAGAAGCGACCCGCACATCAATGGAAGGAAGGGCGTTGGGAGGCAATAGGAGATCTGGATATTCATCCGTGACAAATCCTCGGTAAATTTCAACAGAGTCTGAGGATTCCGAGATGCTGTTGTATCGAGTCTCATTCATGGGCGGATCCTGCTCCTCCACAGCAAGTTTCGTTATTTGTAAAGGCTTTGGTGAAACCAACTCCATCTGGCCAAACTTTGACAGCATGCCTGGCGATGCCATCGACATTGGCGTGTTTGGTGGAAGTGGGATCGGCTGTCGAGGTGCACGAGGAGAAAGGGGCATTGCCGGGAACGCACCAATTCCTCTTGGCGACAACGGCGGTGATGCCATATTAGAAGAAGACTGCGAGTCTCCATCACGTGGGTTCCGTGGCAGTGCCATATGCACACCTCCCATGGGCCTTGGACTCGAAGGAAGCCCTGGGCTCATCGGTGGTGGAGAGATGAAAGTTCGCGTTATGGTCTCCGGTTGCATCTCAGAACTGCTTGACGAGTTTAAGATACCGGCAAGAGAACCTGCATTAGAGTCTGGCGGGGACAAGTGCCTTTCGCGCATGTCTGGGGGACTGATCTGTACGGCCTGTCGGATAGCTGGTAAAGGATCCTGAGGCGGTTGATCCTTGTTTGTGGACGTAGAAGGTCTCGACTTGCTCTTCTTAGACAGACTTCTCGCTTCCGCGTCTTTCATAGCAGCTATTTCCCTCTCTCTATCATCCTCCTCCCTCGTCTTCCTCCGCCCTCTGTCATTGAAAATGGGAATTTCATCCACCTCAAGCAAATCGTCGTAGTCGGAATCAAGTTCATCCCCCGAATCTGCCTGGTGTAAATGCGAGCTGGTATTTGGCTGCTTGCCAAGATTCAGCGGTGCTGGCGGGGGTTTCCGCGGAGGTGGCATGTTTGCCCGCCCTTGGTCCTTCGCTGGAGAGGCGCTGACCACATTGAGCATTGGGGCCTGCATTGAAATAGGTCCCGCCTTGGTGTCTGTCTTCGGGGGTGGTCTGGCTGGGAGGCTTCTTGAAGGTGGCACTGAAGCATTATATGGCATCTCGCGCCCCATCTCGGGGCTCTTGCGTTGCTGCTGACCCGACTCGAAGCCCTGGGGTTGCGCATCGGCATTGTAATTATTCAGAGCATGTGACGAAGGGTCTGGCATCTTGTGCTCGGCATCTACCATGTTAGGTAGAGTCGGGTTCAGTGCGCTGGGCAGGTTTGCTGGTGGTGTAACGGGGTACGGCGCCAAAGCAACGTCAATTGGCGAATGTTCTGGCTCGTCGTGGCTCTCGTGAGACTCCCTCAGCCCCGCAGAAACCAATGCTCCTACATTTCCGCCCTTCGGTCCCTCCGGGCTTCGTGGGCTTGGAGAAGACTTGCCGGCAGAACTCTCGGCAACGGATCCCTTGCTGGGCTCGCCCGCTGTGATTGCCTGCAGGCTCTCCTTCATCTTCTTGCGGTAGCGCTCCTTGTCCTTCAGCGCACGCTCCAGATCCTTGTTCAGACCCAGTATCATTGCTCTTTGCTTGTCAACTAACCGCCATAGCTGTGTATTTTGCGCCGTCTGAGACTGCTTCTCCTTGAGGAGATACTGAATGACTGCCTCGGGAGATCCGGCCGTTTGTATTAAGTTCGCGATATCCGGCGACTCTCCGCGAGCCT